CCCGGGGAATGTAGACAAAAACATAGGGAACTCGCCAAAATCAAACAAACCCTGACCACAAAAAAGGGAAAAATAAGAACACCAGACCCACGAATAAAAGTGAAAATTGTAATAAAAACAAATTACGAACACGAACAACAAACGGGAGGAAAGGAAGCTCTGAAATTCTCACAGCGACATATTGAAAGTGTCCTCGTGGCTGTCTATCTAAACAATGCCAGCAATAATTGCGCGATTGATGAGGATAAGGGGGTGGTGGAAATTGTGAGGTGGCAAGGGGTGTGGAAGGTGGAAGGTGGGAGATGGAAGGGTGACACGGGTGCAGGGTGCGACTCCGATTACCACAGCGTTTGACTTTCTCAGATAATTGCAAGAGCGAGTGTCACGAGCTCGTTTAGTTGTCTCTTGATTTTTTTTATACAAGGTATTTGTAGGGTTCTAGGGGTATGATGGTTTTTAAGGCTGTAAGGACTCAGATTTTAATAACATAAATGGTGAGGATCTCTTGCTTATACTACAATATCGCTATCTATATGAGAAATTTATGAAAAAGTATGGTTTGGAAGATGGTGATGGTATTTCCATTTACAAATATAGTGTTTTATAATTTTGTACCAAGGCAAATCCTACAATAAATTGAATTTTGTGTTCGAAAAATTTGATCTAAGCTTACTTACGTTCATACATATAACATTTTTTGGGTATATATCGAATATAAAATACATAGAATTATGTTACCAACAGTCTAATATCCTTATTACAGTACTAAAACAATATACTAATCTTCATAGGTTTCAAATCATTTAAAAACCTATTAAGAGGTAAACAGTTAAGTATTTTAAGATTAAAATTCGAGGTTGTATCATTTTTTGTTGTTGTCTGATTCTTTTCTAAAGCTAAAAAGCTAGCATGGGTTTTAAATCATTTAAAAATCTATTAAAAGGTAAAGAATAGAGTAATTCGAGGTAATTGATAAATATTTAAAGAATGAAGGGTATTTCTTATTCGTTTCCCCCTTTCAAAAATTTCTTTAATAATTTTGTATCATTTTTTGTTGTTGTTCGATTCTTTTCTAAAGCTGAAAGCTAGCATATTCACACGGCACACCCCGGGACGTGAGACCGGCACCCCTCGTCCCGCGCCACTTAAGAGCCAATGACAACAAACAGCAAACAAACAATTAACATGCAAAGGGGTTGTAGGAGAGAGAAAGCGTTGTGGGTTCACGTGCAGGGACGGCTATAAATTACCGAGGTTTGACTTCCAGCGACCCTCGCTGTCAATTGATAACGCGGATTGACTTTTTGGCGGGTCAAGGGTTTCACTCGGGATCTCTCAGAGCTCTCTGTACTCCGGCAAATCCCACGGTCTCACGTGAGTTGTGTCACTTGAGATAAAAGGACGCGGCACCTCGGTGGCGGAGGGCCATAAATTCAGCGAGCTCATAAATTCAATTGACAACTAAATTGCAGAGCCACTGGCTGCCGAAACCGGAGACGCTTCGACACAGCCACCTCCGGCTCCGGGTGCACTGCGTTTCCGTTGGGGCAGGAGGAGCGGTGGCGGTGGCAGTGGCAGTGGCAAGCAGTAGGGGCTCGGGCCTCTAAAACTTTCAAGTGCGCCTGGTTCGACTTTTCCCTTTTCCTTTCCCCCCACCCCATCCCTTGGTAGTGGCTTGTGTTTTTCCCATTTTCTATATATTTTCCTTTTCTGATATTCCATGTCGGAAGCGGGTCATTTCCAGAGGTATAAATCACAAAAAGCGTCGGACTTCGAAGGCGGAAGCCAACCTGTTGCACTTCGTTGACAGTTTTCTATTACAATTGCCGCAGCGAATTTTTATTTGTAATTTATAAATTTTAATTGGAAATTGCTAACAAGTTCGAGAACTAAATTAGGCAAGTGTATTTTTCCAGCTTGTTGCCGTCATCATCTTCGGCGGGGGGTTGGTCCACAACAATGACTTGATTTATGAGCGGCTCGTGCTGTAAGTCGGCCCGATCCCGGGGGTTGGGTAATGACTTGGATCGGCAGTTAAGTGAACCGCGAAAAGGGCCATGAATAAAAATATTTGGACATCAATAGGCGCACACATGAGCGGACAATAGAAGGGGAACAGCAGAGCAATATGAGCATGGGAAACAGAAGTTTTTCCCGGCCAACTTGGACTTTTCCTTCTCACCGATTATGCGCATTTTTTTATATATGTATATATTTTCGCGAGATTCTCGCATCGTTTTTTTGCGAGTGAATAAATTTAAGCGCAAGCGTCAGTCCGCAAAGCTGTCAAAAAGGACCACTCATCGTCCTTTTGGCGCCAGTTGGCACAGCAGCAGCAGCGTTTTCAATTTATTTTCACAGCCTGAAACAATTACGGCCCTAAAGGGAGCAACAAAAAAATATATAAGGCATAAACTGTGTGCGCAAATGAAATCAGAAATTAAATTTCAAGTGAGCAAAACATACGGCGCAGCGCAGACTGAGAGATGGGGAAGGGAGACAGGGCAAAGGTGGCGCCCAAAAGGTCGCAGGGCGGATTACCCACCCACTGGGCGCGTTGATAAAAGGCGGCCAGGGGGTGTGTGTGGGAGCCCGCTGACAGATTATCCGATTATGATTATGATTAGAGTGAGCGTAACCAGCAAACAAATAGCAAATAGACATCACAGAGTGTGATTACCAAGGGCTTGGAAATTTGATTAAAAATTATGGGAATTGTTAAAGGGGTGGCAAAAAAGGTTGATAAAGGGATTTCAAAACTCTTGAATGCATTTCATAAAGAAAATTTCTTGATTTTCAAAGCATTAAGCTTGACTTTTGTTTGAAAGCTTGTTTTATAACTTGTTACCTTTCTTCGACTTCTTAAACATTATTTATGTAATAACTTATTTATTTCCCGTTAAATGTAACCAATTAATTTATGGTCTCTATAATTTATATACCCAATTAAGTACTTCAACCATAAATCCCCAATAAACACCCATCAAAATTCAACAAGTACTCTATAAAACTAAAGCAAACATGACTCTAATCAGCGCAATAAAACAATAATAAATTCTATCAATTGGCTGAGAGACCCTTCTGAATGATTTTATCGATGTCATCGCGCTTCTGGTCTGTGCACCCCTTTTTTTCATTATGCAACGCTAACCGCTCAATTGTCTGTGCCGAAAAGGATCCCACACACACGAAAGTCCTTCCCATCCAATCCCATAGATACTTCCACTGTCAGCGGAGTGTGCGCCCTAATGCGCTTCACATAACATTTTGATCATTTTATGATCTGTCGATTAGCCTCATTGTTCGGGCCATCCATCCCTCTAGCTGGTGGCCAGGATGTCTGGATGAGCTCGGGGGTTGTACCAGGCATATCCTGGCACGGTGAAGTGTGCCTGAAGGAGCGTGTGACTAACACGCTTTAATAGGATTAGCGCTGAAGAGCACTTAAGAGTCAAATTATCAACGGGCAGTCACAGATTCACCGAATGTTGTGACTGTTGCGTTTTGTGTGTTTACACTGAAGGCAAGGACAATGAACATAAGCATAAAGGTCCTGACAATTGTTTGCCAAACTTTCCCACTGTCATTTCGACTCAATTGCAGTTCCCAAAGGGACCAGTTCGCAGTCCAGATTACGCGCATTAGTCAGGCTTAAGTTATTATGTCAAGTGAGCAATTGAGATATCTAACACAGCTTCAGGGATCTTTGCAGATACTTGAGAGAAGGATTTGAGGACTACATGGGAAGAAAAATTTAAATTTCTTGAAAGGGAGTTATGTTATAAATAGAAATGTCATATTTTTGATGTTGAGAATATTTATGGTCTCAAAAATAACTGGATATCTATAAGAATAAGGTCAAATTAGCCCTTTCAAGAACAATTATGGAGCTGTATTACATTTGCAGCTTTTGAATTCAATAAGTTTTTAGTAAAAACTAGTAGTAACGTACATACAGCATCCCTATTTGAAGGAACACTAACTTCGGAAAGTCGAAAATGATATACCCTTGCAACTTGCAATTGAATTTTATAACAGAATCATAAATACACATAATCATAATCAAGCTTAAAATATTCATAACTCAGTCAAAAACTCACTAATTTTAATTCGGAAAGCTTTCCTACTTTAGTTTTTATTAGGTTAACAAATCTGCATACTCAGTTTAAAATTTAAAAAAATTCAAATTTTTATGCATTTTTCAAAATTAAAACCCCTTATAAAATATTTAAAAAATTATAAAAAATTTTTTTCTTCTCCTACATGCATAGAAAGATTCGTCTAATGATGCTGATCAAGAATATATATGGATTATAGGGCCGAAAATGACTCCTTCACTGAGTATTAAGGTTCTGACTAAAATTATAATACTATTTTTAGTAGATATTTATCTATATTTTGATATGACAACTTTTTTGGTAAAATCAAAGTTTAAAAATGCCATAACTCAGGCAAATAGGCATTAATTTTTATTCGGAAAGCTGTTCTATGTTAGTTTTAATTAGGTTTATAAATCTGCATACTCAATTTATAATTTAACAAAATTAGAATTTTTGTCAATTTTTGAAAATTTTAACAATGATTTTAATCCATAAAAATGTTGAAAAAATGTTAAAAATTTTGTTTTCTGCCAGAGAGGGCTAGATCGATTCGGCTATCGATGCTGATCAAGAATATATATGCTTTATAGGGTCGGAAATGACTCCTTCACGTTTTATACAAAATTAAAGCCAAGGAAAATGTCATTTAGAAAGAATAAAATGTATTGCAAACTTCTGTTTTGTTATTCGCAATATTCCCCTCGAATTTCTTTGGCCGAACCACCCCCTGAACCGAGAAAGTCCTTGCCAAGGACATGCCACCCCCGGTGACGCACACGAGCGCCACCTTTTATGTGAACAATGACGCCGTGTGCCGCCATCAGGTTGCGGTCCTGACTGAAAGCTGTCAAAAGCTCAAAGAAAAAGGACATCCCGGCACAATCAGAGTTTCAAACTTACACAGTGCTGAGCCGCCGCCTGCTCCTGCTCCTGATCCTGCTCCTGTCCCTGATGAGGCTCCTCCCGCTGCTGCATTGCTGCTGCTGCTGCTCTTGCTGCCACTGATCCTGCCCTGCTGATGGTCGCTGGCCGAGGACGAGGAGGAGGGCACCGCCACATGCGAGGATGTGGTGGCGCAGTCCAGCGAGGATTTATCTGCAATACAAAAAGGAAGAGCAGACAAAAGGATACTTTAATTGCCAGGCAGCGCAAATTTGCACACTCAGCACGGCGGCACGCTTCGCCTTTTGCCACGGAACGGAAGCGAGGAAAAAAGTGAAAATAAACGGAAGGCAAGGAAAGCTGAAAGCTGGGAGAGAGAGCAGGACTCATAAATCTCGGCATAGATAATTGTCATCACAACTAGCACTGCTGCTGGTTTATTTATTGCTGGAATTATGGTTTTCATATCGCCGCCGCACCCTCGCCCCTCAACGTCACGCAACGTCGCTCTGGCCCAGAGACTCCCATCTCCCTTCCCCCTCTTGACAGATCCTGTGAACCGCAAAGGGTATAATCGCGAGGGTTGTCACCACCAGCTATGGCAGAGAGATGTTTAATTGCCGTAAATCTTTGTTTGATGTAAACAACAATAAACCAGAGAGAAGAATCCATGAGGAATTGAGGAATTTGCTACGCTTTCAATTGAAATGTCAAACCGGATGCGATACGAGTCCAGGATAATGATAGCCATGAAGATGATGGCTTCGGTTCCCATCAAGTGAGCTGTCCTGGGCATCGAGTGTGTCATAATTATACTTGAGAATTGTGGGAAATTTTGTAAGGGAATATATTTAATATAACTCCTAAATATTTAGCTGAGTTTTTCATATAACCAACGGCATAAATAATATTTATGCGAAAATATTTGTAAACTATTTCTTAAATGATTATTATAAAAGCCAAATCAAAATACATAAAATCCCATTTCCCCATACAACTTTTCACGTCCCTAAAAGTATGTATATTTCTCCTTGACTTGGCTGCAAAGTGTAATTATTTTTTATGCTTCTGCCTCTGTGAGCCAAACGTCTTTTGAGCAAAAAATAATGAGTTACGCATGACAAAATCTTTTCATGGCAGCGACAAAAACTCAGCTAAGGCTTGACAGCAGCCACAGAAAGAGACAGCCAGAGACGATGGGGCAGGATAAAAAGGATTCATTTCATATTTGCTTGAGCGCGCGCCGAGCGATGAGAAAGGATGAGTCGAGGGAGTGGAGGCGGCCATTTTGTGTCTAGCAGTCTTTGCGAAGGAAAAACTTCAGAACTTGTCTCCTGGGAAAGGACTTTATAGGAAGGATAATGTGGCTAAATCTGCGATTAAAGTGAAACGAGATACGACAGGCTCAAGGAAGAATTTTATTATTCAATTTTGAGCCAAGAATTGCTCGTCCTTCGGCCAACTAACAGACAAGTCAGCCTTGTCTAATTGAAACCGAAGCAGAAACAGGACATAAATTTGCCAAAAAAAAAAAAAACCGAAAAAAAGTGAAGAGAACACAGAAAGGACTAAAGTTTTCTTATAGAAATAAATGGACATGGACAAGTTGACTGGAACGGAGGCGGCATAACAAACTCTCGCCAGGCACGCGATGAAATTGTTCGGTTTTTGATGTTTCTATCAAAAGCTGGCAGGGACCAACGCGGCAAACAGTCAACAGTAGCAGCTTCGGGCCACATTATAAGCCACATCCTGGCTGGCCCCGGCTTAAATTGATAAATATGTAACCGAAACAAAAGCAAAAATGCCTAAAAGGAAAAAATATCCAGAGGAATAGCCGAGGACCCCGGAGAGACCTCAGCGTTTATATGGATAATTCAATTTAAATTTTTTGCACAATCTTTTGGCCCTTTTTTTGTTTTATTTGTTGTTAGTACAACCAGCAGAATTATGTACATGGCTGGTCGCGGTTTTTGGCCGTTGTTTTGGCCATTAAATGTTACGGGTTCGGACATATTTGGCGGTCTGTGGGAGGCGGTGGCCATTGGCCAACATATGCTGCTTGGATGTGTTTAAATAAATACGCGAAATTTGCCACTTTTGTGGCACAACATTTTCGACTGTCGGGGCTTGGGGTTTTTCTCTTTTTTTTCTATATTCACAACCGTTCGGGGTTCGTTTTGCCTTCGCCGGAAGCGCAGGATTTGTTTTTCCGCCATTTCGTTGACATTTTTGTGCTAGACAATTGCGAGAAGGTCAGTGGGTTGGTTGGTGCACTAAAGAATATGTTTTTGCTTATATTAAATAATAAAAAATAATATATATTCTTATATATAAAAGGCCTGAAGTCTAATTTAAAATGTTAAGCAATAAAATTGATTTGAAAATAAGTTGTGTTGTTAGTGAATGACTAAAATCGATCATAACTAAGCTCAAAATATTCACATTTCTTTCATAGGACCATTTTTCGACACATCAAACTTTAAAAAAATCATACCTAAGTCAAAAACACACTAATTTAAATTCGGAAAGCTTTTCTATGCTAGTTTTTATTAGGTTAACAAATCTGCATACTCAATTTAAAATTTAAAAAAAATCAAATTTTATTAACTTTATAAAATTTTAACAATGTAAAATTTTGGGGAAAAATTGCAAAAAAAATGTTTTCTTTACTACATGGCTAAAAAGATTCGCCTAATAATGCTGATCAAGAATATATACGATTTATAGGGTCGGAAATGACTCCTTCACTGGTTTTTAAGCTTCTGAATGAAAGTACCCTGCAGGGTATACATATTCGCATTCTTTGGGTCGATATTATATTCGTACAACCCACAGCTTAAAATACTCATAATTAAGCCAAAAAAGCATTAATTTCTATTCGGGAAGCTGTTCTGTGCTAGTTTTTTATAGTTTAATAAATCCGCATACCCAAATTGAATTTTTAAAATATATAAAATTTTGTCAATTTTTCAAATGGTCAACAAGGTCAAAAAGTCACTTAAAAAGTCAGAAAAAATTTCAAAAATTTTATTTTCTTTCCTTTATGCCTAGAAAGATTCGCCTGTTGATGCTGATCAAGAATATATATGATTTATAGGGTCGGAAATGACTCCTTCACTGGTTTTTAAGCTTCTGAATGAAAGTATAATACCCTGCAGGGTATACATATTCGCATTCTTTGGGTCGATATTATTTTCGTACAACCCATAGCTTAAAATACTCATAACTAAGCCAAAAAATCATTAATTTTTATTCGGGAAGCTGTTCTGTTCTAGTGATTAATAGCTTAATAAATCTGCATACCTAAATTAAGTTTTTAATGTATATAAAATTTTGTCAATTTTTCAAAATGTCAACAATGCTAAATGCTAAAATGTCCCTTAAAAATATTATGAAAAAATTTCAAAAATTTTATTTTCTTTCCTTTATGCCTAGAAAGATTCGACTGTTGATGCTGATCAAGAATATATATGATTTATAGGGTCGGAAATGACTCCTTCACTGGTTTTTAAGCTTCTGAATGAAAGTACCCTGCAGGGTATACATATTCGCATTCTTTGGGTCGATATTATATTCGTACAACCCACAGCTTAAAATACTCATAATTAAGCCAAAAAAGCATTAATTTCTATTCGGGAAGCTGTTCTGTGCTAGTTTTTTATAGTTTAATAAATCCGCATACCCAAATTGAATTTTTAAAATATATAAAATTTTGTCAATTTTTCAAATGGTCAACAAGGTCAAAAAGTCACTTAAAAGTCAGAAAAAATTTCAAAAATTTTATTTTCTTTCCTTTATGCCTAGAAAGATTCGCCTGTTGATGCTGATCAAGAATATATATGATTTATAGGGTCGGAAATGACTCCTTCACTGGTTTTTAAGCTTCTGAATGAAAGTACCCTGCAGGGTATACATATTCGCATTCTTTGGGTCGATATTATATTCGTACAACCCACAGCTTAAAATACTCATAATTAAGCCAAAAAAACATTAATTTCTATTCGGGAAGCTGTTCTGTGCTAGTTTTTTATAGTTTAAAAAATCCGCATACCCAAATTGAATTTTTAAAATATATAAAATTTTGTCAATTTTTCAAATGGTCAACAAGGTCAAAAAGTCACTTAAAAAGTCAGAAAAAATTTCAAAAATTTTATTTTCTTTCCTTTATGCCTAGAAAGATTCGCCTGTTGATGCTGATCAAGAATATATATGATTTATAGGGTCGGAAATGACTCCTTCACTGGTTTTTAAGCTTCTGAATGAAAGTACCCTGCAGGGTATACATATTCGCATTCTTTGGGTCGATATTATATTCGTACAACCCATAGCTTAAAATACTCATAACTAAGCCAAAAAAGCATTAATTTCTATTTGGTAAGCTGTTCTGTTATAGTTTTTAATAGCTTAATAAATCTGCATACCTTAATTAAATATTTTATGTATATAAAATTTTGTCAATTTTTCAAAATGTCAACAGTGGTAAAATGTCCCTTAAAAATATTATGAAAAATTTCAAAATTTTTTTTCCTTCCCTACACGCCTAGAAAGATTCCGCTGTTGATGCTGATCAAGAATATATATATGATTTATAGGGTCGGAAATGACTCCTTCACTGCGTTTATAGCTCCTGACTGAAAGTATAATACCCTGCAGGGTATACATATTCGCATTCTTTAGGTCGTTATTCTGTTCCTACAACCGACAGCTTTAAATACTCATAACTAAGCCAAAAAATCATTAATTTCTATTCGGGAAGCTGTTCTGTGCTAGTTTTTTATAGTTTAATAAATCCGCATACCCAAATTGAATTTTTAAAATATATAAAATTTTGTCAATTTTTCAAATGGTCAACAAGGTCAAAAAGTCACTTAAAAAGTTAGAAAAATTTTCAAAAATTTTATTTTCTTTCCTTTATGCCTATAAAGATTTGCCTGTTGATGCTGATCAATAATATATATGACTTATAGGGTCGGAAATGACTCCTTCACTGGCTTTTAAGCTTCTGAATGAAAGTATAATACCCTGCAGGGTATACATATTCGCATTCTTTGGGTCGATATTATTTTCGTACAACCCATAGCTTAAAATACTCATAACTAAGCCAAAAAATCATTAATTTCTATTCGGGAAGCTGTTCTGTTCTAGTGATTAATAGCTTAATAAATCTGCATACCTAAATTAAGTTTTTAATGTATATAAAATTTTGTCAATTTTTCAAAATGTCAACAATGCTAAATGCTAAAATGTCCCTTAAAAATATTATGAAAAAATTTCAAAAATTTTTTCCTTCCCTACACGCCTAGAAAGATTCCCCTGTTGATGCTGATCAAGAATATATATGATTTATAGGGTCGGAAATGACTGCTTCACTCCGTTTTATGCTTCTGACTAAAATTATAATTCCCTTGCAAGGGTATACAAAACAGAACCTTTTGCATAAAGAAAAATGTTGGGCGAAGATTTACATGCATTTCACAAAGCAATAAAATGTATTTTGCTAAGTTTTAACAGTAAAATAATATCAATAATGTTTAATACACTAATACATTACATTATTCTGGCGTTATCAACCTTTGCTTACCTGCCCGAACTTTATGCTCCACATGCGATGTGCTGGATGCTGCCAGCGATGTCAGCGCTGGAGCAGCACTCACCGCATCCAGGCTGCCGGATGCCACTTGCCCGGCACTGGATGTGATGACGCCGTGCTGAGTGCCGGCGGGCGAACAGCCGGCGGTTGCAGGATGCAGAGTGTCCAGCCGGTGTCGCTGGACTCCGCTCCCGCTGCCAAGGCCGCCGACGCCGCTGCTACTGCTGCTGCTGCCCAGGACTCCGGCCGTGCTGCTGCTGACCGCATTGTAGTTAAGCACACCGGCCACGCCCACTCCCACACCAACATTGGGATTGTGGGCGAGGCCGAGGCAATTGCCAGCTCCATTCCCGGACTGAACGGGCAGGGTGTCAAGGGTGTCCGTCAAGCGCTGGCTAGAGTAGATGTCACTGGAAAGGAAAATATGGAAAGGAGAGGTTTTCAAAGTCGTTTATTTATACATATTACTTTAATAAGGAGGCTCCTCACCTAAAGGCGCTGGTGGCCCCAAAGAAACTGCTGCGATCCTGCAGCGCCGCCTTGGCCTTCTCCACGCTCTGCTTCAGCTGCTCAAAGGTGGACTGATGGAAGCGGTATGAGGTCCAGTCCGGCGAACACTGGCCAAGGGTCAGGCAGTCCTCCGTCTTCACCTGGGCGAGAGTGGGCGGCGAGACTCGCTTCAGGTCCAGCGCCGTCTGATACGAACATGAGTTCTCGTACATGGCGCACGCCTGGGGAGCCTCAATGGCTGGCTGTTGGCTAAACAAGGGATTCCACTTGACTCTACAGGGAGAGTAAATAAATTAAAGTAATGGGAATTATTATTATTATGGGGAACACTGATATTTAGTATTTATATTATCGGATAATGATAATACAAAACTTGTCATGTAAATTAAAAGATGGTTATTTAATACAAGCTCTAGTTCTGGACATTTCTTTAAACCTCTAGAATACACTTTATTAACTGAAAAAAAAGAAATTGTGATTTCTGTTTCTTAGTTTTGTGGAGATATAATATTGGCTTATACTTTTGCTAATTTCTTTCTTAATATGCCAGAGTAATATACAAATTTATATAGTAAATAAGAAACTATGTAGTATTTTCTTCATTATATTGGGCTAGTATTTAATTTCAAAAGTATATTTCTACATTTCTAATTAACTTTTAAAGTTATGACAGAATTTTAGATATATTTCACACTAAATTCTGTGTAAAAGTAATATTTCCTTAGTTTACTTGAAAAAAAAACCAACATAACCTTTGGTTCCAATTACTTTAAAGTACCCCAAACAGCATCAATCCATCACTCACCTCATGGCAAATTATAAAACTAGATATTCATAAATCATAACGCCCCAAGCCCCACAATTAAAGACTGCAATTTTAAACTAATTTAGTTTCTCGTTGGGGCCAAAGAAACGCTCTAATTGCCGCAACTCCAACACGTTATTCGAGTTTCCCAATCCTCCTGCATGGGCCTGCACATAATTAATAGTGGCTGCTTGAAACTGCGGAGCTCCCTTAGATATAAGCACACGATGTGCATAATTATCTGGCTTGTTATTTATTGTGGGTACAGTCCCGGCCTCTTGGACTGGGCCAACGTTGCGTATGAGCGACGAGCGTCGAGCTGTGCGTGGGTGGCGGCCATTTGAGCGTGGCGGCCATGTCCAAATGTCCAACGGACCATTGTTCTGCCGGTTCTACTGTTGGTGCCTTTCCCTTTTCGGCCAGTCTCTGGCAGTTAGCAGCAAACACTGGGGCCCAGGGCATGCAAATTTTTGCACTCTGCCCTCGTCGGAAGTTGCTGGATTTTGATTTATGCCAACGAAATTTATGCCACACACACACACACACCCACACACAACGTGCGACTGGTCCTGTCTCCGGGCTTTAAGGTTCTCCCCCCGAAGAAATCGAAACAGAGATGGCTTTAATGCTATCAGATCGGTGGCATCTCTATAGAACATCATCAGCAGCTCTGTGCGTTGTCAGACATTATAAACGGCCTGCACACGCCTCATTTATTATTTATTATTTTGTAGCAGGACTCTCTCTCGCTGCCGAAGAAGGTCCTTTTCTGGTTTGCATGTAACATAAGCAAATTTCCCCAACAAACAAACATTAGCAGGCGACAGGCAGACATTTGCGTTCTCTCCCGTTTTTGTGCTGCAAACTTATCACAATCGCGACGAGCGTTGAACGCGCGCACACCGGAAATACGAGCGGGATGCCAGGAAGTCGGTCTGCAGATGGGCCCGAGTACCCAAAAAACGCGTGCTGATGTGCCATTCGGCTCTTCGACAGCTGTTAATGGTGTAATCCCCCCGTAGATCTTTTAATTAAGAGGCCGCACGTTTGGCTGCTCTTTAATGGTTTGTAAGATTTTTTTAATGCCATGCATTCCGAATATTTCGAATTTTGAATGCTTTCGCCAGTCGTCGGCCAATGGAACTGGTGAGCTATATAATTACCGAGCCACTGGCTGATGATTCTGCACTGTTTGCTGGCTTGTGCATATTTCCGTTCCAAGTCTGCTAATTCGATTAGCCGAAAACATAAGCTGTGGCATTGCTCTGAGGGTGGGATTAATGCCTCCAATGAAACGAGCTTGTTTTGAAGGGGTGGGAACCGTGATTATCATCATAAACCAGAAATTACAAATCGCATTACGGGGCATAATGCAAGATGTGTAATTTTTAACTCAAATAAAATCATGTTATGCTTTCTCCCATTCGTTAAATATACGTTTTTCTTGATCCAATGTTTAGCAAAAGAAAGAAATGTTCTTAAAAGATGGTCATCTCATACCTAAATAAGAAATAATCTTATAGGGAATAACTATGCATTTTAAAGGAAAAAGTATAATATTGCTTAATGAAAAATACTTAATAAAATGAATGAAATTATTAGAAAATGCTGAAAAGGCTTGAATTAAATCCCAATTATTCGAAATTATTCAAGAATTTCTTTAAAATTATAATTGATTGATTGATTTAAATATCCTAAACTCCGTCGGCAAAGTTTTAAGTTTTTTAAATCTATATATTATTGTGTATTTATAATATGCTTAGAGAACTTGTTTCACTATTCACGTATTATTTTTCCAAGTATTTTAAAAACATTAAATGTAGTTTTATTTTATAACATGAAAGGAAGCTCGGGAATACTTAAGCCTAAAAGATTCGCATTCTTTGAATCAATATTTAGGAAAATTTGTATATGACAATTTTCTCGGAACATCAATTATTTAAAAAATGCATAACCTGGCTAAAATAGACTTTATTTCAATTCGGAAAGCTTTTTAATGTTAGTTTTTATTGGGTTTATAAATCTGCTTACTGGATTTACAATTTCTAAGAACTTAAATTTTTATCAATTTTTTTTGGCAATTTTAATTTAGAAAAATGTAGAAAAAGTTGAAAAAAAAATTGAACAATTTATTTTTCCATCAGACATGGCTAGATCGACTCCGCTTTTGATGCTGATCTAGAATATACATATGTGACATATAATGTCGGAAATGACTACTTTACTGCGTTTCCAGCTTTTGACTAAAATTATAATACCTTGAAAGGGTATAAAAATATACTTTTTAGTAAAGAATTTATCAAACTTTAAGGTGTTTCTCCATTAAACATAAAAGAAAACGTCTTGTTTTAAATAATTTTAAATGTAAATCTTATAAATGGAGTTACAATTTATATTTATATAGTAGGAAATATATTTTTAATTGATTTTTTCTAAAACTATAGATTTAATATTGATTCTTTTGGTTTATAAATAATTTCTTTCTCAATCCAGGTCCAATGACCAATAAAAAATATTTTGAATAAACCTGAATTACTTTTCTTTTTAGTTAATTCAGAGTATAATCTCTCTTTTGCAATATGATTTTGTTCTGCTGGTTTCTTCGTAAAAGTCATCAGTTAGGATTGTAAATCGGAAACTTCAATATTTATTTCACTATTTCATTCCCCCGCCTAATTTTATTATATTTATTCCGTGTTCTAATCGAAACTCACCTCAGGATTGTGCCTGTTTCTGTGATTAAGTTTATCCAAAAATAAGACTCCTCTCTGCTGTTCCTTGATTCGATTTTTGTAAACTTCCGATGGTCAGCACTTGCGATCGTTGACACTTCACTAACGTTTTTGTGGTACGTTAATCACTCCACTCAAGTGCGTACAAATTGCAGGCCGGAAATGAAATTATTGTCAAAATGGCGACGGATATGCGACAAGTGAACGCGACAGCGACGCGCCACGCAAATGGGGTTTCCCTCAGGTGTGTGTGTGTAGCTCTGCAGTTCTGTAGTTCCGTAGTTCTGAAGCGGATATGCAAGGAAATTTGTCAGTGCAAGGACACCGCCAACTGGACACCGACGGCAGCGACGGTCTCGGTCTGGGACTCGGGTTCAGGTTCTGTTTCTGTTTCTGGCGCTGGCACCAGTTCCTTGGGCATTTCGCACAGGTGCATCAGGAAGAGGGAATTGGGGGGAGCAACGAAAGCGGAACGAAAATGAAATCAAAAAGCGAAATTTCTATAATTTCCGCACAAAAATTTCCGCGACACACTGGCAGGACACATGCGAGTTTGTACGTTTGTGTGTGGGCTTTTCTTGTTTCCCTGCTTTCTTATATGTTTTTATTTTTGTAGTTGCCACGCCCACATAGCCAGCAACAAGCTGGGCGTATGTGTCCAAGTCTTGCACCGTTTGCACCGTGTGTCTTGTTTGTGTTTGTGGGAACTTCCTCCTTTTGGCCCGTGTCCTGCTGCTCCTGCTGGCTGTTGTTTGTTTTTGTGCCTGCCTGTTTGACCCAAGAAAGGTCTCCCCGGGATATTGACGACGTGTGACCGACGAATCTAGACCGCAAAGTACCGCTATTATGTCGTCCGCGACGTGTTGCACTTGGTAGCGCGCACTCCAAGTTAATGTGGCGGCCAGATCATCCCGTCCACCAGCACACGCTCAAAGATGGCGACACACTCCTCCCACAAGTACATATAGCTTGGTGGGTAGGAGGAGTTGGGGTGTAGGATAGCAAAGGATGTCACCCCAACGTCCCGTCCGTGGGACGCGCAGGCGCGCTCTCGATGCTAGCACCACCTCCATCCACTTGGCGCTGGCCTTTTATCTGCCACTGTCATCGGCTGCTGCTGCTGCTGCTACAGCTTTTGCTACTGCTTCTGTACCGGGTCCTGCTCCTGCTCCTGCTTCTTCCTCCGGCTCTGCTTTTGGTGGGCGGAGCTTAAAAACATTCCCCTGTGGATGTGCTTGGGCATCATTAGTGGTGCCGTGGAGAGAAGACCCCATTTTGGGCGGAAGTGCGTATGAGCAATATTTTAACAATGGCGTTTAAAACAGTTAAAGAGCATGTGCCTCGGTGTGTGTGTGTGTTTGTGTGTGTGTGAGGCCATTAGGACCTTAGTTTTGCGGGCGCTTTAAGACCCGCAGATAAGCGCTGGCACATAATAACGTTTTAATTTCGTGCAAAAGTAGCCACAAAAGGCGGCCCCAAGATCTCTGCCAAAAAGGATATAATTAACATGCCAGTGGCTGCTAAAGGAGCATCATACACACACACACCACACACACACAATCTCGCATCCCATTCTCCTGCCGGGCACATGTGTTAAATGACTTTTAGATAAGCGACTGTGCTGTGTACGGTGACATGATTTAAGGTCGTGACTGGCACAGGATAATTTGCGATAAGCAACAGGATTGACTTGGCTCGGTGATTAATTTACCAGCTTCACATTCGCAAGGTGAAGAGCCGCACAAATCGAAGATTACGCTAATGAGTTTCAGGGATTAAAGGTGTCCCAAGAACTCACACTTTTGTAAAAACTTTTAAGCGTATCTTTCATGATCTACAAATATTAAGTACAATAAAAAACATCTTCAATTAAATTACAACTTTTTCAAACACATTATATCCTTTTCAAGGCTTAACGGCAGGAAAAAAGCTTCTCAAAAGCCATGTATCCTTAAAAAGCTTTTAGTAAATCAACACACCAACTCTTAATAAGCTCCGGCATCTTATAGTAAGGACTTCCTTTGAAAAAAACTCCACTAAAATACAAAATGATTCAATATTTTAATTGAACAAAACACACAATCGTACACTTATCACATTAAGTTTTGTCTGTCTCTAAGTCGGAAATACGTAGAAAGTCTTGCTTAGTTACACTTGATCTCTGCAGCCAGTGATAGAAGTAATTACAAAAACGAACGAGCGAAAGGGTGTCCTGTCTTGGAAATGTAGAATTGGAGCATTAAAAAAGGCAGATGAGCGAAGTCTAAATGCGGCTCTTGGAGTTCGCCTTGACTTCAAACAGTTTGCGCACAAAGAAGACCTGCAATGTAAGCAATTAATTAATACATAATAAAGCTGAGTTGGCAGAATTCTCCTCCTACCTGTATTGAGCATGTGATCAATATGACCACAATTTGGCTAATCGAGAAGGTTTGGATGTAGGCATTGTTGTCCAACAGCAAAGCATAATCGCGCGACTCGCGGTGCCGGCTATGCGCCTGATATCCCATCATATCGTTGATATTACGCTCCACGGTGCCAATGGTGGCCTGAAAAACATAGATCAACGTGAGTTTCCCATGGGTGTAACCCAAAAACCAGTTTAACTCACAGTAAAGTTTTGCATATTCAGCTGCAGCTGTTCAATCTCCTTGGCGTACTTGTCCCAGGCATCGTACTTCACCACGGTGATATAGATGTTGACCAGCTTGCCCGCGAAGCGGGAGAACTGATTGTCAATGCACACGGAATAGTAGCCACCGGGTGAGACCTGGTCGGTATAATCCGCGGTAGCCTGCCACTGATAGGGCTTCACCACCTCGTTGGCAGGATTGCGGACCGCAAAGCCAGCCATGCCATCTCCTCCGCGGACCACCTGGAAAAGTGAAAGGTTTCTTTGATAAGCTACTCTTTCATTATATTCCAAAGTCCTCAACTCACGCTAAACGACACGTAAAAGGTGGCTCCCGCCTGCACATACTGGTGATAGCAATCCTCTTTGCCAGCATCGATGTGGACCTGGAAGAGGAAAACAAAGATCGCTGATTAGGATCCCACACAGAGTCGACTTATACCCCCCACACCCACCTTGTAATCCATGGCCACAGCGGGCAGGTTTTCGTACCATGGCTGTTGTGCCTCTTGTGCCGTGGCCGTGTCAATGAGCAGACAACAACAAATCAGGGCAAGTGGAAGTATTAAATTTATCTGCTCTCTCTGCCACGTCGATTGCATTTTGGGGGAATCTCGCGTTTCCTGCTGTTGGTTCCTGGATGGGGGCTATCGCGGGGTCGGCCTTGTTGCGTTTTCCACTGCGCTCTCTGTCAGCTGGGGGAAGGGATTTGAGCCGGTTAGCTTTCTATTTGCTAAACAAACATAAAGTCCACCAAACCAAATTCAATAAACAACCAACCTGTTGCGCTGCCAACCCTGTTCAAAGGTGCAATAAGTTGGCAGTCTCGTACATTTTGGTATTTTTTAAAGACAGGGCTGTCAAAACACGCTAGTATATTGTGGGTTAAGGCGGTATTTTTGAAAATGAGTTTTTAAAACTTAGCAAAATACATATTGGTATGAATTTAAATAAATATTTAAGGAATCGCAGAATAAACAATAAACAGTTATCATTATCTTATAAAAAAATATATATATGTATTTATAAAAAAAGACCCTTCAGTTTAAAATACCTACGCCTTTGTTTACATTTTAAGCAGTTTAAAAAAGGTGGCAGCTCTTGCAATTTAAAACTCGAATTATCAGCAGTGCTAATGAAAAAAAGTGAAAACAAACTTGAAGAAAAGTAATCTACAGCTTATCTAAAGTAACTTGTAGGTCTAAAAAGAGACCTCCACTCAATCCTGAGCTGTTTCGCATCCCCTTTATCAGAATTCTCTCCAGCGACGCCTTGTGATAACGTAATTAACATATGCTTGTGTTTTTGTTTGCGGCTTTTTGCGATAATTTAAACAAACACAATTGCACACCAAGTGTTGATTAACCTCTACGTGGTTTAGAGGGTCAAATAAAAACGAATTGCACTTGGCACTCGCAATTAATTCCACAACTGCGTCCAGTGCCACCACAACATGGTCAACGTCACCGAGGATGTTTTCGCCACCGGCGCCGTAAATCCGTTCACCAAGAAACAGGAGGACATCAAGCGCTTCACCTTGACCAATGGCAGCGGTCTGTCCGTCCAGTTGATTAGCCGTGGTGCCATCATCACGAGCATAAAGACCCCGGACTCCCGTGGCCAGTTGGATGACGTGACGCTCGGTTTTGATGACCTGCCGGGTTATCAGAGCGAGCGGAATCCGTATTTTGGTGCCACCATTGGACGTGTGTGCAACCGCATTGGAGGCGGACGCTTCGAGCTGGATGGCAAGGTGGTGGAGGTGTCCAAGAATCGGGACAACAAGTTCCAGCTACACGGCGGTTTCGTGGGCTTTGACAAGGCCCACTGGGAGGTCGTTTCGGTTCGGCAGGATGGCGTAACTCTCTCACACACCAATCCCGATGGACACGAGGGATATCCGGGTACGGTGAAGGCGACAGCTAGCTTCACTCTCAGCGAGGATAACTGCCTGCATGTCCGGATGACGGCTGAGAGTGACAAACCGACGCCTGTGAATCTCACCAATCACTCGTACTTCAACCTGGCTGGCCACAAAGCCGGCGCCAATGGTCTTTACGAACACACCATCGAGATTAATGCATATGGTATAACCGAAACGGATAAGGATTCCATACCCACCGGGAAGATCACACTTGTGGATGGGACATCCTTTGATCTGCGCGTACCCAGCAACCTAGGAGAGCGTCTCAAGGAGCTGCAGCCAGCCCGCGGATACGATGACAACTTCTGTGTGACATTCAGTCCGCCGCAACCGTTGGCCAAGGTGGCCAGGGCCACACATCCGCCCACCGGACGCTGGCTGGAGGTGGTGAGTAATCAGCCAGGCGTGCAGTTTTACACATCCAACTTTATGCCGGATGTGGAGCGGGGCGAGACGCCGATTCCCGGCAAGGATGGAGCGCAGTATGCCAAGCACGGTGCCTTCTGTCTGGAGACGCAAAAGTTCCCGGACTCTGTGAACCACAGCAACTTTCCCACAACGATTCTAAGGCCCGGCGAGAGTTACAGCCACGAAGTCATCTACAAGTTCGGGGTCTGTCACTAAGTGATGAGCACCTTATCTGATCCATATATATATATAATGTATGTATATCCGTTTAACGATAATAACCAATAAACCGAAAGTCACGAAAGTCATTCATAAAATCGGGACCATCCCCGGCATATATAAGTTGCAAACGATGGCTTAGACTCTAAATCACTTGAAATGATCCTTCAGTTGGTACTGCTCCTTCAAGTCGGTCTGGGCTTTGGCCAAGAAATCGGTTCACTACGGATTATGAACGGCACTAAGGCCAAGGTGAATCAGTTTCCCTATCAGGTGGGGCTGCTCTCCTTTTTCAAAGAATTCATGAATGAACCTAGTCTCTGCGGAGGCGCTATCCTCAACGAGTTTTTCATATTGACGGCTGCACATTGCCTGCAAGAACCAAAGGCTAAGCTGTAAGTGTGAGCGAGTCTTGTCAAATATATTTACTCAACTTTCTTTCTCTCAGCTCCAAGGTCCTTGTTCAAGTGGGCAGCTTAGATCCTCCGGGAGATGAGAAAGCGATTACAGTTAAGGCCAGCAACACCCGCGTCCATGAGAATTTCAATCGTCAGACTGTGGAAAACGATTTGGGGCTGATCAAGTTGCCAAGGATGCTCAAGTTCAATAGGTTTCGTCAACCCGTCAAGTTGCCAAAGAACTCGATGAGAAAGTACACAGGTCGCCCGGCGGTCGTCACGGGATGGGGTGTGACCAACACCCTTGGACCCAGTCGGTTCCTTCAGTACCTCAATGTGACCATAATCTCGAACAAGGAGTGCCAGAGGCAGTGGACCAAAGGGCTCAACGGCACTGGAAAGAGGAAGGATATATACAGCTCATATGTATGCATTGACTCCAAGGTGGGTCTGCCATGTCAAGGCGACTCCGGTGGACCGCTCGTTCTGGCCGATGGATCCAGGACCTTGGTGGGAGTTATTTCGCATGGTTACGATATGGGTTGTATGATCAAAGTGCCAGATGTTTCCACAAGGGTTAGCCATTTTCTTAAGTGGATAGAGGTAAACATGCTTAGGATGTAGGAGGCTTAGCAAGGAACCACATTAAAAGGAAGGATATCTTTTCAAACGTGTGCTTTATTCTTATTACTTCATACAAACTTCCATACACTGCCTCCTTATCCGTTCTCCGTTCTCTTCGGTTCGATTCTCATAATATTCTCTTGTGGCTTTGCTAAATTTGTTATCATTTCTTTATGTATTGTATGTTATTTTGTGACTTTGACGGTGTTGCTTGTCGTTTAAACAATTTTATGTTTATGATAATGTTTTACATATTTTCATTTTGTGGGCTTTGTTTACGTGTGTTTTTGTGTTGATGTGTGTGTGTGTGTGGTTAATGTTGCTGATTATTTGCAATTGTTGCTCCTTCACTTAATGCTCGTCGCTATTTCTCATAAATGCAGTTCTCAAAATGTACAAAAACCTAAATGGAAATGATACAATGAGTGTGAGTGAGATATACTTTGGTTCTTTCAACGATTCTTTTAGTATTTGTCCTATATGTACAAAAAAGTGTTAACGAAATTCTGAAAAGCTATACAATTTGTTAGTTTAACAAAGCGAATAAGTTGTTAAGAAACTTGGCTGAATAAATTAGTTTTCTTATCGTTTTGCTTTTGGTTTTTTCGTTTTGCTTTTCTTTTTTACGGCTGCTTGAAGACTTCAGAAAAATTTGTTTGTAACTAGCGTAAAATTTGTTCGTTATCTTTCGTTTAAATATATAAAAATGCACATATTATCCGTAGTAAATAATAGATGTAAAGTAATTGTTAAATTGTTTTTCTCTTCTTTTTGTTGAGTTTTCTTTTTTGCTTTATTTCCGTTTGCTTGTAAAAATGATCAAGTAATTTACTATGCGTTCAACTAGTTTATTTTCATATTGAAATATATATGCTTCATATATATATATAATATATATATATATAATTTGGTAACTTTCAATATTGCGTTTATCATTTGCCTATAAATCCATAGAGTTTCGTGTGTGTGTGACTTGTAACTATAATGTTATGTTATTATAAATGTTATTTATCATTTGTTTCCTGTTCCGAAAACCGAAATGGAATTTAGCGGCATTTTGGAAATACATAAATGATTCAAGAACAGATTTTCATTTTCCTTAGCTTGAAGAAGTGTAAATTTTGTATGCTTTCTTTTCGTTCGTATAAAATGTTGGTTGGGATTTTGTTTTATATATATTCTTTTTTATTTCTTTTTTAACATACGCAAATATATTTTGTATATTTTCCATGTCTCACTTAACTAGGGCTTTATGTATAAGTTATTATTATTATTTATTACTTTTGCTAAACTTTGCTTTCCTCTTGCTCTTGTCTTTGTGTTTAATATAATGTGTTTTTCGTTTTTCCTTTGTTGAAACAGTAACTTTCAGTCATCTTGTAATCATAATACATACATACATATATGCAATATTACATACGTACAATAATATTCTGGTTTTCGTAATTTAAATTTGTTATGAGCGCCGCGTACAATGCATAAAACACGCATTCCCTTTCTTATATAGTGTGTCGTGTTCTCGTAATTTCACATCGTTTAGGTTTAGGTTTCGTTTTCGGTTTCAATTTCCTCCATATCGATTGTATAAAAGCTAAAATGTTTTCCGCTGCGTATGACAAAAAGTTACCTAGGCATTTAAGTATTTTCTTTTTACCGATCGATCAGGCGATCCTAGATCCTAGAGACCCGATACAAAAATCATCGATCGCCTCCCTCTAACTTCCGGTTCGATTTCGTTCGTTTTTCATCTTGTTTTGGCAGTTATCGTTTAGGTTTCCTTTTGACATGTTTTGTGGTTGCTGTTCTTGTTGCTGCTGCGATATCTACATATATACCGATATCGGCTGAATATCATTAACTTCACGTATGCTTATGTCGTTATCTTTAATTATGTATATGCTAAGCAACTAACATTGGACCATTTCCATTGCGCGACGCACTATATAAGAAAACTAGCTACTTGATTAATTTACCTTTATCCATATATGTATATGCATACTTTATATATAATATATATATTAAATTATGCTCGTATTTATATATTTATATTCGTATTATAATGCAGTTACGTTGCGTTTACGTTATTAAAAAGAATTATGCCGGCAGCTGGGAGACTGCCAAAAAAGGAAAGGAAACCCATGGACGCCCATCTCAGGCCCAGCCCAGCGGAAATATATTGTACAGCGAAAGCATCCACCTTTCGAGGCAGCACCAGCTAATGATCACCTGGTACAGGTGCTGCCGCAAACAGACTGTTAGCGTCACTGCCACCACGATCAGGACCAGGACAATGGCCACAAAAAGTCATCAGTCGCACTCCGGTCCCTCCGAGAAGTGACCCCGCACATCCAAGGCGGAGGCCAGCTGAAAGATGATGTGCGACAGCGACGGATGCTCCAGCAGCTCGTTGGCCGGCAGTGGTGGTTCACAGCGCGGCCTCATGTGTCGCCCCCGGAAGCCGCGGTGCAGGCGCAGGACCACATCACAGAAGACGAAGCGGAGGATCAGGGTGCGCAGGAAGTCGTCGCCAAAGAACTGGACATAGGAGGAGTCTGAAGAAAATAGAATGATACCATCAGAGATTCCCGTGTAATGGACTCCAAGACTCACCTATAAATCCTATGCCCTGCTCGATCTCATCGATGCGACACCGGGTGACCAGGCGCGAGGCTTCCGTGATGAAGCGATCCACATAGGTCTGGCAGCGTTCCCAGTGATGGATGGGCACGTCGCCGACATTGCAGATGTAGCAGAGGGCAGTGAGCGGGGAGTGCAGGAACAATGTGAACAGCGACCCATGATGCTGGACATCAGCTGCAATTTCCAAGCAAATCTTTAATAAATCTCCTGCTCTACAAGCTATAAGGTAAAAGGATAATCTCACCCTGGAAAGCGGGAGGCACATCCTGGGGCGACATGAGCACCACCAGCGGCTGGCCAAAGTAGCGCGGTATGTGCTGAAAGACAAACGAGTTGTCCGAATCGATGATGATGAACATGGGCCGGCGTGTGAAAGGATATAGATCGCCGGGATATAGGCAGTGATTCTCCTTGTACGATTTCCCGCGGCAGGATAATCCGCCGCCGTCAACGCTGTCCCGCTTCACGCTGGTGGCCAAGCCGCCCAGCTCGTAACCAACTGAAAGGAATATAAATTTAAGGATAAAGATGGATACTAATACGACATGTTACTCACAATCCTCGGGATGTTTGGTGGTGGAGAAGCAACCGTCGGCCGACATATACAGAAGCAGGGCACCGCCCAGCGGCAGTTCCTTGAAGCCGCTGGCCAGGAACACCAGCAGCTGGCTTATCGATGGCTTGTACAGCAGATACTTGTGGGGATTGTCTCGAAAGTGACGGCCATTCTCCATGTAGCCCTTGGAACCGGGCACTCCATACGGCGGTATCCGGCTGGCCGCCGGACTCGCATCGTGGCCATGCAGGCCATGAGCCATACTCAACGGATTCGTGGCCGATTCCGTGGGCTCACGCTCCAGCGTCTGCAGCATCCGGAACATGTCCATGGTCAGTTCAGAGAACTTGGCCTGCTCGCAGGCGGAGCCCACGATCAGGATCTCCTGCAGGCTGAGCGTCATGTGCGGCGAGCGCTCGCAGGGCGGGGTCGTTAGCGGCGACAACCTAGAACCGGAACCACTGGACACATCAGTCGAGGTAGTCGCACTCGTCCTCCGGCGAATGGCGGGGCCCGTGCTTTCACAGAAGAATTGAGAATGTGGCGCACTAATGAGGTGACAAGGGTTCGGGTGTCAGGGTGTCAGGGTGTCGGGTGTCTTGGTGGGATCGGGGAATTTAAATGATAATGAAATGATAACTTTTTGTGGTGTGTACATGTCGAGTTGGGTCATTGAAACTTTTTAAAAGATTGAATAAATTTAATAACAAAGGAAACTAACCTCAAGAATCATAAGCTTATATATCCTTGCAGTTTGCAATTTTTTGACAAAGCAAATTTAAAAAATCTCACAACTATGCCAAAAATTCATTAATTCCGATTCGGAAAGCTGTTCTGTTCTAGTTTTTATTAGGTTAATAAATTTGCATACCTAAATTTAATGCTTAAAAATTTTAAATTTTTGTCAATTTTTCAAAATGTCAACAATGTAAAAAAGTGTTCCAAAATGTTGAAAAAAAATTATCAAAATTTTTTTCTTTCCCAGATGCCTAGAAAGATTCCCCTGATCGTGCTGATCAAAAATATATATGCTTTATAGGATCGGAAATGACTCCTTCCCTGCGTTTCAAGCTTCTGATTGAAAGTATAATTCCCTGCAGGGTATACATATTCGCATTCTTTGGGTCGATATTCTATTCCTACAACCGACGGCTTAAAATACTCATAACTAAGCCAAAAAATCATTAATTTTGATTCGGAAAGCTGTTCTGTGCTAGTTTTTATTAGGTTAATAAATCCGTATACCCAAATTGAATTTTTAAAATATATAAAATTTTGTCAATTTTTCAAATGGTCAATAAGGTCAAAAAGTTATTTAAAAAGTCTGAAAAAATTTAAAAATTTTATTTTCTTTTCTTTATGCCTAGAAAGTTTCGCCTGTTGATGCTGATCAAGAATATATAAGATTTATAGGGTCGGAAATGACTCCTTCACTGCGTTTATAGCTCCTGACTGAAAGTAAATAATACCTAGCAGGGTAAGTAATATTTTTTTGTATGTATTATATTTTTTTTATCAAAAAAGTTAAAGTTTAAAAATCGCATAACTAAGTACAAAAGTGCATTAATTCCGATTCGGAAGATTCCACGCAAGGTTCTGACTAATATTAAAAAATAATTATAGTAATTTATAGTAAAGTATATAAATTGTAAGTTTCTTTGGCCCAACTCGTTTTGTGGTTGGATTTTGTGGGTGTTTTGGGACAGAGATTATGGGTAAAAGTGCATGACAAAATGACAACAGTGAGTGTTTCTTTGGTGTTTCAAGTCTTCTGTGATAAGCACAACAAATAAACATAATCAACGGCAACGGAACTCAAGCAAAACTCGTATACCTACGCAAACAGAACAGGGCATATACATTTATATAGATAGGGGTTGCCAAAGATAAAGTTAAACTGAAATCACCTAAAAAAAGTGTTTAAAAGTATGCTTAAATATTTCTTTGCATTTTTTTAAAATGTAATATTTTCTAGCATAGTTTTTGAACACTTTATCAGTTTTTTACAGTTTCTCTTTCTTTGACACCCCTGATCGTACGTAGACATATGCGGACAGAGAGAGAGGCTATTGGCCATACCACTGCCCAGCACCAGCACCCCACCAGCTGTCCAAACTCCTCCTCCGCCGACGAAAGCACGGGCTAAATACGCGAGTACGGCTGGAAGCTGTGCCAACGACTCACCTGTGCGACAGTATGATGGGATTGGAGTCGGCATGGAGGACGGCCACCGCCGCCTCAGCCTTGATGAAGCCCTTGATCTCCTCCAGCACCAGTGACCACTCCAAATGATCCTCCGGCTCGTAACTGCGGGGAAATCTGGGGATTAATACGGAATACATAAGTGGGGCTAACTAATTAGTTACGTGTTGGTGTACTCCTGTATTTGCTTCTCCAGCTCGGTGACCAGCTCGCGCACCAGCTTCATCTTCTTGAGCAGCAGGCAGACGACAATGAAGCGGGCATAGTATCGCAGCTTTTTCACCATCAAATCAGGCCGATCCTCCTTAGCCGCCCGCGAATAGTAGGCCCGTCCCCGGATGGCCGCATAGAACTGATACGCCTCATTCAGGTAGTTCGTTTCGCTGGTTCTTAAGCTAATGAAACGAAGAGAAAATGAATCTCTTCGATACCATATGGCATATGCGTTTTTCATATACTCACTAATAGTGATAATAGAGCTGGCCAATTTTGCTCGCTATTTCGCCGATCTGCCATCGCTTTAGGCCATACTTGGAGTCGAGCACCATGCGATGTTGCTGCTGGAACTTCCACAATTTGGTGTAAACATCGAAGGTGCGACCGAAGTAAGCTTGCCACTGTCGATGGCCATACTGTGGCAGATCCCTGTGATTGACACTAACCTTAATTTGTTGCAACAATATTGCGATTTGTTGAGACCGACTCACCTCAGCCCGTTGAAGAGCTGCTTGGACTTCTCGAGCAGGTGGCAAAACTCCAAAACTAGCTTTCGATCCTGTTCTTCCGTGGATTCCATTTTCACCATGCCGTTCTTCTCAACCGCCGCCGCAATGTGTTATGTCTGCGAATCGGATCTGCTGTAAAAATTGAGATTATAAAAGGAATTATTAGGGAGCTTAAAGGGAAAGTTGTGTAACTTTCTTGTGCCAAGAAATTGACTTGAAAATCTTGAAAAGTAAAAGTGATTTGAAAAGTATGTTAATCATTAGTTCTTTTTAAAACTGGGTGAGATATTTCACCCCTCAAACAAACTGAATATAAGCCAACCATGTTCCGGATATGTATCTACCCATCCAAATATCTATCTATTTGATTTCATTTGAAATTAAATTATTAGGGAACTCGTAGGGATAGTTGTATGAGACAGTAAATTGACTTGAAAATCTTGAAAAGTAAAAGTGATTTGAAAAGTATGTTAGTCATTAGTTACTTTTAAAACTGGGTGAGATATTTCACCCCTAAAACAAACTGAATATATGCCCTGTTCCCGATATGTATCTACCCATCCAAATATCTATCTATCTATCCATCTATCGCTGCACGTATCTATTGTAAATAAAAGAGGAGGAGACGGAGGAGCCTCCGATGACTGCCCACTTGAGATTCATTCAGCCGCTCGTTGAGCCATTGTCGATGTGGATAATATGGATAATGTGCATAATGACGATGATGATGTCAATGGGTTTGATGCTGATGCCGTAGCTTTGCTCACAATAAAATGAAATGCCTATGCGGCTTTTTTTCCATATTAAATATTTAATTTTTATGTTGCCGAAACAAGAACTGAAATTTTGCAATTATGTTTACTTTTCTAAGCGAATTTAAAGGCGGAATGCTCGGTCGCGATACCAATACGAATTCAATTAAAATTTCAATTTGGTAAAAACAATTATGTAGCCTTTTAAGTGCAAACGGACAGATGGATGAGATGGCCCAGGATCCACGGATGAGAGAGATGAAATGGGATGAGACAATCGTTATACTGGGCAATGCATCAAAAGCTCAATTAATAACGCCCGACCAGGCGACCGGGCGAAATTGTTTGCACAGAAAAAAAGGAAAAAAAAGAAAGAAACAGAAACCACACACACACGGGGGCCACCGAACGAGGAAAAACCCGGAAAATGTCGAGCAGGGCAGAGCGGAAAACAGAGTAAATGCACAAAAGGGTCGGCAGTGCAAATGGCGCCGCAGCGGCCACATTGATTTGGCTTTGGCCAAACTAGGTCGCCCCACAGAGTACAAAAACTTTCAATATGAGCTCATCAGGCAGCAGCCAGAAGCCAGAAGCCAGTAGCCAGTAGTTCAATACAGTGAAAGAAAATGTATCCATCAAATCAAGATAAAATGGATAATTTAAATACAAAATTAAATCGGGAATGCTAAAAATGCTATCATAAAATATTAACAGGGACTCATATGAAATTATATGAACAAAACTAGCTATACTTTCTCTCAGTGTTCGGTGAAATGGCAACTGGGGACAGAAGATGGTAACTGAGCGATGCGTGTAAATATAGTTTCCCTTTTTTTTTGGCTGGGTCGGAAAAGTGCTGCTGGGAAACTGCGTCAAATATGCGTCACCTCGGCGAGCGGCCAACCAACAAGTCGATTGGGGCACACACAGTGCCAGTAGGACACACATTTATGGCGCCCTAATCAAATTAAGCTTCCATTTAGCGCCTTGAAATTACATAATATGAAAATTACGCATACGCAGCGTTAACAAACAAGCGGCTAGTGGAGTGGAGTGGAGTGGCGAAAGCAAAACAAAGCTGACTCACTCACTCACTCACTCAGTCAGAGAATGAAAGACTGGCTGCTGCTCCTGCTCCTGCTCCTGCTGACTTCATCATCGCCATCATCCTCGACAGAAGTTAACCAACATCATCGGCATGTCAACATGTGGAAGCCGGAAATGAAGAAACACAAATACTAAGCACAGTCGTTGCCACTGCGATGTTGCTCATTAACACCCTCTCACACCCCGTCTCCCGCTGTCTCGTCGCTGTCCTGTTGGTCTTCCCTCAGAAAGTGCTTTGCCCCTCAGAGTTGCCACACTAAGCGGAGCAGACAGGGCCATGTCGGGATGGAGTCCTGCCACCAGCAAAAGTGTCAAAGATGGTTAAAGGAAAACTATAAAATTGGAGGGGAAATTGTAAAGGAAAACCACTAAGCTCCTTTTCAATTTACAAGTATTGTATTAAGAAAATATTAAGGTTTTAAATGGAGTTTTTTAAGGCTGTATATAAAGTATGTTTTTTTGTTTTTATATTAAAAACAACTTTAAATATCTTCTTACCTAAATATTAAATTTTCACTTCTTCGACTTTTCTCAAGGACATTTTTGTCGCCTTGCCAAAGTCAGTCATATAGTTAACGCGGCAAAAGTTCTTCCCCCATTTTCATTTCTTTTTTTTTGTTGTATGCCCTGTTGCTCGTGTTGTTGTTGTTGCGTGTGTGACAATATGTACAACAGCAACAGCAACAACAAGAACAAGGATAAAATAAAACACAAGCTACGAGAGCGAGTACAACTGTTGGTGGAAAATCCCAATCCCAGTCAAACAAAGCGTGCAAAAAAAAAATGGGAGTATGCAACGCACTTTGCCGCTCATCGGGGAGCTTTCCACGAGGAGCGAGGGGGAGGCGGAAACGGGCAGCAGCTCCCTTTTTGACTGACTGCCAGTGCGTGCCTCTATGAGTGTGAGTGTGTGTGTGTGTGTGTGTTTTTCAATGCCCGCCAGCACTGTTGCAACAACAGCAACAACTGCAACACGAACAACAGCAACAACATCGACTGCAACACGAACAACAGCAATACAGAGAAAAAAAACAAATAAATATATATACAAAATATATTCCTTCAAGCAAAACTATCATGGATTTCGTAATTAATTTTTAAAAAATATTTATCCTCTTGGTATATTTATTAAAAATCAAGGAAGAATTCAATACATGTTATTATATATACCCCTTCTAGATCAAAATAAGTGCTTTAAAATAGTTGAATTTAATTTAAATATAACATAGATTAGGACATGAAAGGATTTTAACTACGGGAAGAAAAGTATTCTTAAGCCTTACAGTTTAAATACGAATTATGGGAAAGATTCGGAAATCGGTCATAAACAAGCATAAAAATGCTAATATAATAATGCTAATTATTGATATTTATATATGACAATTTTTAAGGAACATCAAAGCTTAAAAAACTCATAATTCAGCCAAAAAGCCATTAATTTTCATTCGGAAAGCAGTCTTATGTTACTTTTTATAAGTTTAATAAATCTGCATACTTAAAATAAAATTTTAAAAAATTCAAATTTTTGGCATTTTTTTGACAAAAATTTTAACTTAAAAGTTTGACAAACAATTTTCAAAATTTGTATTCTTTAATACATGGCTAGATCGATTCCGCTGTTAATGCTGATCAAGAATATATATGATTTATAGGGTCGGTAATAACTCCTTTAAGGTCTTCCAAGCTTCAGACTGAAATTATAACACCCTACAAGGGTATAAAATTAGCAAACTAACTTTAAAAGCAGCCTAGCTTCTCTTGTATATTAAGGCATATTTAGGATAAATAAATAACAGATCATTGCAAATTTTTATATTATAATACTACCAATTAAATTAAAATAGAAAGACTGGCTCGGAGAATAGAAAATAAACTTACAATGCAACAGTTAAGATCAAAGGATAACAAAGGCATACTTAGGATATACAAAGATTTATAATTCTTTGATTAGGAAACAGAAAATAATATTTAAAGCATCGAGGTATTTACATACTTTATTATATTTCGTTAATTAGAAATTTCTCTTATTATTCAACATTATAATTATAATTTCTGTCAGTGTCTTAACTATTCGCTGCTACTCCGCGCTCTTTGCTATTTGACAAAGCTGCACATTTTTTCCGTTTCGCTCCTTTTCTTTCTGAAAGTGGGAGTGTGTGTGGGCAAACAAGGAGTGGGATGTGGGTGTGTGTGGAGTGTGTGTGTTTGGAGGTTGGGTGTGTAATCCTTCAAAGGCATTGTAGGCTACACATTTAATGACATTTTGACGCTGCTGCCAACGCTGATAATGATGTTGTCGTACATGCAACGTCCGCATCCGCAGCAAACTTCAAGTTGTCTGTCCCCCCAAAAAGTCCTTTTCCCCTTTCAGTAACCATCCAGTCATTAGGACTTATGAATTTCGGTTTAACAATTGAGCAGCCGCTGCTCCTGCTCCTTCTGCCTGCCTGCGAAACTTTGGCACAGTTCAGCCTTCATAATTAATGGTGAAAAAAGACGAGAATTTCACAACACTTTTACATATAAAAACCAACTACTTGAGTGGGCCAACTTTACCCTAATGATACAGACAGACAGACAGAGTCCGCTTCGGTCCGAAAGTTACAATTCTCATATCTCGCTGCAGACATCACACAGAGGCTGAGGCTGCTGCTGCACAAAAACTTTGCCAGGACCAAAAAGCCAGCCGGATGCGAGTGACCAGCGTGGAACTTTTCCCTTGGCCTCAGGACATTTTTTACATTTTTTTTTTCTGTTGTGAACTTCGTTCGACTGTCGCCCGGGGGCAATTTACATTTCACATTTAATTGGCAATTTCTATTTATCGAAATTGATCTCGCCCCCCCTCCGAAGTTGCCAAAAGGATGTTTGTATTTCAACACAGCATGCCGGCACAGCACACACACGCACACACAAAGAGCAAAAAGGATACTAGAAGCAGGAAAATTAAATTCATTCAAGGTACATGGGGCTTTACCGGTTTATATTTTTGAATTTTCTATCAAAATATGTCAGTGGGATATTAATAATATATTTATTTTGAATAACTAGCTGAAAATTCTGGAATGGCCAGTAAATAAATATTATTTCATCTTTAAAAGGACGTGGGACCTGTGGAATACAGTGCAAGAAATCTGCTATTGAACCTTTTATATATATTTTGTTAACATTTTAGTTATTTTATTACTTAAATTATGTATGAAAAGCTTATTCCATTAAACTTAAAATTTATTAATAAGTTTCTGAATAGATTTACCACCTGAATTATCAGCATGTAATTTCTATTTTTTTCCGGACAAAATTCTATTTTTACCCTGTTAAAAGTCTTCTTTTTATCTCGGCAGAATAAAATAAAGGACGTACTCATTTTAGACTTATAAATCATTTAAATTTGGTAAGCAAACTATGGCTTTTAGACAAAAATAGGTCTTTTGTAAAACCAATGTTTTGGGAATCGAGTTTATGATAGGGAAAAACCTTTGCATATTCATATTAATCTTTTGGTAAAGTCCTTCCGCTTTAAGAGCATCCTTTGTTACATTTTTTTTTTAGTAATTCTTCACTACTAGTATTAATAATAATCTATAACTAAATTAAAACTCACCTTATCATTGTTGTATCTGCTGCTGCTGCCACAAACAACAACAACAGAAACAGAAGCGGATACGGAAACAGCGAACTTGGTCGCAGTCACAGCCTCTGCTAGCAGTCGCTGCCCGCTGCTGCCGCTACCGCCACCGCCGCCGCTGCCGCTGCTGCTGCTGCTGCTGCTCCTGCTGCCGACGTCAACGTCGCCGTTGTAGAAAGTTGTTGTTGCCGCCGTCGTGCAATTAGATTAGCCGTCTTTGTTGCCGTCGCTGCTGCCACTGCCTCTGTCTCTGCCTCTGCCTCTGCTACCTCTTCCACTGCAGACGTCGACGCCGCCGTCTTAGCTTTGTTGCTGGCGCCTTGCACTTGACATATGTTTGCCGGATTCGACCAGGATCTGATTCTATATATCTGGATATGTGCCTCAATATCTACACGTCAAGCACTCAGTTTTCACTTTTCACTCACTCGAAGACAGGCTTGGACTCTTCTTTTCCTTTTGCCGGTTTGCAACGATTTGCCCACACACGAATTTCACTGGGGATTGCGGATTCTCATTCTCTCTCCAATTATCACTGGGCGCTTTCTCAATCCTTGGGGGATTTACACGGATCTCGAGAGCGTTACGTGCGGGGGATTAAAGCGGGGAGCGGCAATTGTGAGTGGAGAACGCTGCGACCGTCGCGTTTGGCTGCACAGTATTGAATTTTTTCGCATTTACATTTTTAACGAGGAGGGTTGGGGGTTGGTATTGATTTTTTTCGCCACTTTGACAGTTCTATAGTGCCGGCGATGGCCGCCAGGGGGCGTGCACTGACAGTTGGCAATATTTGCGGGGGTTGAACAGCTGATAGCCCGAAAATCCGTTACAACAGTAAATTTTGAACGGAAAACTCTCCAAAGGGGTTGAAAAGTTAATAAATCTAACGGTAGGCGGCGACACCTTTGAGTTAAAACAGCTGATTCGGCGTTCCAAAAATCTCCAAAACTTTTTGAGTTCGTTTAAGTGAAACTAAACCGGTTTTAGCGGTTTTTTTAACTCATCAGAACACCGATTTTCATAGATTTCTCAAAAAATAAGTTCACTATTTCATGGTCTACTTTTTTGCATGGGTTTCACTACATGAACACATTTTTTTTTAGTTTTATTGCAATACATAAAGTACAATAACATTTACATTTTGCATTACATAAAAGCGCTTTAAATAATATTTGGTTTTTGGTTTGTTGCTTGATAAAATTGCGACTAAAATTGTTGCGGTTTTAAGTGCCTGCTCTTTCACTATCACAGTGAAATAAATTACATTGTTTTTGGGATACAGTATACCATAAATATATATATTTATATACGCTTATGTTTGTGTATATTCGTCATGTAAAACAATAGTTAGTGTTGCATGATAGGTAACCATATTATATGGCATATACAGATATATATATATGTATAATCCCCTAACTATCATTTAAGACGCCAGATTTTTCATTCATTTGGAATATGCGCGTGGCTTTTTTTTTCAGTCTTTCAATAAATCCAAAATCCTTACGTCCGATGTACGTTCTAGTTGCATCAGGTTGTATATATACCGCAATTTTCACTTATGTACAAGGTAGCTACGAGAATAATTTTCATTTGGAACTTAGGGATATATGAATAATAATTTGGAATCATCTACTCTTAGAAGTTACTTCTATTTTGGGCTCATTTTACGTTGTGTATTGTCATGTGATTTCTGGTTTGCTAAATATTTACCTTACACGCATGAAACTCACGGTATATATACCTGATTAGTTAAGCTATGTTGTTTATATTTAAAATTTGGCTTTGGTTTACCATTTGAAAGTAATGTTCGATGTTTTGAGACGCGAATGGAGTTGAGCTAAGTAAATTGTTTTGGAGGAGATCGATTACTTTGTAGATTCAATGGGTATAAAGTCTAAACCTGGAAGTTAAATTTAATATAATTAAATTTCTTCTATTCCCTGGTCTCCCAGGAGCTCTAAAATTGCCGTAATCTAAACATATTTTTTGATTTTCGAGTTAAAACTGCAGAATATTTAAATAACTTATCTTAAAACTTTACATGATCAATTTTAAATTTAATCATTAAGTATTTCCGTCACTTTTCTAAATATTTGAAACTAAATATTTGTTTTAATAATGTAAATCATATGATATATACTAATTTTTATACAAATTCGACTTTAAAGAAGATTTTCCTTATTAAAAATTTAGATAATATTAAAATTCAAATAACTCTCAGCTTTATATTTCCAATAAAATCTAATATTTTACTTCCAAACCCTTTTAACTTTATACTCATTGAATTATGAAGCCCCTTAAGATCTCTCCTAAACCATAGGAGCTGCATCCTTCCCTATTCTTAAGACGGTTCCTGGCTAAGATCTAGGCTTGTTTCCGGCCTAGACAAGTGTCACCTACAACCGCGTGGCCTCCGACACGGTCTGAACATCTCCTGCTCCGCCATGCACCTGCTGACTGGTCGTGGTGGTGGTGGTGGAGGTGGAGGTGCCCACATCCGTGGTGGGGCGCGGCAGGTGCGAATAGTAGCCCATCTGGCAGGAGTTCTGGTGGGTCAGCTTCTGGCTTTGGCTGAGCTGGTACTGGGCCGCCTTAATGGCAGCCTGTTGCTGCGGCGTCAGGCAGTCGCAGGCGGCCAGTAGCTCCTCCGTGGACTTGGCTGTGATGGTCGTCGTCGTGGTGGTGGTCAGCTCACCCACAAATTCGGTGGGCGGCGGTGCATAGTTCTCCACATCGCCGTACGTGGAGTATCTTCCATAGGGATTTCTTCGCGGCATCGAGTGACGCTGCTGGGGAAGCTGCATCTTGACCGCGGGCTTGACAGCCACCGTGTCCAGGTAGCCATAGTTGAAGTGGTAGCCCTCCTTGGTGGCCAGATTGTCCCAGGACTTGGGCTTCTGGATGTAGGCTATGGTGTTGGGATAAATCTGTGAGGGCTGCATTTGAGCAGTGGCCACATGGTAGCCCTGATGATAACTCCCCTGCTGCTGCTGCTGCGGATGATGGTGATGGTGGTGGTGTCCTTGATGCGGCTGTCCCTGCTGAGGGACTTGCTGCTCGTAGGATTGCCTGGATTTCGTGGATGGTTGCCGGGATTGACCTGGCTCACTTTTGGGATCCCAGAACAAGGTATCCGTGCTAATGGAAGTTGTGTAGGAGGCGGAATCCCCCGGGGCGAACTCACTGGATGTGCAGGAGTGGAGGCTGCAGTGACTGGCCAGGCCGGAGGCCAGGTCAAAGTACCGGGAGCGAGTGCTCCCGGTTTGGGACTGCACCTGGCAGGGGTTTTGCACCTGGTGCGTACCATAATGATGGTGATGAGGCACTGCCTGCGATTGCTGTTGCTGCTGCTGCTGCTGCTGCTGCTGCTCGTGGCTGTGATGATGATGATGATGGTGATGGTGGTGTCCAGATCCATTGGCATTCGGTGAGGCATGCGACTGGGACTTGGGCCTGATCCTCTGTTCCTTGCTCTCCACCCGCTCTCGGTCCCTTTCCCTGTGCTTGTGCTTGTGCGTGTGCTCCTTGTGCTGGCGATGACGACGCCGCGTTGGCACACAATGAGTATCGCAGCAGGGACTGGCCAGATCGTAGGCATCCAGGCTGACATTGTCGGGTGCCGGCAGAGCCGACTTCTCCGCTGATTTCCAGCGAAAATGACCCAGGCAGGGATTGCACGAATGCCCCACATGGCAGTGCTTTCCGGCGGACTTTTCCTTCTCTGACTTGGGTGGCTTGGCCGGCGGCTTGTGCTTCTCGCAAGTGCGGGGTGGTGGAGCCGGTGGCTTCACCGATCCACCGCCCGTGGTACTGTGGTACTGCGTGGGTGCCGTGGCCGTGGGTTGACTAATTGTATTTGTGTCCACTGACTCGGTTCGCTGCAGGATGTAACGCTGCTGCTGACCACTGGCCTGGCCTGGCGGCTGGTGATCACTACTGCTCCGCTGAAGACCCAGACCATCGATATAGTCCTCGGAGCTGCCGTGAGTGGGCCTCAGGACATACCGATAGGTGGGATCCAGGTAGTGATAGGTGAGCATGAACTGAGCAGGCGGCGGTATAATGCCAGGATGTCCACCCACCACGGACGCTGCCTGTTGTCGTGCTGCCATATTGGCCACATCTTCGGTGGACAGGGCGGGACGATAGAAGCCAGTGTCACCGCCGCCACCCTCCGTTGGAGAAACACCTTCACCGTCGCTGGGCGAGGTGTTGGCGGTGGCTTTCTTCCGTGCCGGCAGGCTGTGCGTCTTCCACTTGCCCTCCAAAAGCTCCCGTTCCCGGAGATGCACCCTCTCCAGCTCGTTCATCTTTTGCTGCAGCATGCTCTGCAGCTGGATGTAGCGCATGTGGAGGTCCACCTGGGGAAGAAATTAGAGTTAGGGAGTTGATCAAATATTAGACTGTCAGATACTCTACCTTCCTCACGCAATCCTCGAAGAGCACCACCATACGCATCCTGGTGTCACACTGCTTGATGAACTCCACGATGGTCTTGTGGTCGGCCTTCTCCATGTCGCTGCCATTAATGGACAGAATGACATCTCCCTCACGCATCCCAGCCCTGTAAGCCGGACCACCATACTCCACATAGTCCACATATGTTATCATCTCCAGCTCCTCGTCACGCTTGTAGTGGATGCCATAGCTCTGCAGGGTGAATCCATACGAGTCGTTCTTTTTCTCCACGATTATCGTGCGTCGCCGTCGATCCTCGTCCGGTTTGGACGCCAGGAAACGCTCGGACTTGTAGCGCCCCAGGATGTGGGTGGAGCGGGACAGCTGAAATAAAGGGATAAAAGGGGCAGACGATGTAGTGCCGATTTGCGATGAAAGTGAAGACTTGTATGCTAAACTATAGTTAGCACTTCCGGGTATTTACACGTCTGCGGAATGTGGCACACCGAATGGCCGGCAGGTGTGGTTCAAACCATCAAAATGATGTTTGCCAAGCCCATGCCTAAGCCATTCCCTCGTCCTCGTTGCTCTTCCTGCTTTTATTGAAAGCATTTCTATGAATACAGGATGAGGATGAAGCCCCCCAGCAGGCGGGCAACACTTTCGCTGCGGGAAAGCGGGAAAAGCAAACCAAACAAATTGTGCATAGACTTGGATATATACAGATGCGGACAAAATAATAATTCTCAATGGAAAATATGTATAAATTTTGGGTTTGAATTCTATTATAAACAATTTCTAATCAAAGGATATACCATGCCTGGAATTCAAAACATATTAAAAGAAAATATATAATTGTATTATTTATTTGTCTTCAAATATGATATTTAGACTGTACTTGAATATCCGGTAAATGTTTATACATCTGAGAATATTTCACATAAAATATTAATTATTCAAGAATTCCATTTATACTATTTTGTAGTTAATTATTCAACTAAATACCACTGTAGTGAGACAAACCGCAAACGCTCAGAAAATACGAAATATAAAATGTACGAAGCTCAGATACAAAATATAAAATGCTGAAATAGACCTTACTGGTCTTTCATTAACGCCTTCATTGTGCGAAGCGTAATAAATGGGCTGAAAGGCTTTGGACCACCCTCAGTTCCTGCGGCTATAATGCCATCGGCTGGGAAGCGCAAATTGTGTGGCATTATGTTGGTACCAAAAATACAGTAGTAATTTAAAATGAAATTGTTAAGAGTTTCCAAATAGAAATGCAGACAGGAAAATCACAAACTTAAGTTATAAAAGAAATTAAATACAAGGAAAATGTGAGTACCTTAAGTATGTAACTTTCAAATTAGTACATATAAATGCTAGGGTATAGTCCAGTTAAGTTCCTTATTATTTAACAACTTTACTCAAGTTGTAGGAATAATAAAATAAAAACACACTTTCCGTTTCCTAATGATATTAAGTAATAATAAAGCGACTATATTTAGCACTAATTAGTTTGCTGACTTGCTAAACAACAATAATACCTAAAGACATGCCTCCAGCCACTAGCAAGTACTCGAAATAATCCTATCATGCTTTCATCGACCCATAAATTAAGCCAACTGGTTAATTTTTGTAATTGCCCGTGCCAAAGTCAAGGCCCTTTCGGTGGACTCATCTACTCCCATCGCCGCGCTCGCTGGGCGTATGATACATTTCAATATATGACTATTTGCAGGGGCATTGAATTATTAACACTTGATCGACGACGGCGGTTGTTGGCGGCCGTTGAGGTTGCCTGGCGAAGCGTAAACTATGCATAACGACCCCGCCGGAGGTTAAACAGCTGGGGCTGCACCGAAGAGGAAACCACCACCGCCGAGGCCGCCCACTCGAGGGGCAAGCAATAAACCACCACCCACAAACACAGCTCCCATCATCCACCACCCGCAAGACAAATTCAATTGAGCCAGCACTGCAGGACCTTGTCGCATTATGATGACTCAGTGTGTGGGACACAATCCAATTCATTTGGCGACCATTTGGATACCAGGCGTAGCGTTGTGTCCTGAAGCCCCCTTGGACGTATGTACATACCTGCGCATACTCGATCTCCTCGTCGCTGGCATCGAGGCTCTTGTGAAACTTGAGGCGTCCCAGGCTGCCGGTGCCATTGACATACTGATGAGACGGCTGATAGTGCGGATTGCCTTGGGAAGAGTGGTGCTGCTGGTGCATTATTGGCTGATGCGGCTGCTGCTGCTGCTGCAGGCAGGCGGCGGCAATAAGGGAGCCCACGGAGGTGGCATTCGAGGCAGAGATGGATACAGCCGCTGCCGTGGTGGCCGCACTGCTAGCCGCCGTGGCTATGCTCTGGCAGCTGCTACTCATGGGCTTGCCGGCCATCTTCACCTCGTATTTCGTATTGATTTCTTCACGCAGTCATAATTACTGGCGGCGGATCACTCCGCCAGATACAGAGATACCGACGACACCGACACCGCGCCAGAGACACCAAAGCCGATACCGATACCGATTCCGAGGGAGATTGAAAATGCGGTGCGAGCAGAACACCTCCTCCAGCGGCCAGGTTCAGACACAGAGTGATGATGGGCAATTACAATTAGTCATTGCCATTCATAAAAAGTTTACTCCGTCGTAACTCCGTTGCGTTTATCAGTTTTGTATTTGTCGAGGGAGAACTTTTCCATATTCGAGCGAGACGAGGCAGCGTTTTTGTTGTCGCGTGAGTCTGTTTCCGCTCGGGTTGTTCCACTTCCGCTGAAGCTTGCTGCCGTACTGAGCCGTTGGAGCCGTCTAGGTGTCCACAACGGAAGCGGGAGCATGGAGAACGGAGAGTGGTAATGGCAGAGCGAAGCACGGAGAGCTCAAATGCACCCACACGCACCAGGGCCAGCAGGGAAAAGCGGTTTATATTTATGGCACATGTTGACTGCTGTATTGCTCAAACTTATGCTCTGAGTGGCGCAGCGCATGCGCTTCGAAACAGCATAAAATAGCTGCTAAAAGTTTACGGAAGAGTTAAATATTATAATTTAAATTATCTCTATGTATGTATTTACCAAATTTCCGGCTTCTATTTGCCATATTTAATTTATTATAAAGTCTTTTCCCTTTTACCAAACTTAACAGAACTGATTAACAGTTCTCTGCTAGGCGAAACATGTTAACACTCAGTCTGTTAAAGAACAGTAACTGTAACTGTTAATCTAAATGTAAATTTATCCACACATTGAAACTCGTTCTTTTTGGTTATTTTACAAATGTATTTGTTTACAAATTGAACTTTGCTACTCCGCCAGCTCGCCACCAGGCACCAACTGCAATATAAACCAATTAATTAAAGATAAACACGCAGTTAACGAAGGCACTCACCATCGTTATGTTGTTGCCATTGAGCAAAATCTGATCCAGTTTGGTGATGCGGCGTCCGTCTGGAGTGTTCTCGTACTCCGTGACATCGTCCAGAAGCATGTTGACAAAGTCATCAAATCCCAGCAGGGTACCGACCATCTCCTTGTCGTTCTTCATGATGATATGGATGCGGGAGCCAATGCATTTGTCCACCAATTCTGTAGGCACATTACACCAAAGCCGGTTTATGTTGATTTCTCGTGTTAATTTCACTTCGATTCTATTTACTTACCCAGTGGCATCAGAGTGGAGATGTTAGCGGGGGGCGGAACGGCAGTCATCTTTCCTGAGATTTGTTTACAAGTATTTATTTAAACAATTAGAATTGGCGAAAACTCCAGCAGGAATGCGAGGTAAACAATGCGGATTAATGAGTGGAAGCTGGTCACACAAAACTATCGAAAGTCGATAGTCTGGATAGAGATGACAATTTAAACAATGAAATCATAGCTAGGAAATATCAAATATCAAATCAATTAATTTATTTATTAGATGACACGTCACAAGCACAATAGATGTTATCACACGGGAAGCACGGGACAAAATGAGGGACAGCCCCATGATAGCGCTCGTATTTATACTCTGTGGGCACAGAGTGAGAGAGATGCATAGAGCAAGAGCGAGAGAGTGATATTAGGAGCAAGAGGTACTGAGGCCTAGTTAGGGACGAATAGAGAGAGAGAGAAAGAGCGGCGCAGAGAGATAGCGAGGGGGAGAGGGAGTTAATAATACATCAATACATAGCAAACTGCTGATTAGAATTAAAATACTCATTGCAAGAATATAAACACGCTAGGCCGTCAGAACTTGAACGCTATACAATAGCTAGGGATTTCCAGTGATTTGCAAAACGGTCACACCAACCGTCGGTCTTTCATAATTTTCAAGATCAGGAGTCATATATCTCAAATATTTGAGTAAACAGTCGTCTGTGCCATATGCTGGCCAACTGGGACGAGGGGCAGGGTTGTGCCGCTGCTCGACGCTTACATAATGTCCGTGTCGCTGGTCCCCCAAATCCGGAAATTGGTCAACAGCAGGCGGCACTTCCTAGTGCTGCGTCGATCGCTGAACCAAGGTCAGTGTGCATTTGAACAGAGCCCTGGGATATCATGTGATTCTTCGGTTCTTTGGTAGATCTGACCACGGCGCTGAGGCCCTTCTACTTTGCGGTGCATCCGGACTTCTTTGCCCAGCATCCTGAGCAACGGAACACCAACGAGAACTCCCTGAAATTGCTCAGCGAGCACCTGGAGGCCTTGTACGAGCGCCGCCTGCGCAATGAGGATACGCAGGTGCTCAAGTTCTATGTGCGCGCCAGTTCTGATGCAAACAAGCGCGATACCTTCCGGCTCATTCAGATACGCACGGACAGGCAGAGCACGCGGGATCCAAAGAGATTCATCCAGGGGCTCCTCGAGTCCTGCAATCTATCCACGGAGTACGTAAAGAACATCAAGGCGCAACCAGAGCCGCCCAAGAGCTCGGGATTGGAGTTTAGGCCCAGCCAGGACTACCACTACGACGCAGAGTTTGCGGAATTCGAATCTCAGCTAAAGAATGTTCGTCGAACCGGATAGCCTTCTTAAAACCAAGTTAATGCTCACTTTAAACCCACAGGAGCGTGCCAGCAAGCGTCCAGTGCTGACCACCTGGCTAGAGGAGAACGCCGACAAGGCCAGGCAGCGGGTCAAGGAAACCGCAGAGTTACAGGCAGAGATTGACAAGCTGCAGCGGGTGCTGGTAGAGAAGCTGCAGCTGCGCGATGCGCGCTACGAGTGCGGCTGGAATATTGATCACTATCGCGGCTGCCTGAAGACCCTGGAGCGACTGGCCAACACGCATCTGGTAGAAATGGCTCCTCTTAAAGGACGCATTGTGGTCTTTGCCCCCTTCACGGGCATCAGCCTAGAAGGTCACGTTATGCTCTTCACCGGCGATGTGCTCAGCACGTGGATTGACTTCATCAAGAACATTCCGCATCACGATGCCTATTTGAAGGTAGTTCCCGTATATGAACGGACCTTATCGCAGGTCCTCCTGGAGATTCAGATCGGGCGGCGCAAGTTTATGCCCAAGCAGCAGGCTAGCGGCTATGCCAATCACCTGATGAAGGTGACAACCTCGCTCAACGATTATTTAGGCAAACAAAAGTACCCAACGGAATGGCCAAAGACGCTAAAAGAGTTCACCATTGTGGTGGAATCGGAGGCTGGTCCACTTATGGTGAGTCCCACGGGTCAGTTCATTACACCGGCCACTTGTCCGGGCTCCATACTCGTGGACTTCATTACCCAGCACATGGAACTAGCAAGAGAGCGGATGAAGAAATATGCTCAGGACAAGCACGTCGAGCAGGAGCTCATGGATGCGTGCATAAAGCAGCTGCAGCTGCAGTCACTGACCAAAGACGATGCCATCACTCCGGACAAAATGATAGCGGCACTCCGAGACCTGTCCCAGATGCAGGTGCAGCAGCAGCTGAAGCAGGGCAAGCTGCACATCACACACTACTATTCGGTGCTGACCGACGGCGTGGTGTGCATTCCCTGGGACTTTGCGCAACGGTGAAAAGAACTCTTCTCATATGTGCCTTATTAGTCGGAAAATATACTAAGTAATGATATATGGTTATCCTAAAAAATCGTGGGTTCCTCGTCGAGTAAAGGGGGTTTCCCTTATTTTATTTCAATAGGTGAGTCAGAATACTGAACATATTTGCAGTTCAATTAGATGTTTACTCAAGGATTTTGTGGTTGAGTTTGGCTAATAAAAAGATAATAGTTCTTATTACCTTTTATTATAGCGGAAATGATATAGAAACCATGGAATCCACACATTTAATAATGTGTCATACGATTTTATTAATTCTCTGAAAGGCAAAGAGGGAAAACGAACTCAAGCTACTTTTACAATGCAAATATATATATATTTTGTATGTTTTACAATAATACTGCCCTGTCTAGCAGTGATTAAACAAAGCTGCAGTCCTCCAGGCTCCAGGTACATTCCCTCTGATGGGTCTGGAACTCAGCAGCCTTTCGTGTATAGACCTGGACCTCACCTCCAACTGTTTGAGAGGGATCTCCAGCGCACACAACGGAGTTTTCGGTTTCTGAATCGAACAGGGAGATACCACCATTACCGTACACCACTCGCCACCAGGAAAAATAGGTCTGACTGTACACGTCTTTGGTGATGCTGGCATTGGTCGGAGTTTGAACATTCTTGTTAAGAACTAGATAGCGTTTCCAGTAATCACTGTAAAAGGCGAACTGCGGCCGGCTGTCGTTGGTGAGCAAACGTTGCACGGAAAATGGAGCCCTGACGCTCCTCTGGTAATTGTTGCACATTAACAAGGTCCGCGGGCACTCGTGCATGTAGAGAGACCCAGCAGTCACATTGCGGATGCATATCTTCCGGGCGGTGTATAGCAGTTGCTCCTCCTTGGAGAGGCGCGCATATACCTGTGCTCTTAGTGATCCATCTACATCCTTGTCGAAACGGGGATTCTCCAGTAAACTTCTGAGGTTATTTTGCAGGGCTTGAAGCGCTGGAATATCAGCTTTTCCTGTCTCCACCACCCTTTCGAATAGTTTCAGATTAGCCTGGGTCTGCAGGGTCAAACTGCTGTTGAAGTTCTCAAGTCGTTTTGCCACACTCGAGGGAGTTTCCATGACCAGAACAGTGTCGAAAAGGACTTGCAGTATGTCTTCCAAAGGTTGAGGCGAAGTCACGGCCAGACAGTAAAGGTTGATCCACGAAAAAGTCTCTTTAGGTTTTGCTGAGTACAATTGAGCCTCGAATAGGAGGACACAGCGATCAATAATCGTCTGGTTAATTAAGAGGAACCAACTGGAAGGCACATCCTTGCGTCTAGAAAACTGACTGTAAAGATTGGAGAGTTTTATGGTATCGTTCCGCTGAGTAGTGTTCCATAGGGCGCTGAGAATATTATCATGGAGCTCCCATTTCTTCGCTTGGTCCTCCAAGGGCACATCGGCTCTCCAAGTTAGCTCATCGTACAGGTTTAGAATATCTGCGGCATTGTCAATGTGCTTCATCCGCCAAAGCTGCTCCCAAAGAGCTGTGTAAATTGCATCCCTTAGCTCCTGTGTCTGCGCTTGGTCCGCCCATTTAAGGACGATGGGGCTCCTTGCCCAGTTTCCATCGATCTCCGACTCTATGACAGCGACCAAATTGGGGGGCACCGTTGTGGCATTATAAAGCGACAAGGATCCACTGGTAAAATGTTGAATATCAAAGGCTCCACCCAGACCCAGAAGTCCCAGGATGAGGAGCACGCTAACGGTTGAAGATGCCATTCTGGCTGCACTAACTGATTTTCCCTGGAAAGACCCACCTTTTATAGGTGACTTCTCAAGACTAACCCTTATTTGTAGTTGATATCGTGCAATTATTTCTCCTTCTGCCATAAAAATTATTCACGGTTTAATTACCTTTTGCACAAGATTCGCTAACATTATAAACTTTAATAAAAATGGCACAGAGGGTGGGCCTTCATAGCCGGAAATAGCGAAAGATTAACATGTAATAAATGGTTTATAAATATTTAAATGAAGAACAGTAACATTTTAATATACATTCAGCTTTATTCGATTATCATTGCGATTATTAATTGCTGTCAAACTTTATCCAGAGCTAAGCAGCATCGCTGCAATCCTCCAGGTTCCAGGTGCACTCGGCACGATGAGCAGATAGCTCCGTTGCTCGGCGCGTGTACACATGATGCTCCTCGCCATCCCAGTGCGAGGGATCACCGCCACAGAGCACCGATCTCTCGGTGGCCGCATCGATCAGAGAGAAACCATCAATTCCATACACCACTCGCCACCAGTGGATGTTAACCCTGCTGTATACATTCTTGGTGATGGAATGGTTGGCGCTGTAAGCCCCTACGCCGGCTGGTTCCATTAGGATATAGCGATTCCGCCAAAAGGCGCTGTAGAAGGCAAACTGCGGTCGGCTGTCGTTGCTGTGTCCTCGTTGGATGAAGTAGGCGGCCTTCTTTTGATCCGGCGGATTGCTGCAAATCAAATAGGTCTGCGGACACTCGTAGATATAGGCACTCGGATCGGTCACATTCCGGATGCAGACTTTTCGGGCGGTGTATAGCATTTGCTCGTCCTTGGGCAGGTTGGCATAGATCTCTCCTCGTAGCGTGGCGTCCACTTCCTGCTCGAAACCAGGTTGTTCAAGTAAATGCCTCAGATTTGCCTGCAAAGCTTGCTGCACTTCCGGCTCTGCGCGTTTCAGCTCCTCCCTGTCCAGCAGATGGAGATTGGCCAATGCCAGCTGGCTCAAATTGGCTGTGAAGTTGCCCAGTCGTTCCACCACACTCAGGGGTGTTTCCAAAGCTAATACAGCATCGTAGAGAGCCTCCAGGATATCCCTGAGATAGTCCAAGGTGCTAAAAGTCAGCCGTTGAATCAATGAGTTGACCAAGGGAAAGTTGGCTTTCTGACTGTCCGTGTGAAAGGGAGCCTCTATTAGCTGGGCACTGCGATGCACGAAAGCTGTATAGATCGCATCCATTAGCTCCAAGGGAACATCCGTGTGTACCGATAGCTGCTCGAAAAAGTCCAAAATCTTTGAGGGATCATAGATCTGTTTGGTCTGCTGCAGCTCCTTCCAGAGAGCCGTGTAGATCGCTTCCTTGAGCTGCACAGTTCTTGCCTGATTGGCCAACTGAAGGACGAGCCTGCCTCGTTCCCAATCCCCTGCGACTTCCGACCGGATGACAGACTCCAAGTTGGACACGGCAGGATCTTCCAGACCCGCCAAAGGGGCATCGTTCCGCCAGACATCGATGTGGTAGAGCAACTCTTGCACGGGAAAGGATGCATTCAGAATCGAAAGGATTTTACTTTCCTCATTTTGGTAATTGTGTTCCACGGCGACACTGTATTGGAATCCCAGGAGGAGGAGCAGCCAGGCAGATGATAAGGTAGACATTATGAAGTTACTACTGGTTGGATGCTCTGGAAATACTGCAGCTTTTATGGGTGAATCGAGTGCCGGCTTTTATTTGTAGTTCAATCGGATATTTGAACGGGGATTTCACTATTGACCCTTCTGCCGATAAATGCATACAAAGTTTAATTGCATTTTGCACTTGCCAAGAAGCTGAAAAACAACACGATCATAAAAGCGAGGGTGGTTATATATTCCATTATTTACATGGATATATGTACAAATGTGACCTAGTTTTAGATATTTTCGTGGTCAAGTGCATTGGGTGCTGCTTATTCGATGGGAAAAATCTCTTAACATCCTTTTAAAGATTGTAAATTTCGTATTTTCTTATTATATAGTTTCATATACTCTTTTTAAAATACCCTTTTTATACCCTTGCAGGGTATTATAATTTCAGTCAGAAGTTTGCAACGCAGTGAAGGAGGCACCTCCGACTATATAAAGTATATATATTCTTGATCAGGATCAACAGCCGAGTCGATCTAGCCATGTCCGTCTGTCCGTCTGTCCGTCTGTCCGTCTGTCCGTCTGTCCGTCTGTCCGTTTCTACGCAAACTAGTCTCTCAGTTTTGAAGCTATCTGAATGAAACTTTGCAGTTAGTCTTCTATATACTCTCACTCGTATATATGTCGGAACGGGCCGGATCGGACGACTATATCATATAGCTGTCATAGGAATGATCGGAAAAGTTTTACAAAAAAAATTATAAAATTTTTAGTTTTCAACAGAATTTGATCAAATTTGAGATATAGCCATTTCATATTATTCTACAATTTTGTGTAAAATTTAATGAAAATCGGACGGCTATATCATACAGCTCCCATAGGAACGATCGAGAAATTAATTCAATTAATAAGTATAACATTTTCAGTTTTCAACAGATTTTCATCAAATTTGAGATATAGCCGTTTCATATTATTCTACAATTTTGTGTAAAATTTTATGAAAATCGGACTAATATATCATATAGCTCCCATAGGAACGATCGAGAAATTTGAGAGGAATGAGAATGGCGGTGGCTGTTGTCGGAAGACTGACAATCGCGGTGGCGATAACATTTTTAGTTTTCAACAGAATTTAATCAAATTTGAAATATAGCCATTTCATATTATTCTAAAATTTTGTGTAAAATTTTATGAAAATCGGATTACTATATCATATAGCTCCCATAGGAACTTTTTTAGTTTTCAGCTGATTTTCATCAAATTTGAGGTGTAGCCATTTTATATAAGTCTTAAATTTTGTGGTAAATTTCATAAAAATCGGACGACTATATCACATAGGTGCCATACAAACGATCGTTTGATGTAGAGGAAAAATGCAAATCTGTGAATGTAAAACTGCAAATATAATATGTATAGGTGAATGAAATGAAAGCTGGTATTACTTCATTGTTTTTTAACACAAATATATATAATTTATATTGTATGGATTCCTATTCAAAGAAGTTCTATCTGCAAGGGTATATAAACTTCGGCGTGCCGAAGTTAGCTTCCTTTCTTGTTTATTTTTAAATAAATATTCAATAATACTTTATGCATTTTTATAGCCTTGCAGTGTATTATAATTTGATTCAAAAGCATGTAACTCAAGAAGGACTTATTTCCGGCCCTATAAACCATATATATTGTTGATCAGAGTCAACAGCCGAGTCGATCTAGCCATCTTAGGCAGACAAAAATTTTTTATACAATTTTTCCAAAATTTTAGCGTTAAAACTGACAAAAAAATTGGACAAAAAAAATTAATTTTTTTTCATTTTAAATTGAGTATGCAGATTTATTAAACTGATAAAAACTAGCATAGGAAAGCTTTTCGAATTAAAATTAATGCTTTTTTGTCTGAGTTATGAGTTTTTAAAGTTTTGATTTGTCGAAAAAATTGTCATATAAAAATATCGACTCAAAGAATGCGAATATTTTAAGCTTAAGTATTATATTTCCGATTCGGTTCTATAAGTAAATTAAACTTTGGATTAAATTTCCTTCTTTATCCTTGGGATATTGGTGTAATTAGTTTAAAAACCTAAAATTTGAATTCTAAAAATTGTATTTAATATGTAAAGTTTATGGTTAATTCTACATGAATTATATGTATATACATTTTACATTTGTTTCCCATAATACCCGTGAATCAACCAGAGCGCTAGTGTGTGCTACACTTACAAAAATGTTACATTTTTGTTTTAAAAAATGATATATCCATATATAAATATAAATGTACATATATTTCTATTGGTTTTAAGATGTATTTTTTGATTTAATAGATCCCAAAATTATTTTTTGTACCAATTTCTATTAGTTGCATTCGTTTACTTTGTTTTGTATTGAATTGTTTATAAGTTTTATTAGTTTACTTTATTTTTTTATTCAATTGTTTTTAAGAGGCGCATACAATTTCTTAGTTCTAGTATCACAAAAGTCCTTAAAGACGCTTAGAGGCTAGTTGATGCTAAAAATGCAAGGCAGAGCTACAGTTTAATTTTGGCTGCTAGAAGAATTAGCTACCTAGTGATTTGCCGGCTGAGTGCCGATCCTCTAAAGCTTTGTGGAGTTGCGTGACTTGACCGAGCGTCGCAGGATGCTCGATCTCAGCTCTCCACCCGTCGAGGCATTCAGAGAGGCTCCGGTCTGGGTTCCCCTCACAAAGGCTTGGGAGCGCACCTCCTCCACATCGGTGTTCCTCTTCGCCTCGTCCTCGTCGTCGTCGTCCACCTGTTTGGCCAAGCAGGGGAAGTCCCAGATGCTCTGGCCCCGTCCAAATTCCTCTCCATCAGTCAGGGTCTGTGGCAGGACGTGATTCAGGGTCTCGGGGAGCAGCAGCGATAGCAGGCCACCAATAATACCCAGGATTCCCAGTATAATCAGTGGCAAGGCATTGGAAATATTGGCCAGATAAACCACAAACGGAGCTATGATGCTGGCCACGTAGCCCATGATGTGGATGAAGGCCACTGCCTGGGCTCTAACCACCGTTGGGAGCACTTCCGCCGCCCATTGCAAACCGATGTTGTAGCTGATGTTCACAAAGAACCGACCCATAATGGCCAAGGCGGCCGAGTAGATGCCCACAGGAACCACAGTGGCCAGCAGACTGAAGACTCCGCTGAGCACCATGGAGCTGCAGGCCAGCCAACGGCGTCCAAAGCGATCCAGGATCACCGTCAGCAGAGTGTCTGCTGGAAGTTCCGTGAAACAGGCCAGGGTGAAGGTAAAGAAGATGTCAAGTCCGAGCGACCCGACGTTCCTCACATGGCCATCAAAGACCAGCGATATGGCCATCCAGATCACGATCAGGAGCAAGGTGGTGCGACGCAAGCGAGGTGACTTGAAGAGATCCAGCACCGAGTAGCTGCCATTCTGGGCCTCCTGTTCCCGCATCCTCTTGCAGCTGTCGGCAAAGTTTTGATACGTCTGCGTTGGCACCTGGCGTCCATTTCGCTTCTCCAGCTTCTTGAGGATCCCGATGGCCTTGTCCACTTTGCCTTGGGAGACTAACCAACGGGCCGATTCCGGCACAATCATTGGTGTAAATATGGCCAGGAAGAGGGGAGCAGAGGTCACAATGGCCAGGATTTTCCAATCGGCCACAAAATAAGCTATCCAGGGTAGCAGACAGGCGGCACCGGTGAAGAATATGGCTATCGACATGTTGGCCACAAAGGTGCGGTACTTGGGACCCACATACTCCAGAACTGTGAAAGGCGAAATAAGATAAAAAGTCAAGAATTAAATTAAAGTAATTGATTGAATTTAGTCAGAATCTAATTAATCAATTTAATAGACGGGGAAAGGCTTAAGTTTGGTGGTTAATGCTGAGTTAAGGGAAAGATAAAATAAGGAACAAGAGAAACACGTAAGAATTGCATGTTTTCTCATTAATTTCTTTAGAGCTAACTTTTCAAATGAATCTGATTTGCAACATGCAATATCTTATAGTTCTTTTTCCTCCAATAGTAACATCCACATAAATACTCACCCAAAATATACATCATGGTGAAGCAGTTATCAAAGGCGAATCCCACAAAGAAACGCATGGCTGCAAACTCCCAAAAGTTGGTCACAAAAGCGGTGCCCACGCCAGCCACTAGACCCATCATATTGGTACCAATCAAGGCAGGAATTCGTCCAAAACGATCTGCCACCCAGCCAAAGAGAAGTCCTCCTGCGATGGCGCCCAGAAAGAATATGGACTGGGCATAGGTGGGCAGGGCGGCATCGTCGCAAACCCAATTCTGTTCGGTGGCCACCGTTGAGTAGGGAATCTCCGTGAAGTTATATGACCATCCGTGGCGGCACTTGACCCGCGGCCACTTTGGATCGGCCATCACCTTGCCCTGGGCCAGTACCTCCGTGTAATTGACATCGTACATGTAACAATTGTTGTACTCCCCATTGGTCATGGGTATGGAAAGGGCCAGTCTGGAGGGGGAAGAAGAAACATAGAGAGTATTTTGAAGTTGCTGCAATTAAATCATACAGGGTCGGATCGGTTTGGGTTGTGTGGAATTCTCAGAGAGACGCTCTAAGCCATGGCCAACTGAGCTACACACTTGTTTGTACCCACAATGTAGCATGAATATGTATGGAAGCGACAACTTAATTATCATGATCTTGGGGGGGCACTCGCACTCGCACTCGAAAATGCGGTTGCGACTTAAGCGTTTTCGGATACACTCTAACCATTCGTGTCTGCTCCATTTGGATTGGTTTAAAGTGTCTGAATTTGGTGCAGAAACAAGATTAATCGCTTGTCCAGCAATTATGATGGATGTGGGCAAGCGGAAAGTGTTAAAATTGAAAATTATTAAACAATTATTTTCATAAATACATGAGTAACTACTAAATAATTAGTTAGAATGCCTGGCTAACTCATTTGTCTAGCAGTATTCTTTTATTTTTCTTAGGGCGTACAATTTACACTTAAATCTTTGACCAATTTAGAGTTAAATTATAGCCTCCCCTTCTCTATTATAAATATGGTTATGCCTTTGAATCCATAAATAAAGTAACTTGCTCTTGGATAACTCATATAAGTTCAATTAACATATTATTCCCAGGGCAAGCTTTGACATTTATCGGTTTTTATTTGCATAATCCATGGAATGCTTTAAGTTAAGTTTTTAATTAGATTAGATTAAAAATTTGTATATTAAACAGGAATGCAGTTTTATATAGGTTGATTCTCTACATTAAAGTTAAGTTATTAATACATAGTAGAAAGTGTTTTTTGTATTAATTTTTAATACCGCTACGATTTTCTCTCCTTTTGTGTTCTATTTTAACTCAAGCTAACAGCTTATCTTAATGTGTTTTGTAAATTAGCTTCATCTCTTATCTACATTTGTTTTAAATATTGTTATACTGACAGTACTGACAGTAATTTTCTTTACCGAATTTAATATAAATTTATTTCGTAATGGTAAAAGAGTATCCAAACTTCATATATGCCCCACTGGAGTTCACCGTCAAGAGGTGGTCGACGGTTTCACATCATCGCCGCCACACAACATTAGTCTCGACGATGGCTTGTTGTTGCTACTTGCTACTTGAGCTACCTGTGTGCTACCTGAGCTACCTGTGCTACCTGTAAGCTGGCTGCTGCTGCGTTGTCGCAACGTTCACGCTGCGCTGCTGCTAATTAAATAATTTGGCCGGCTAACTTGGCTTATCTAACTGCTAAAGCCCCGCCACCCACTGGGCCTTTGGGCAGAGTAGGGAGGGGAAAACGCTCTCCTTGCCACTGAAAACTCTGATAATTGCACAGATGATCGTGGCAGTAAGGTTCTTTGCCTTATTAAGCTGGACGGACGACTGGCTGGAAAACCCAATCATGGCCCAAGGTCGGGCCAAATGGCCGTTCTAAGCCAAGTTGGACGCCTTAATGACTGTGGCCAGAACATGGCGCACTCAGAGACTCAGAATCGCTTCGTTACGTTTCATTCGTTTTTAGTTTTTCGTTTAAAGTTCGATCGTTTTTAGACTTTAATCGCGTTGCAAACACTTTGCACATATAATTTGTCTATTAGAATCAAGAATTTCGGCGGATGGAGGGGCGGGCACTAAAGCAGACCACATCTTTTCGCATGGCCAATTCTTTTCAGTTTGGCATTATCCAGTATCGGTTCGATTGCAGGTCTAACCGGTATTAGCCTTAGCCTTTCGATTCCAAGGTGAGATCGACATACAAGTAGTTATGTGTTTTTAATAGTAATCGATCAATTGCTTTTATTTTGTGAAAGTTCAAAACGGAACCGCATGTCTCAGACTGTTGCTATTTACGCACAAAGATAATGCTTCCGGATGGAGATTGTTTCTATGGGATATAAAAAGGCAAATAATTGCTAGCACACATAAATATAATTAAAATATTATTATTGGGTTTGGTTATTTGTTTGTCGTTTATTAATTGATCTGTTTGAAAGCCTTGAACTTTGGCTTGTTTGATTCTTTGTTCGACCTGACCTTTTGGTATATTATTCGTACTGATTTGTTCTCTTGAACAATATATGAAAGATCCATTAAAAAAAAGGGAATGTGATACAGATACTTGGTAATACTTTTACTTTCGATAGTTGAATAATTAACAAGAGAGAAATATAACTTCTAGGAGCCGAAGGGTGTATACCATTGCATTTACCCATAGGATCATAGGTTTGAATTTAAAATCGACCATAACTAACCCAAAAATGCATTCATTTCAATTCGAAAAGTTGTTCTGTGCTAGTTTTTATAGGGTTAAAAAATCTGCATACCAGTTTTTTAATTTAAACAAAATTTGAATTTTGTCAAATTTTGACCATTTGAAATATCTAAAATTTAATGACACAATTTTGACAAAATAAATTCGAAAAAAAATGTCTACCAAATATGGCTAGATCGATTCGGCTGTTGATGCTGATCAAGAATATATATGATTTATAGGGTCGGAAAAGACTCCTTCACTGCTTTTTAAGCTTCTAATTGAAATCATAATACCCTGCAAGGGTATATCAAGGCACACGATCCCATAGGACCACGAATTAGAGTATGAAATCGAGCATAACTAACCCAAAAATGCATTAAGTTCAATTCGGAAAAATGTTCTGTGCTAGTTTTTATAGGGTTAAAAAATCAGCATACCAGTTTTTTAATTTAAACAAAATTTTAATTTTGTCAAATTTTGACCATTTCAACAACATAAAATTTCATGACAAAATTTTTGAAAAAAAAAATTCGAAAAAAAATGTCTACCAAATAGCGCAAGATCGATTCGGCTGTAGATCCTGATCAAGAATATATATGATCTATAGGGTCGGAAACGACTCCTTCTTTGCATTACAAGCCTCTGACTGAAATCATAATACCCAGAATTGGGTAAGCAACTTTTAATTAAATAAATGTTTTTCTTTGACCTCTTAGAATTTTCCTTAAATTACAATTTTCCTGTTGATTTGTTCAAATTCAAATTATTACAAGTCTTAAGAATTCCTCAACAATTAAAGACAATTATTTATACTACAATTGGTATACAATTTGTACAGTAAGTGACTTCATTCATTCATTCATTACCATAAAGCACCCACAGCACACATAACGTTCTGAAACGCAGTGTCTGCTTAATAGATTCATGATCGTTCCGATAGACACAAAGTCTTCATTATAGTTTTAGCACTTGAGGCGACGTTTACGACTACTGCACTTCGCACACTAGACACACACACAGAGTGTGTGTGCTAGCCTGGCCACTAATCAACGATTATACAAAGCACATTTGAATATTTATGGCACATTACGTGAATTACCGAGCTTAGCGGATGCCATAACCCAAGCCATGCAGCCATAGAGCCATGAAGAGCCTTGGTTTGTTGGTTTTTCGAGGAAAACCCCATGAGATTTTCAAATAAAAGATTCACGAGGGAAAATCCTTGAGATATTCAAGAGAAAACCCTTGAGAATTGGACCTACTACTCACCTGGCCATCACATCCAAGCCATCCAATTCCGGGACATGACACCAATGCTGCTCGGGTATCAAAGTGAGGAAAATCTGGGAGAAGTACACAAAGGCCACGAAGAAGGAGAACGGGATCATGCAGATGAAGAGTAGCTTTTGATAGCGTCCAAACTCCCCAATCAAGGGGAGAATGTCATCAAAGTCGAGATTCGGTGGATCTGCACCTCCATGCATCTCCTGACCCTTTTTAAAGCCACTGATATCCAGCTGGAGTTCCCTATTCCCGCCGCTCTTCCGGCGATGCAGGGCATCTCCGCCAGCTCCATTTCCATTTCCATTTCCAGTTATTGTTCCACCGCTCTGGGGCGGCGACTCTTCGTGGTTGTATGCCTCATTGACGAAGTACGCTTGCTTGGCCTGGCCTTCCATTTTGACTACTGACTGTGGAGTACTCCGCGACCTTGCCTTATGTGTGTCACCTTAAGTGATTCAGAACTTGACCGAAGCACAACGAAATGAAACGAAACGAAACGAGACGGAATGGCGTAGAAAAAACCAATTTCAAATCACAAAACTCAAGTACTTTGATCGAATTCGATTGCGGCGCACGCGCGCGTTTCCGTTTCGAATCTGCAACTGACTGAGCACGCGCGCCAAAAGCCGTTTTTATATGAGCCGGGCCAAGAAGCTCTGCTCGGGGGGTCGGCCGTTTAAGCCGCTGCACTTGCTGTTGATTTTAACAGAACAGAGAACAAAAAAATTCGGTATAAAAATAGGACAGAAATCAGTTTATTCATTGGTATAAAATTGCACTACCTTTCTCTTAAAACTGAAGCTGTTAGATTTGAGTTTGTTTTAATATTTCCTTGGGCTTCTTATATTGTCAATGTGTATTTTGGATAGATTTTGCAGACATATTATATGTACCTTATTGAATTTTCCTCTATTTTGTATGGCAGCTATATGATATAAAGTCAAATTTTACACAAAATTCTAGATAAATATATAATGGCTATATCTCAAATTTGATGAAAATCTGTTGAAAACTAGTAAAGTTATAATTCTTGTTCTTCAAAATTTCCTATTATTCCTATGGCAGCTATATATATGTATATGTATATATAGTCCACCGATTCGCCGTGATCCGACTTATATACTAGCAAAATTATTTAGAAGAATAAGTCCATAGTTTCATTCAAATAGCTTGCTTTTGTTCCAAAACAAATCTCGCACATATGATGCATGTGATTCCCAACTGGTTCTAACATCCCCGGAATGAAGCGACTGCTGCCGGCCAAGTCTTAGAAATGTGTTGTGTTACAAAAGTTGCAAGTCATTGTTTACTAGTGTTCAAAGTTAGTAACTGATCATACTTACTTACTGATCATAGATACTTACTGATCATATTTAATTAATGCTCATTGATATTTACTGATAATCATAGTTACTGGTCATAGATACTTACTGATCATAGTTACTTACTGGTCAAAGATACTTACACTACAAACAGACATATGTTATTGATCAGATGAATATCTTGAGAATAATATTAATATTTCGTGTTATTTAATATATATTTATATTATAAAATTATATTTCGAATGCTGCGAGTCAAATGCAAGTGAAAATTACATCGATTTCATATAGCAAATCAGTTTAATCTTTGATTTTTCCTTAAGAAAAAATGAATTTCTTAGCTACCAATTATTTTAAAGATACCCCTAAATGTTCTCAGTGCTTTTGCTGCTGCCAAGAACAAGTAACCGGCGGCTGGCAGCGAAAGTTAAGCAGCTGTTTGAAGCTTGGTTCACACAGCTGGTAAACCGGTTAGGATCTCGGAATCGGCTGGCATCGGGACACAGAGGCGAGCCCCGAATGATCATATCGGTGCCTGATCTTATGGCGGCACGTTAAGAGCTCTTGGTTACTTATTTTTAAGCCTGCCCCGGCATCCATATATCCATGACTCCCTCACAGATGTGCTCCTGCTGCATCTTTGCACCTTTTGTGGACCCACCTGGATCCAAATTTTATTAATAACCCCGCTTAAAGGCGGTAGAATGCCCGTGATTCATGCTCCAACCACTCCGAGATATTGAGGAAATTAGCAAAATAATGTATTTGTTATATTTATTTATACATAAACGTCACGGCCCATTCATAAATTGAGCAGCGAGCGAGGGGATTAAACTCGGTGGCAGATCGAGTAATCCAACAAAACGAGTTTGCGTGATTTAATAATCGTGAGGCAGGCCTTCAAAGACATGGGATTAATTTACTTGAGCCTAACAGTTCATTTTTTTGTGGCAATTAAATTATATGTTATTTAAGAGCTTCACTTATTCAGTTATTTAGCTTCAATTGCGTACTTCTCTTCCAGATGAGAAGATTTTGAGATGATTGAGATTTGATTTTCAGTTTCTTATTTGTATTTGAAATTAGCATTCATTTAAAGAACCTATTTATAGTTTGTCTTGTTCATTAGCAGCTTTAAATTGCTTAAGCTTTAATTGGCGAAAGGTATGAAAAATAAAATTATGAAGTACACTGAGTTGCTGAAATTTATTTCATCAAATATTGCAATAGAACAGTATTTTTCCAATGCAAATTCTTTATTTTTGACCTCGAAAGTTCCTTTCTTTAATTTTAGCTTATTTATTAACAGCTTTATATTAATTAAGACTAGTAAACAATATATTTAGTACAAAGAGTACTGCCTTATTTTTACACCCTTGAAGGGTATTATGATTTCAGTCAGAGGCTTGCAATGCAGTGAAGCAGTTGTTTCCGACCCTATAAACCATATATATTCTTGATCAGCAAGAAAAGCCGAATCGATCTAGCTATATTTGGTAGAAATTTTTTTTCGAATTTATTTTGTCAAAATTTTATCATTAAATTTTATATTGTTGAAATGGTCAAAATTTGACAAATTTCAAATATTGTTTAAATGAAAAAACTGGTATGCAGATTTGTTAACCTTATAAAAACTAGCACAGAACAACTTTCCGAATTGAAATTAATGCATTTTTGGGCTAGTTATGATCGATTTCATATTCTAATCCGTGATCCTATGGGATCGTGTGCTGATATACCCTTGCAAGGTATTATGATTTCAGTCAGAGGCTTCCAACGCAGTGAAGGAGTCCTTTCCGACCATATAAATCATATATATTCTTGATCAGCATGAACAGCCGAATCGATCTAGCTACATTTGGTACAAAAAAATTTTTCGAATTTGTTTTCAAAAATTTGTCATTAAATTTTATATTGTTGAAATAGTCAAAATTTGACAAATTTCAAATATTGTTTAAATGAAAAAACTGGTATGCAGATTTGTTAACCTTATAAAAACTAGCACAGAGCAACTTTCCGAGTTGAAATTGATGCATTTTTGGGTTAGTTATGATCAATTTCGACTTCGATCCCTTGATCCTATGGGATCGTGTGCTGATATACCCTTGCAAGGTATTATGATTTGAGTCAGAGGCTTCCAACGCAGTGAAGGAGTCCTTTCCGACCATGTAAATCATATATATTCTTGATCAGCATGAACAGCCGAATCGATCTATCTACATTTGGTACAAAAAATTTTTTCGAATTTGTTTTCAAAAATTTGTCATTAAATTTTATATTGTTGAAATGGTCAAAATTTGACAAATTTCAAATATTGTTTAAATGAAAAAACTGGTATGCAGATTTGTTATAATAATAATAACTTATAATAACTAGCACAGAACAACTTTCCGAATTGAAATTAAAGCATTTTTGGGTTAGTTATGATCGAATTCATATTCGAGTCTATGATCCTAGGGGTAACTACAAGGGTCTACAACTTCAACTTCTCGAAGTTAGCTTTCTTTCTTGTTTAAATTTTAAATTTATTTCACAACATTTTGAAATAAAAGCAATTAGCAATGGAAAATTACTTTTCCAAAACAAATATTTTTCATGGTTTTTAATTCTTGTTTGTCACCATAATTAACATATCTATAATAATTGCTTTGATGAGCGAGTTTCCCTATTTCAAAAATCTAAGAAAACTCATTAAGGCGGCAAAAAAATAATCTCATTTAAGCAATAACATATTTATTAGCAACTAATATTTTTAGAATTGACCTTTCCTTAACCTTGTAATTGGTGTTTTCTCCAGAAACATCAAAATCCATCTCTCCTTTTTTAATTTATCTTATTTATTAACTTGATCGTCTTAATCGGTCTACTTGCTCTCGCTTCCCGGGTTTCATAACGAAATTCCTTTTTAGGAACATCAAACTCGACAGATTTACAATTCTCGACTTAATTTAATTTTTTCTCTTAAGCTTATCATCTTTATATTTATTTATATGTAAGTGCAATTAGAAGGATATACAGGACTTAACAGTTAATGGGCCTTGAAATTAATATTTTGATGTGTTTATGTTCGGGCTTATCTTATTTATTTACACACACGAAGTTCAATTTAAGATACGCATGTTTCGTGTGCTGTGGGCGGTGGCACATGTATTGCATTTATATTAATTATGAAGTCGCACCCAAGTCAAATAATTTCGCTTCTCATTACAAAACAACGACAACAAACCAATACAAAATGCACGCAAAAATATTGTTCTCTTGACCGCTGCCGCTTCGAACCAGTTTAATCTTGCTAAAATAAATTAAATTTTTATTATACTCTTGCTAAGTGTATGTAACATAAATACGATTAGGAGCATTGTTGTGCATTGAGATTAAGGTATTTATAAGCGTGAGGGGATGTATTGTACTGGTAACTGTATCGGTAATTATTTTAATTATAAATCATAATGCAAATTAACATAATCAGAGAGCATAAAATGTATATTTAAAACATTTAATTATAGATGCTTTTGGGAAGGAAATATTTATGTTGAACAGAAATCTATGAGTTACGTAATTATTTATAGGAAAAATATATCTATTTCTTTTATTTGTTGTATAAATTTTATAGAGTATTTAAGTTTTCTAATCTCTATAACGCACTTAACACCTTGTTTGGCTTTTATTTACTTAGCTTAGTTGTTTTATAGTTTGCTACGCATTTAATGTTTTAATTAGCTCTGCTTTTTAACCTGCTTCAAGGACTTTTGCCAACTTTACTAAATGTATCTATCAGCCGATTGTTGGGGAGTTAATAGAACGGCATTTGAGCAGATTTATAACGAGATAGTGTCATACCTGGGCACAGGTGTCATTTGAATTGTATAATTTTTAGAAAGCCGTGCTAATTAATTGGCCAAATCTGTCCTTCTATGGGGGTCTCGCACTCTCTGGGAGAGAAGACTCTCTGTGGCATTTGTTTGGTATTTTGCCTTTAGTTTAAGACGACCTTCAATCAGAGCAAACAAAAATTGTTGCATTAAATTTATTTCCGTTTTGAATCATGTTTCTCATGCCTTGTTTAAGTGTTTGTTTTGTTTGGTTACTTATATTATTGTATTAAGCTTTAATGAGCTTTGGTTGTTGTTTTGAAAATACCGAATACCTTTTAATTGGATTGAGGGAAGTGCATCGGCATCGTCTGGGTTATGACATCATAATGAGTCGACAGGAAGCCCGCACGTACACCTGATCCACTCATGGCATGGGCCCGTCAGAATTATGGCTTTGACTTCTATAAATTATGCAATTAAATCACAAAACATTATTCTGATAATCGGTCTAGTCGGTTTTACTATCTCTGGAAATACAAAAAGGTGCAGAGATAAGCCTTACGATTACAATATCTCAAGAAGTGTTAGTAAAACCTTCGAAAAACTGTTTTAAATGGTCAAAAATATAAGCTTTCTGCCTTAAATCAAGCTTTGACTCATGACTCAGTAAGAAACCTTTTCTAAAATCAAAATCTTGTATTGATCTTCGCCGCTGTGGGCTCGTCATCGGTTCCCCTCGATAAGCCTTCTACAACAAACTGATAAATCTGGCCATGATAGCCACTATATGGCTGAAAAAAACCGCAAAGTACTTTAATCTTATCGCCAGATCGGTAGCATCGTCAATAGCAATGGATTGGCCAATTGTACGATTGTAAATCACCTCGGTTTATTCCCAACTGGGCAATCCATTGGCAGATAGTCGATGAATTATGATCCCGCCATCGCCGTCGGTTTCCGTATAAAAGTGCTCCCATTCTTGACCAGAAACTTAGTTGTGATTAACGAAGAAAAATGAGGTTCGCTTGTGCTACGGTCTTTCTGCTGGCCGCCATCCTTGGCGCCCAGGCCGTCGACTGGTCGTCGGTGAAGAACATGAACATCGAGGTTCCTGTGCCCAATATCCACCCCAGGAGTGTGCCCAATGGCAGGATTACCAACGGTGAGCTGGCCAAGCCCCAGCAGTTCCCCTACCAAGTGGGTCTGCTCCTGTACCTCCAAGGAGGCGCTGCCTGGTGCGGTGGTACCATCATTAGCGACCGTTGGATCGTGACCGCCGCCCATTGCACGGATAGCCTGACCACCGGCGTGGATGTCTACCTGGGCGCCTGGGATCGTACCGATGCCAAGGAGGTTGGCCAGCAGATTATCTTTGTGGAGACCAAGAATGTGATTGTGCACGAGGATTGGATCCCCGAGACCATCACCAACGATATTTCCCTCATCAAGCTGCCGGTGCCCATTGAGTTCAATGGTAAGTGAAGTGCCGATTTAAACAAAACTAAACTCATCTATGTGAATTCTAAATGCTTTTCTATATGTTTTTCTTATAGATTACATCCAGCCCGCCAAGCTGCCCGTCAAGTCCAACACCTACCAGACCTATGCCGGCGAGAGTGCCATCGCTTCCGGCTGGGGCAAGATCAGTGACTGTAAGTGAACCTTGTATATGGTTAGGGTTACGCATTTATATGTCGTAGTAATGGAGAAAGTTTTTACTAAACTAAAGGCTATCGGGGTTAAAAGGTAGAAAAACTACCTTAATTTCTCATAAAATGCTCAATTTGCTATTTATGCTTTCAAGGAAGGTGTGATTTTATATATTTTTTATTCAAGAAAATCAATCAAAATAGCTTGAAAAGTGTTATTTTTATAGAAAAATTAATCAAAGTATTTGTGAACGAAAATACGTTGGTAAAAACCCAAGTCACATCTTATCTAAATTGAGTTCTCACCTTTGGCCAAGATTAAATAATCTTTTGCACAACATTATTAAGAAATCGCAGTTAAAAATTATAATCTTAAAATGTGATCAATCATAAATCTAGACTAGGATTTTTATACCTTTTTTAGGGTATTATAGTTTGAGTTAGAAGCTTGTAACAGGTGAATCTTTCTAGGCATATAGGGAAAAGAATATTTTTTTTATTTTTTTCATAATTTTTTAAGGCCCATTTTAGCATTGTTGACATTTTGAAAAATTGACAAAGTTTTATATATTTAAAAAATTTAATTTAGGTATGCAGATTTATTAAGATATTAAAAACTAGCACAGAACAGCTTTCCAAATAGAAATTAATGCTTTTTTGGCTTAGTTATGAGTATTTTAAGCTGTCGGTTGTAGGAAAAGAATATCGACCCAAAGAATGCGAATTTGTATACCCTGCAGAGTATTATACTTTTAGTCAGAAGCTTAAAATGCAGTGAAGGAGTCATTTCCGACCCTATAAGTCATATATATTATTGATCAGAATCAAAAGGCAAATCTTTCTAGGCATCTAGGAAAGTAAATAATTTTTTTTTTAAATTTTTCCTAATTTTTTTAAGGGCCATTTTACCATTGTTTGACATTTCTTTTAATCTTCTATAGCCGCCACCGGTGCCACCGACAAGTTGCAGTATGCCGTGGCGCCCATCATGAACAACAGCGGCTGTTCTCCTTGGTACGCAGGCCTGGTTGTCTCCACCAACATCTGCATTAAGACCACCGGTGGAATCTCGACCTGCAACGGCGATTCTGGCGGTCCCCTGGTAATTGACGGCACCTTGATTGGAGCCACGTCCTTTGGCATTGCCTTTGGTTGCGAGAAGGGATGGCCCGGTGTTTTCACCCGCATCACCTCCTACCTGGACTGGATCGAAGCCAAGTCCGAGGTGGCCAACTATGGCAACTAAAAGAATACGTTTCTTTGGGGAAACTTACAAATAAACGTTTATTTTTTGGGATTACAAGAAATAGAACTCGTGTTCGGACTTGGGGCGCGAACGAGGTCGGTGTCGGACATTGTCGGAGAAGTCCTCGTCCGAATCGGGATCTGGACGCACGTCCAGTTCATCCGGGACATCGTCCTGCTCCTCTGGCCTCTCCGCTGGCATTTTCATTCGCTTACTTTGTGGCGGCTTGCCGTAGGACCTTACATACTGATCAAAGAAGATGGCCTCCGTGGTGTCATGAAAGGAACTCACACCAGTCTCATCGCTGATCCAGTCCAGATAGGAGGCCACTTTGGTGAAGGCCGCCGGATAACCACGATCGCAGCCATAGATGCTGCCAAAGGAGGTTATACCCACCAGGACCCTCTTCTTGGAGTACTTCCGTTGGAGCACCAAGGGTCCACCGGAATCGCCATTGCACGTGGACCTGGCATTCCGACCACTTGTACAGATATTCGTTCCACGATAGGACAATGGGAAGTTTGACTTGCATGTCCTGCCATCAATGATCTGGAGTTGGACATAGCGCAGGACATTGCTGATGGCATGAACGCCGGTGGCATAACGTCCCCAGCCAGAGGCGATGGCCAGCTTGTTCTTGAAGCTCCGGTACTCGTAGTGCCGCTTCGGCAGCTGGATGGGATGGATGCGTTCTGGAACGGAATTAAAGATCATCAACTTTATGCAGATTTCCTCAACGTTCACCGCTCACCATTAAAGCTGACGGGATGCGGCAACCTGACCAGGGCTATGTCATCCTTTAGCCTCTTGGGATTCCAAGTGGGATAGATGTGAAAGTTGCTGCTGGGCACCATCAAACGCACCTGGCCCTTCTCCTTGGCATTCTTGATCTCATTGGCGCCGAGGAAAACCAAAGCCCGCTTGGCCCTGCAAAAGATGGACACATGAGTGGAGGAGTTCTCCCGACCAGCTCTTACCATTCCCTACATGTCCACGCAGTGGGCAGCGGTAACGACATACTTGTCGGAGATCAGGGAACCGCCACACCAGTATAAACCCTTGGGCCTCTGCAGGAGCATGCCCACCTGGTAGGGGAAACAGTGCGGATTTCCCACATCGCCACCAAAGATGCGATCCATGGCCATGGCGCCCTCTGGCAGCATCTTCTCCATTAGCGGTGTCGTCTCCAGATTAAGGACGAGTGGTTCTGGTTCCTTCACATCCTCCGCGCTGAAGGCAGGCACTCCCTTCATGCTTTTCATGTGACGAATCTCCATGCTACTGGCACTCATTTCCGCATCATGCTCCAGGGAACCGGAGTAGGGCGATGACGAGGAGGAGGAGGAGGAAGAGCTGGATAGACTAAAGGGGCTGGGATTCATGGAGACCAGGTACATGGGCTTAACCTGCTGCCAGTCCAGCGCCGTGCACTGCAGCGTCAGCCATGACCAGGTGAGGAGTAATGGCGTCCAAGCAACTACTCTTGGACTGGGGGCCGCTCTTGCTGATTGTTTGAACATTGGCTTCGCTTTGCCTGCGTACGCATTTAATTGTTAAATGGCGATTCGGAATTGTCGGCACTTTTTCACTTATGTTGCACTTATTCGACGGCGGCTTTCACTGTCAACTGTGTTTCCTGGGCATGGCTTCCGGTTCCTGTTTGCGGTTCTTCACTTGACTGCTTCTAAGCCTGTCTTAAGTCCTACAAACTGCTTGTTTTTTCTGTGTTATATCCCCTGGTAACCTTCTTTATTCATTTATTTTTTTTAATCTATATTGATCTTTCGCTAATCTTCTAGATGTTTTCTAAGTAATGACGATTACTATGACCTTATTTACCTAGCAATTTATTTTCTATTTTACTTATTTTTTTAATATTCGGTTGGCTTATAAAAAATAAGCTGTTTTTAAAATGGATTCGGTATTTATTTATTTGGAAATATCTGTTGTTCTTCAATTATAAGGTTTTTCTATTTACTTAATTAATATTGCACTTTTCAGTCCTAGCACTCCTTAGTTTTAAGTATTTATATCATTATTTATATGTTAAATTGTACTTTTTAAACTGTACATGGGGAATCTGGTTTAAAAACTGTTTTTTATTTAGCAAAACTGCAATTTTTGGGATATATTAACTTTGTTATATATACTAGTTTAAATTTATATTTTATTTGGTTTCTTATGAAAAATGATGTGGCTGGTTATTGCACTCTATTCTATTCTAGACTTGCTACTTTTTGATATTTTAATCCTGTTTTTTTGCTGTGTTATTTATGAGTTATTTTCTTGCTTTCTTCTAAACTTGAACTGGTTTTCTTCAGAAGATTTCTTTGGTGCACCATTAGATTCTGAGACTGAGACACTTGCTTCACTGCTTCCTTGACTGATTGGCCAGACGACCTTGCCGCATTCACTTCCTTGACTTCCTTTCGCTTCCTCTTTTAACACATTTCCACCGCTCCAAGCCGCCGCCACCTCGTTGCACCTCTTTCACCCACTAGTCCACTGGTCACTTTTTGTCTTCCCGTTCCCAAAAAGCAAAGAGCTCGGCTTGGCTGGCTGGTTACGCAGGTTCGCTGGACACTTAATGCGATGATCGTAACGCGCATTCGTAATATCTGCGCACTGCTCCGTATTGCTTTCTTCGCGTCGCGTTCGAGACTGCGCCGGCGCGCAGGTTACCAGCATTTTTATAAACTCTTTCGCCAGCGCCAACAAGCCATTTTTCTGCGCGCTTGCCACCTTAATTATTGCATCTATTTTAGCTGCATTCACAATTGCAGTTGCATCAATTTCATTTAATTTGAATATCGTTCGGCCCCCAATCGTGGCTCCTTCCTTTCAGTCATTATTTGGGCTCTCTTTCCTCTTTTGATGGAATGTCACTTCAGTCAGATATTGCCCTTTGGGTTGGCTTCACTCGCAAAAATATAAAAATGTACCTGGAAAATGTGTGCCGCATAGGTTACATTTTCAGTTGCTGGATTTCTGATTCGGATTCGGATAACTCTCGGATTGTCTCTGTTTTGTGGTTTTTGCCATTTAAATTGAATGCGAAGCTGTAACTCTAGTTATCTGCCCGCTTTGGCGCCATTACATCACGCGCTCACTTCTCGCTTTATCTTCATTATGCATTCGCTTATATAGTTGTGTGTGAAGTGTGTGTGGTGTGTGTGGTGTGTGTAGGCCTGTGTCTGAGCCAGTCTTTCATTGAGAAAAGAGCCCCATAGTTGTAAGTGAAACAAACAACTTTACTCGTTACTGTTAGATTTGCATGCCGCCTCTTCTTCACTTACAACTGTCCATCATATATGATTTGGGTACAGTGTGACTTCTGTTACGAGAAGTGTTTGCGGCAGAAAAGTTAAAGTTAGTTAAAGAAAGTATAGTGTTAGCTTTTTCGGAAAATTGAAAATATTTTTAATAAACTGTCAAAAAGGCACATTTTAAGCTGTTTCGGAATGTTTTTTGCGTTTGTTGGAGAAAGTAGAGTCTCAGATTTGTCGAAAAATTGAGAATATTTAAATAAAAACTAAAGAATAGGTAAATTTCTAGCTGTTTCAGAAGGTAGTTTGCGATGCCTTCATCATTTACAAAAAATACCACGATCATTTCTTCCATTTTCTAAATTTGTGGAAGTTAGCATAATAACCTATAACGAAAGGTACATTTTAGCCAATGTATAAATAATGTAAATGTATAAATAATATATTATTCAACCAAATAAAATAATCTTATTTATATTTCTTAATACATTTACTTCTTTTATGAGGATATAAACATAATTATGTATTTGTTTACCAATCCATTTTTAATAACAGTTCGCCTGCTCTAGATTCCACTGTAAGTCTTGCCAACTTGAACCACAGTCTTTGGCTTTAACTTGATTGCTGGAATTAACTTAAAAGTGTTCCCATCAAAATAAAGGGCTGTCTGGGGCCGAGACAGAGTCTGCAGAGAGTCTCAAGGTTATTGCCAGGTCGGATTTCCGTAGGTTAAGGGACTGTATATATGTATATACTCACTCTCTAGTTGTAGACAAATTAGCAGTTTTCCATTTGGTTGCATGCAACATGGACTGTGGCATGTGCAGAATTTTTTTGCAGGAAATGAAATATATATATATATATAAAAATGCGCGAGCAATGCAGCATTAAAATATGTATGTATGGTTTATTTTTAATTAAATTAATTAATTCGTGCACCGCCTCCGGCTGCCAGTTGGCTGAAATAATCAGTTTTATTTGGTGTTGAAAGTATTTCTGTTACCTGGCTACCATTGTTTGTCGATTTAGGAAATTACTGCGGTCTGTCTCTGCCTAGCGAAGCAAATAAACCTCGCCGGGTGATATGTTCAAATCGAATTGGATCGGATCGAAGGCGAAGTCGAATGTAATGAGGCTGCCACAACAACGTGATTATGCAAATGTCTGCGCCACCACCATTGGGGCCTCCCAAGCCCCCACTCCCGATCTCCCGATCTCCGATCCCCATCGATGTATATGCGTCTATATTCGCTGCATAATCGCGTTGCCCGTTGCATGTTGCACTCGGCTCATTAATGGGCGTGTTTTTGTTACTGCATTTTATTATTGCACTTGCTAATCACACGCCGGTCGTTATTTAATTGAGCTTAAGAGCCACCCGGCTCGCACAATGTGAAGCCCCCCGTAAAAGGCCCCCTGAAAGCCTCAAAACCGATAGCAAGCCTCCTCAAGTGCGTTTTGCTTCCGTTTCTTGTTCAATTTTCGGTTTATTTTTATTATTATTTGTGTTTTATTTTATTTTATTGCCGGGTACCCAGTAGCTCCATTCGTTAACTCATATCCAATTCGTCTTCGTAACATTTCTTTTTTTTATCGAATATTAAGCGCCTGGCATGCCTTTTCAAGTTAAGGAACTAATATCTATGAATTTAGAGTGCCATAAACACTTTTTTTAATTCCAAATATTGTTAAAATTAATTAACAGATCCAAGATAAGCCTTACATTTGAAAGTTTTTCCTTTTAAAGTGCATAGTTACCTAAAATTATGATTTGTTTTAGTTTCTTTACAAAATTATAAGAAAGTGTTTTAATAAAATAAAATCTATTATTTCGTTTCAATAGGTTTCAAGCTGTTTATGATTACTCTACCTGAAACCCCTTAAAAATGTTATTAAAAAAAGGAAACAAAGCTGCTTCATGTATTAATGGTACTTTTTATCTGCAAGATATATTCATTTCTGGTAAGTAAAGAATTTAAAAAGTAATACAAAACAAGACTAACAAAAACCTTGTTTAAATTAAAATATTCATATATATATAATTTAAATTAAAGATATTTCTTCTGCTGCTCTGAACTTGAACTTTAATCTGGTTCAAATCTAAGTAGACGCACAAGTACTTTTCAAATTTAAACATTAAAGAATCTTTAACGAGGGCAGTGAATATGTGGATATGTAACCTTTTGCAACGTTTATTTCTTATTATTACCTTTTACTTAGTGGCTAAGCACAGAATCGCATTCTATGGCTGGATAAGTTTAGTTTTAGGTGTAGCTTTAGTTTACTTTCTCTACTTGCTATTTACACATACGTATAACTTAAACTTCTGCTTTCCGCTTAATCCTAGGGGAGAGCGTGTGTGTGTAGCTTCATAGTTGGTATCAGTACGAGTTTCTTGGCCACTATCAACTAGTTGGTTGAAATGATGCAATAATGATGAATGAATGGATCTTTCAGTCTCTCTCTACCGCCTACTTGAATGCCGTTGGCTGCAGTTGTTGCCCTCCCGGCAGTTGTATGTCCTCCATGGTCATGGCCGTCTTAGGCAGCTCTGCGACATCGCCCAAGGGTTCGTCCTCGCCCTCGAGCATGGCACTGTCGAAGCTTTTGTTCAAACGATCATGGAACTCGGTCATGGTTATCTTCTTTAGAGCGAAATGCTTCCCAAACGTTTTCTTCACCTTCTGTCGGCGGATCTTCTTCTTCAGCAGCATTTTGTTTTTGTTCAGGCCATCGCTAAAGGAGATGGCGCGCCGCAGCTTGCGTCCACCGAACTTGACAATTCGCACTTGGCTGCTTATGGAGCATTCTTCACTGTCGTCCTCCGCATCGGCGGCATTCTCATCACTTGGCTCCTCGAAGATAGTCTCCAGATTGGCCGGCGTGAATTTCTTCAGCCGCTTGCTTGTGTAGAGCTTCTCAATGCTGCGCATTGTCTGGGCGTTGGTGTTGAGCTCCTTGCGCTGCTTCTTCTTAGCTGGCTTCATGATGACGCTGCAGACGCGGTTGAAGTTGTCCTTGGACACACGGGCGGGCATGCGGCGGCGAGAGACACCAGAACGTGTTGCACCGTGGTGGCTGTAGCGGGAACTGCCGCTAATGCAGTCGCTATCGTCGTCGTTGTCCTCGCCGCGACTCAGCTGCGAGTCGACTTCATCGGAGGCATTGGACTCGCTGCTCACATCGTCCTCCAACTCGGTGCCGCCTGCTGCACCGTGTATGGTCGTGCTCCGCATCATCTCTATGTCCGTCATGGACATCTCCTTCACTCTCCAGGAGAGGTTTGGAATCGCTCCGCTTCTAGAAAGGGGGAGAAATCAGAGGCGTTCCACTTTTGGTTCCTGCAAATACTCACCGATTCTCGGTCAGTCCCACCTCCTTCGGCTGAAACGTGATCTTGGCAAAGTCGTAGACGATGTTATCCATTATGTTTTACCGGCCCATCAGTAGGCAGGCATAATCTTTTAGAAATTGTTCGAAAAATCACACAAAAATGATAATGGACTCCGTCTCACACACAAAAATACCACAGCAAACAAAAAACATTGGTGTTTTTTAGGCTTGTCGCCAAACGGTCACACTTAAATTATTCATAAAGAGCTCAGCTTACTGAAATACCAAAACGTGCTGTCTGGCAGCACGGGCTGTTAAATTCAAATAGTTAGTTACTTGAAAAATAAAGTATAAAACGTGAAATGTTGAATTAACTTCGAGGTAGTTCTGTTTATTTCTTGTTTCAAATGCTTAAAGTTAAATTTCCCGCAAAGGTCATGTCAAAACATTTCCAGGCAGTTGCATTGTAGAGTTGCGAGATATTTATACAGTGTTGGAAATTACCGTTGCGATTTAGTTGATGTAAAATAGTTTAAAAACGTGTAAAACTCCAATTTGTTTACGTGTAAAACTTATGGAAAGCTTCAAATAAATATTTTCACTATCTGAATTCAAATGGAGTTTAAAATTTTAAAGTTCTATAAATAATTAAAAAGTTTTTCTGCACGAAATGTCTATAATTCCCTAATAATTTTCCACTAATAAAAATCGCTCTTATGTATAAGAAATATGCATAGTTTTTTATTTTCACGTTCTATGAATTGAATAAAAAACACAATTAAATTATATTGATGTAATAAATCCCACCTCGACATTTAAATCTTATCGAAAGTCCCAGGTTTCGTCAAGTTGCCAGAGCTCCCCACCGATAGATAAATCCGCCATTTAACCTTATCTGCATATTGTAAATCAGGCAACAGTTAACAGGCTTAGTTATGCGTTTCCGGCCAAGTCAAATGCTATAAAATCTCATTGAAGGCATGAGTTTAATTCATAAAGTGTGTTTACTTTGTGCATAATGAAGGTGCTAGCGTTCTTGCTCCTGGGTGTGATTGCCTCCGCTTCGGCTCTCGAGAAGCCAGTCTTCTGGAAGGATGTGCCTGTGGGCAAGCCCTCGATCGAGGGACGCATCACCATGGGCTATCCGGCCTACGAGGGCAAGGTTCCCTATCAGGTGGGCTTGGGATTCACCAAGAACGGCGGCGGCACCTGGTGCGGTGGCTCCATCATCGGCCACACCTGGGTGATGACGGCCAAGCACTGTACCGACGGCATGGAGGCGGTGACCATCTACTACGGAGCTCTGTGGCGCCTGGAACCCCAGTACACACACTGGGTAAGCCGCAACGACTTTATCGAGCACGGATCCGGTGACATCTCGCTGATCCGCACCCCGCACGTGGACTTCTGGGCGCTGGTCAACAAGGTAGAGCTGCCCAGCTTCAACGATCGCTACAACAACTATCAGGGCTGGTGGGCTCTCGTCTCTGGCTGGGGCAAGACCTCCGACGAGGGTGGCGTCTCTGAGTACTTGAACTGCGTTGATGTCCAGATTGGCGAGAACTCGGTGTGCGAGAACTACTATGGCAGCTTCTCCGGGGACCTCATCTGCATTCCGACGCCCGAGAACAAGGGCACCTGCAGCGGCGACTCTGGTGGCCCGCTGGTTCTCCACGACGGCGGTCGCCAGGTGGGCATTGTGTCCTTCGGCTCCTCCGCCGGCTGCCTGTCCAACGGACCCAAGGGAATGGTGCGCGTCACTAGCTACTTGGATTGGATCCGCGATCACACCGGCATTGCATACTAGGCACGAGTTTAAATAAACTTTTCCTATGGGTTTTGACTTTGAACCTTTCTTTACTTTCCTTTCGTTCTGATCTTTCTTAACTTCCTTCTTCAATATAATCTTTAATATGCTGAAATTTCCACAAATGAATATAGGATAAAGACAAACTAAATTCATTTCAATTCATTCAATTCATTTTATTTAATTATCAAACCGATTAAGGCCTTAGTAGGAAATGCCGGTGTTGTCATTGATCCAGTCCAAGTAACTGGTCACCCTGGTCATTCCCTTGGGGCTGTTAGACAAGCACCCAGCAGAGGATCCAAAGGAAACGATGGCCACCTGGCGGTTGTCGTCGTGAAGGACAAGGGGTCCACCGGAATCACCGCTGCAGGAGCCCTTGTTCTCCGGTGTGGCTATGCAAACGTGGTTCGGGGTGATGGTCGTGGTGCCATAGTGGGCCTCGCAGATGGAGTTATCGGCTATCTGAATGTCCACGCAATTGAGGTAATCAGAGACACCACCCTCGTCGGATGTCTTGCCCCAGCCGGAGAGGAGGGCCCACCAGCCGTAGTAGTTATTGTACCGATCCACGTAGCGCGGCAGCTCCACCTTGTTGACCAGCGACGAGAACTCCACATGCGGAGTGCGGATCAGCGAGATGTCGTTGTTAATGGTGCGCGTGTCGTAGGCGTGGTGCTGGATAAAGTTGCTCTGATGCACCACATGGGTGTACTGGGGCTGCTGACGCCACACGGCGCCGTAGCCAATGGCCACGGAGTTGGCCCCGTGGGTGCAGTGGGCGGCGGTCAGGACCCAGGTGTTGCCAATGATCGAGCCACCGCAGTACCAGCCACTGCCGGCGCCGTTGTCGAACAGCAGAGTCACAATATAGGGTACCTTGCCCTCGTACGCAGGATATCCGTTGGTGATTCTTCCGCTCAATTTCCTGCCCACCGGCATATCCTTGAAGGGAACGGGCTTCTCAACGGCAGCCACCAGGGCCAAGGCCGAAATAAGCAAAACTCCTAGCACTTTCATGGTTCGATCACTTATGGCACGTACAAGGCATTGTTCTTGGTTATATACTCTGCGGTGTCATCTAAATATTCCCAATCAGTTAAGTCCAATATTTACAATCCACTTTCTAAAAGCTGATAATTGGACCGATCAAATATATATATTTGATTCTCTATATTAAGACTTTCGTATTTTATGGATAGAAATCTATAAGAAGCAGAGGTTTGATAAGTCATCGAATACATTATCATTAAACAAAATGTTGAACACTTATCAAAACCATAACAAACATTGATTCTTTTAGAGTTTGTGAGGTTACATCTTTTATAATATTAATTTTTAAACTACGAATTTGATGTACAGCAAAGATAATATCAGTTTATTTAATGTTGATAGCGTTGGGGACAAAATATAAAGAGGATATAGAATATATATATAAATTACATTGGAATTTAAAATTCTGCATCATCTTAAACACCGCTTTTTTCATAAATCCAATCTTGATATGCGCTTACACGGGTATAGGCACTTGGTGCTGCAGTGCATCCTAGATATGATCCGAACGAAACGATTCCAATCTGTGTGTCTTCGGTGGATCCGTTATCAACGGTTAAGGGTCCTCCGGAATCGCCATAGCAAGTGCCCTTGCCTGTATTTGTGGCAGTGCACAAATGTGAGGGTTTTATAAAACCTGGATATGCCAAGTTGCAATCGGTGTTGGAAATAACCATAACATCGACGTACTTTAGGAAAAAAGTTTGTAAAATTGCGTTAGTATCGGGTAGTCCCCAGCCCGAAACCCTGGCCGTCTGATCCTCGTAGGTATCGTAAGGACCGGTGAGCGGGGGCAATCCGACCTTCCCAATGGTCGGACCAAATTCCAATGCTTGACTCAACATGATCAGAGCGATATCGTTCACAAGGCTGTCTTCGTTGTAGTCGGAATGCTGTTTAATATTTTGGCTCGAGGCAGTTCGTTTTACGCCTGTATTCAGAAGAATAGATCCAGCGTAAATTGTAGCCGAATCAGCACTGGAATCAAATGAAATCAAAATTAATAAATATTATTGAATAGTTCAGTTTACTTACTTGTCGGTACAATGGGCTGCGGTCAAAATCCATTCGTTGCTGATGATAGAGCCACCGCAAAACCCGCTTGAGCTACCGTAATCGAATGTAATGCCGACTTGATAGGGTATTTGTCCTATATAGGCGTAGTTTCCGCCAACAATTCGGCTTTCAATGGATTGTTCTATTGTCCTGTCACGAGGATGAACGGGCCTTAAGCTGGACAGAGGGCCAGCAGAGGCACTGGCCAGGGCCAATAGGAGCACTGCAGTCACTTTCATTTTTGCAAAGAATGGTTTTCGGAGTCGATTGTGGCCTTACTTATACCAATTTATATATATTGAATGCAAGAATTAGCCCATTGTTTGAATTATATTGCTGGCAAACACGAGCTTCTTTGTTCGCAACCAACTCTTTCGATATCGCCATGTCCGAAATGTAGGTTAAGTGATCCTGATAATGCTGCCACCATATAAGTTCAAGGCCAATGCCCGAAATTTTAGACTAAGAGATCCAGATAATGGGAGCCCCATAAAAAGTTCAAGTTCAATTTCTAAAATCAATTGTTTATTTTTATTTTGCATTTAGTATGAGACGCGTAATAAAGGCTTGGATGAAATACTAGTATACTTTTTGGCGGCTTTAGGTAGGCATTTCTAAAGAGAAATATAGAAATTTATAAAGATTTGTAAATACTTAAAACTAAAGTTCAAAAGGGGTTCTTGGACATTAAAGTAGCTAGCTGTCTATAATAAATACCTATAGCTTTTCCCACCAACTTTTTCTTGTGCATTTCCAACTGTTAGATTTAATTTTTAATCTATTAATTAGTCAAGCTCAACTTTAAGACACAAAGCTTCTGATATCGGATATTGAAGCTATCTTATTTGTTGGCGGAAATAAGCTCAACACAATAATGATCCAACGTATTTATTTATATTAAATTTACCAAGAATTTAATTAAAGAACAAAAACCCGAATCTAACAGATAAAACTCGCAAAAAAAGTGAAATTATTAAATCATGAATCATTTTAATTGCAAAAGAAAAGTGCTTAGTTGGAGATACCGGCGTTACTCTTGATCCAGTCCAGGTAGGAGGTCACACGGGTGAAGCCAGCGGGGGCACCAGACTCGCAGCCAGCGCTGGACACGAACGAAGTGACACCGATAAGTATAACTTTGTCGGCCAGGACCAGGGGTCCGCCAGAGTCACCGTTGCAGGTGGAGATCCTGTTGGGCGTGGCAATGCAGATGACCTTGGAGGTGGCGATCAAAGAGCCGTAGGTGGATTGGCAAGTGGCAACGGATACAACATCGAATGTTTCGTACTGCAGGGTACTGGCCACCGAGGTGGCGGAGTCAGAGATCTTGCCCCAGCCAGAGGCAATGGCCTTCTCTCCGGCATAGGTAGAGTAGGAGCTGGCGATCGCGGGAAGCTCCACCCGGTTGATGTCGGAAGTGTAGCTCACAGCAGGGGTCTTGATCAGAGAGATGTCGTTCCTCAACACAACCGAGTTGTAGCTGGCATGCTGGATGAAGTTGGAGCTGGCAACCGTTTGGGTAACCTTGGCGTTGGTGCGGACGGTGGCGCCGTAGTAGATGGTCACCTTGGAGGCACCATCGGTGCAGTGGGCAGCGGTCAGCACCCACTCATTGCCGATGATGGAGCCTCCGCACCACCAGCTTCCTCCGCTGCTGTCGAAGCTGAGTCCCACCTGGTAGGGGAACTGGCCCTCGGTGGCGGTCTTGCCGTTGGTAATGCGACCCTCAATGGAAGGCACCGACGGCAGATCCTTGGGGTGCACGGGCAACTGCTGGGGCAGCAGGCCGGCGGAGACGGTGGCCAGAGCGAGGGCGAATACTACGAGCACTTTCATAATTGTTCGAAGAACGAATGATTCCTAAACTTAAGGAACTACACCTTATATACCTCCACTTTTGGGGCCTTTTGCCACTGCTGTGTGTTTGAAGCGTGCTGAAAATTCTTATCAGAGATAGGATGTGGAGCTACTTATCAGCTTCGATTGACCAAATACGGTAGAAAAGTGTCTTCCGTTATCGGGAGAGATTACACACCGCAGGCTTTCAATTAAACGCACTTCACTTTATGAAAGAGCGGCGACAGACGTCTAGCACTTGGTTCTGTGATACTTCTGATAGGAAAAGATTTCTTTATAGATCGGACGTGTTTTGATGACTTTTGCACTGCCAAAAAACAATGAAAATAATAATAATAAGAAGAAATATTTATATTTAGCTGGGGAAAACCGACTTGAATTGGCTTAGCCCGATCGATGGCTTGCTGTCTAATCGAATTATTCATTTGGATTCGATCAGAGAAATTGTTTACGGCCGCTCTCGAGCGCCTCGAGTGCCTGAAATTCCCACTGATTATCTCTGATGATGGTTGGCCCCAAATCATATCAAGTATACGCAGCGGTGTGCCAAAACTTGCCAACTCATGAGCCATGAAGGGGGGAGAGGAAGGCGGAGAAAGGAGGCAAGTGACAGTGGCTAGCTGAATCTGGGAAATTGAAATCAAATCGCCTTAGGTGTCGGGCATGCAAAGCGTGCAGAAGCAGGGCCAGGACCCGGCTGGACATTAGCACATAAAAACAATTCATTGCCGTTCCTGCTGACACATGTAGACCGTCGGAGCACCATAGTTGCTCCATGTAGTTGTTGCCGCTTTTGTGGGCCACTCACTCACTCACTGTGCGTGTCTGGGCCGTAAAATGGATTTCCTCTTATCGCTATGGATTTCCTCTTATCGCCAACTTAAAGAGGAGCTAAGGAGGCAATCCCTCCAAATATTTAATCCCTGTATTAACTGCACTATATTGATTTTTATTCCCCTTTCAATTCCCTCTGGTTGAGCACTTTTTTTCTTTATGGTAGCTCTTTTCGCTGATTGCGGAAAAAATGGTCGGTCCTTTTGTCTCCCGAACCAGGAACAAAGGAACTAATTTTCTTGAAATATTTGCCATCATTGTTGGCCGAGGACGAGCAGAAGGAGCAGCAGTTTTAAAGGCAGTCAGTCACCCTTTAAATTGCTGCCAGAGATATATGTAATGCACTTATATATATAAGTATATATAAATGTATATTACGTATACGTAATGCGCTCACCCGAGACACACACTCGCTTATTAGACGCATATCCAGCTTGGGAGCAGGACAACAATAATGTCCAGTGCTCTTGGAATCTCGGCTGGAAGGAAGGAAACTTTTGCTCACTCGACCAGTTGCGTTGGCGGCAGGACTCGAAAAGGACACGAATATTCATTCAGTAAGCGACTACACGCCTCTGGCTCAAGTGGTTTTATAAACAGTTGAGGCGGAAAAAATAGAATAACCAAACTATATTATTCTAAACTTAAAAAGGATTGAAACTAGTAAATTATATTTTATTAAAATATAAATCCTTAAAAATAAATCAAACTATAAACAAAAACCCCTAGTTATATATTTTTCCCCCCTCAGTTGTGTTTTTGACCGAGTGTATCCTTAGTAAGGCATTTGAAATGTCCCCCAGCGAGCGCTGTCCTTTGACGAGAAAAGGGAAAAGGACGAAACGACGACGACGACGACAAACAAGATTGCAGCAATAAAATTTCGACAAGTGAACAACAAATGATAAACGAAGCAGCAGCTTGGGATAAAAAGCAGCAGCGGCAAAAGGAGCAGCCCTCGGAGAGGTCAGTTTTGGGTAGCACTTGAGATGCTGGTGGCCAGTGCCAAGGATTCCAACTCACTTCAGCTGGATGTTGGCCCACTCTCCGGGCAACAATCTAATGTGAGCCGCATCGATTACGCTTCCACTGCCACTCAGGACTGTGTGTTTTGTGCTGTCCCTCTCCCAGGATTTGTTGTTTAATGCACTGCAAGAAATTAGTATATTTATGAAATGGAAAACTAAATGAGACAAGAGAGAAAGCTACCCTATACCCATGCAGATTGAAATTCAATCACTAGGAATTAATACAATATAAATGATATATATTTATGTTAAAAACATTTTATATTTACCGTTTTACATTAACCCCTTTTGTATATTCCTTAACGATCTGTGGCAGCTATATCATATAAAATCCAGAGTTTTATAAAATTTTACACAAAATTCTAGATTAATATATAACGAGAATTTATCAAAATTGAAATCTGTTGAAAACTGGAAAAGTTATAATATTTTTTCTTAAAAATTTCCTATTGTTCCTATGTCAGCTATATATATACGTATATATATAGTCCACCGATTTGCCATGCTCTGACTTATATACTAGTAAAATTATATAGAAGAATAACTCCATAGTTTCTTTCAAATAGCTTGATCTTTGTTCCAAAACACATCTCGCACATCTGTGCATATAATTCCCAACTGGTTTTAACATCCCCGGTTACAAAAGTTGCAAGTCATTGTTTATCAGTGTTCAAAGTTAGTAACTGAACATACATACTTACTGGTCATAGATACTTACTGATCATAGCTATTTACTTGTCATAGATAATTAGTGTTCAGAGTTACTTACTGGTAATAGATACTTACTGTTGAGAGTTACTTCCTGCTCATAGCTACTTACTGCTCATAGTTAAATATTGATCTTATTATTATTACTTACTGATCGTTTGTATGGCAGATATATATATGTATATATATATAGACTACCGATTCACTTTATATACCAGTAAAGTTATATAGAAGAATAACTCTATAGTCTCATTAAAAAAGCTTGATCTTAAATTTGTGCCAAAACAAATCTCGCACATATGATGCATATGATTCCCAACTGGTTCTAATATCTCCGGAACGAAGTGACTTCTGCCGGCCAAGTATCCGAAATGTGTTGTGTTACAAAAGTTGCAAGTCATTGCTTATTAGTGTTCAAAGTTAATAACGGATCATACATACACACTTACTGGTCATAGATACTTACTGATCAAAGTTACCTACTGCTCATATTTACTTAATGTTTATTGATACTTACTGATCAAAGTTTCTTACTGTTCATAGTAACTTACAGATGAAAGATACTTACTGATCCTAGAAGCTTAATGGATTTTAGGTAGACTTATTCTTTTTTTCATTTTTGAACTGAAACCCATATATTTCTCCCTGTGTACCCGTATAGGAAGCTCAACTTCTCTCAGTTCAGTTTGCTTCGGAATTTTTTGTGTTAAATTGTCATGAAACTGTCGCTGTGCCCTGCGGTCAGCCCAAGAAATCCGTCTCGGTCTTGGACTCCGCTTCAATCTCCTCCCGCTTCCTCCCTTGTTGGCCAGAATTAATGACAACTGTCTGGACCAGCTGACCCGCTCGAGCAGGTCTCCTCCTTTCGCTGATGACTTATCACAGGGAACTATGTCTATTTCCTGCTATAATTCAAATTGCTTTCGGGGATGTCAACAGCAGCCGCCTCATTAATCATGCCTCCTGGAATGGTCTCACATTGCGTATGAGTAATGCGATTGTCAGGCACCTTTTTTCTACCGTAAACTTGGCAAAAAGAACTTACTCCCTCTACTTTTCCAAGATGTTGCTCAAATGCAAGTGGGGGAGATAAAGTTTTTCTCCACCATTCCATTTATTTCTTTTTCCATTTTTTGAAATGCAATTTGTTGCTGCACTTTGGCTGGAGCTATAAGTACAGATGTGTTGGCGTGACTCACGTTCCCTATACATCCCTTCGTTTTTCTTTAGAGCCAAGTTAACCCGGAGACTTAGCAGGTCCCGGGACTTGGTCAAAGTTTTGTGTTGCAGTTTGTCAACTCGTTTTTAATGCGCGATGTATTGAAAAAGTTTGATTAGGGAGCAGCTGGCAGACTCCCAGTAACCATCTCCACCTGAGCTCCATGTCAGACATGAAAACTTGATAAAGAGGGAGCTTAGTAGTAGCGGGCATTGCACATACGCCCCGTTGTACTGTCAATATTGTGACGCAAATCCGACGAGAAGACGACAAACACAAGTGTCCACCGTTAAATTTTATGTTCCGGGATCAAACTAAGTTATTATATGGCGGAATACATAAATGTATATGCTATATTTGGTATATATAACATTATATATTATGTGTATCGTAGTGGAGATGTTTTGACAAATATTTGAGGGTACAATTTTTGCCAGCTCTGTGATTTTCTATCAATAAGCTGACGGCATCCCATTGGTTTTTTTGCATATGAGCGAGGGCTTTGCTCGAAATATAGAAATATATATATATATATATATATATCTATGTATAAATATAAATTCCTGCCAGGCAAACAAATCCTTTTCGATAGATTGCTTCTGGCTTTGCCTTTTTTTTCTCGCCGTCGCTTTTATTATTGTGTGCCAAACGCCAAGGATTTTTGTCTACTACGACAATTGGATTTCCACGGAAAGTAGGGAGTGGAAAGCAAGAAGAATTTCTCTTGGAGTAGGTTTGATACGTGTCCCCAATCGGAGGTGGCACTTGTCTGCTTATTGGCATTGGCACATCCCACCAAAAAGTACAACAGAAAAAATGAAAATGATTTCGCTTGGGCCATATCAATGACTTTTGGTATATTTACAGGGGATTCCTTTTGTTCCGGAAATATTCTTGGGAGCGGGATATGGCAACTTTTCCTTTGTACTTCGAACTTGTCTGCAGTTGAATTTGAATGCAGTCGGAGAATATTCAGACCCGGAGGATGGGAATACTTAATATCAGGGATTGCATTCAGTCGGGAATCCCCTTTGTTGCGAGGACTTCATTAATGCCTGTGAAATATGCCAAACCTTTTTTGAAGTATCTCCATCAAGAGAGTTGAGGGGAGTGCCTGTGTTGTGTTGGAAAATATATAACTAGTCATCAAAATTTAGTATGCAAATATTTATATGAATATTCAGCTGAGGCTGGCAAATGCTGTATGGCTTATAAACATTTTTGTTTGCCAATATTTTTTTTTCTTTTTTTGGATGTGTGTGCGCTTCCTTGTTGTAATTTCGGTTTATTGTTTTCTATATATTTTTCTGCTTGAACGCACTAAAAGCCACTCCACTGCCAGTCAGCCATTGAATCCACCTTCCATCCGGAGAGCTCCTCCCATATTTCCTCCTCGATGCCGGCATTTGTTTGCTTTATGTCTTTATTTTTTGCCCCTGTCCCTGGCCCTGCCCCTGGCCGAGAGGGGCAAAAGTATTATTATTTTTTGCCCTACTCCTGCTGACGGTTCTCTCCTTTCTATTTCTTTTTTTTCCACTGACTGATGGCTCTAGGTAATGCCAGGATCCTGGCATCCTGGCAGGGAGGTTGAGGTAGCGAGAGGATTTCGGTGAGTGCTCTTCGAGCGGCTTTGCATATGAGGATGTGTGCTATCTACTTGATATGCCCTTGCAGCTTTTCGAGTCCCGAAAAAAGGACGAGATGTTTCAATTATGTTTACCGCTTGCTAGTCTCCAAAAAGCAGACGCACTTCTTTAAGTATTTCTCCAGAAGTAAGCCATTAACTTTTCCCGTCAATCAATTGTCACTCCCCAAAGGGAAAGAAACAAAAAAACAGGAAACATGAAAACAAAAGGCACGAGACCATGACAAGACACTTTACTTCCATGTGAATGGAATGAAATTAACAGCAGAAAAGGGGAAGTGATTTTTGTGCCAAAGGACATCCCTGACTGGGGATTGCTCTTCTGTGTTTTAGGCAGAAAGATATTTATCGGAATCAACTTGTTTGGAGATTTAATTAAGGAACTAAAGCAGTGCTAAGTTCATAAAATTGTTTCGTATTCTTTATCAGCAGGAAAACTAAATTAAAGAGATAAAGTTCTAATATAAAAATAATTATGATAAGGGGAAATAATACTTTTAAGATTTTAGCGCATTCGATATTTAAATCTTTACTGTATAAATAGTATGGATATAACTTAATTTGTTAATTAAATTATTTCGTGTTATGCTATTTAGTAAATTATAAACATTTTCTTAAGTAAGTGAACAACCAAGACCTTCAATTTAATTGAGAACGTCGTTTTTGGTATACATCTACATGCCTCTCTGTTAATCAAAGGAACCAACTTTGACCAGAAACAAGTATGGCCACTCAATCAGCAGTCAAGGCAAAAACCAAACCGCCCAAAAACTCTTTGTCTCCGAGTCCTAGTCCAAAGCCAAAACAAAAAAAAAAAAAACAGAAAGCCGGCGAACTTTGCCGTCAAGTCATTGTGGTAAAAGGATGTTGTTGGCCATGATGCTGGCTGCCTGGCTGGTGGGTGGTTCAAGTGGTGACCGGCTCCACGCGGAGACCCCACCACCAAGTGTTGTTTGGATTTCATTATACAATTATCTTGTTACCAGAAATAATGGTGTCGAGCCGGGCAACATGCCAAAAGCATTCAATGAGCTTGATGCGCCCTCCACACACACTCTCTCTCTGTCAGTCCTGCCCCCCAAAAACAACCCTCTCCCACACACACATGGGAGTGTGTGATGTGTGTTGCCGGATGCTGAGCGCGTTAGGAAAAGCAGGAAGTCATTAGCCGAAAAAACTCTGGTGATGGCGCTTCCAACTGGGGTTGGAAGGAGCCAGTAATGCGATAAATAAATGAAAATGTTTGAGTTAAATGAATTAAGTGTAAGGATACTCTCTGTGTGTGTGTCTGGCTTTTTTTTGTTGTTAGAAACACTTTTTGTGTTGGCCTGTCATCGCAAGTGACTTGGGGTTGTTAAGTGCTAGAGCAATAGTAATTGTTCGGCGCTTAATTAGCCGAACATCATTCAAAGTGTCACAGGCACACACACACTGTGCCCCAAAGGGGTTAAGGCAAAGTCAGTCAGCCAGTCAAAGTTGGTCGAAACTTATATTTGCCATGAAGGCATTGTTTAGAAATATGTCTTCTAAAGTTGGTTTCTTTATTACATAATCTATTTTGCAGTTTGGCTATACTTCAGACGTTGTCAATTCAAAAATACTCTTCAAATATTATGAATACTTTTCATTTCAGTAAGAAACCTTCATCTTTACCCAAAAAATATGTTTAATCAAGATCTTGTTCCTCACAATATCTCCTCAAAACCCTTTAATAAAGTTCAAAGTTAGTCTTCGTTTTTCTCTGAGGTTAACCCTTTCTCAGGGTTTACGACCAGTTTAAGTTAATGCCAAGTTCCTAGTTCTCAGTCAACCCATTCACCATCATCATCAACATCCTTGTGACTTTAACTATTTGCAGTTGTACGCTCACTTTATTCACTTGGAGACCCCGAAATGCTGACTTTGCGAATTTAGTTCGTCCTTATATCCTTGTTTTTTTGTTTTGTTGGCTGGCTGATTTCGACGCGACTTAATTAATTATGTAGCCGAATCATGGCCCCACCAAAAACCGTTAATTAAGTTGATTGCTTTGAATTGGCTGGCATTTATTAGCCAGGATTGTGTTAGTGAGTCGCCAGTTGGACAAAGGAGCAGGATCCAGGGACCAAGTCCCTTCCTCTGGGGCATAATTGATGAGCTGACAGTTCCGTTAATTGATTTTGCCGTGTGATTTGAGTCTCCATACGATGCGAAAATTGATTTTATTAGCTGCCACATGAAACGGAGCTAAATATTTAATTTGATGTGCGAATTGGGTCAGATGAGACGCAAACCAGAAAAAGATATAAATAATGGACTCCAAAGTCAAATGCAAATTCCGGATGCCTTAGGCAGGAGGCCGAAATTTTTGGAAATAAAGTGAATCGAATGAAAACCACTTGACCAACTAACTGGAAGGCCGTTGACCAAGTTCACTTCAATCAGGCAAAACAAGGAAGTTTGTGGCCAAGATAGAAACCAACTTTCGACGTTGTTCAATCAGAGCCAAATTCAGCAACTGGGCAAAGTGGATTTTAAATAAAAAACACTCGTCGAGAGCGGGTGCCGGGTTGACATTTTAACTAACTTTTTGCCATACAGACACACACTCTACTAACTTGTGCGTTTTTATTCCAGTTGAGGTTGAGGTTCAGGTTCAGAGGGGGGAGTTATGTATGATATTTTGTCATATCTAAGCCACAGAATGCGAGTGCAGGAAACTTTTTGTGCTGTCATAAATTTCCGCAATGCAAACATTTATCAGCCCGGCTGGACCTGGTCCCTGGGAGGAAGTGGAAGCACCCTTCAAGCTCAGCTGCGGCTGCGACTGCTGGTGTTATTTTCCCTGACTGACTTGGTTATGTTGTCTCCGGATTCGGATCTGGTTTTCCTTCCTGACTCCGCCGAGTAAATGCTTTTTACCGCAGTAGCATCTGTTTGGGACTGGTTTTTAGGCGCCACCTGCTATCCCTTCACATGTGAGGGAGGTCCTTGCACTGGTAGAAAAAACAATAACAAAAAAACAAAATAAATGCCGCACTTAGCCCAGTTTCTCTGTCGTTGAAAAGTTGGGGGAATTAAATGCTGATGGCCTTAAAATAAGAAAGAGTGCTACAAATGAAGCAACAACTTTTGTCATTTATTCAAATGTTTGACGATAATTCAAGTGCTGACATATTGTCTGGGTTTTTCTATTTTTGTCTTCTTTTCAACTTTCACTTGAGCAGGAAACTTTTTCTTTTTGTTTTCTTAGATTGCCAGTTTTCAGCTTTTATTGTCTCGCTTTTGGCAATTTAATGAATTTTAATGAAAACTTATGTGCCGAGAGCCGGCAACAGCTTTGCCATTTACGTGTTGTTGTCTTTTTATATATATTAAATTCAGTTTTTATTTTTTTTAGTAGTACTTTTGTATAGCATGGACAATGATATTTTCGGTTATATTGATTGATTTTTCCCCTTTAGCTCTATTGGTAAATAATAAACGCAAAGCGACATATTCGTTAGAATTTTTTTTTATATTTGTGCATAATGTGAAGTCCCTGACTCCTCCTTAGTTGGAGATGCCAGTGTTGCTCTTGATCCAGTCCAGATAGCTGGTGACACGGGTGAAGGCAACGGGGTAGCCCTTCTCGCAACCGGCAGCGGCTCCAAAGGAGGTAAGACCGATCTGAATCTTCGCGCTGGTGACCAGAGGACCACCGGAGTCACCGTTGCAGGTGGAGACCTTGTTGGGGGTTTCAACGCAAATTTGGCTTCCAGTAACGATCGAGGTACCGTAGACCTTTTGGCAGTCAGCGTTGGGAATAACCTTCAACTCGGCGTACTGGAGGTTAGTGGCTACAGCGCTCGCCGCGTCGGAGGTGCGTCCCCAGCCGGAGGCGGTAACCGTGTCGCCGACATAGGTGCTGTACGAGTTGGCAATGGCGGGAATTTTGACGGCCTGGATCCTGGAGGTATAGCTGACCGAGGGGATCTTGATCAGAGAGATGTCGTTGCGCAGGTTGGCGCTGTTCCAGCCGGAGTGGATGATGATGTCGGACTTGGCCACGGTGTGGCTAACCTCGGCGGAGGTACGCACAGTGGCGCCCAGGTAGACAGTCACGGACTGGACACTGTGGGAGGATTCAAAAATAAGTATCTTACTGGTGGAGAGGAGAGAATGTCATAAGGACACTCACCCATCGGTACAGTGAGCAGCGGTCAGGACCCAGGAGTTGCCGATCAGGGAGCCACCGCACCAGGCGCTGGACAGAGCGCTCAGCTTGAGGGAAAGTCCCACCTGGTAGGGGAACTGACCCACGGCGGCGGTCTTGCCGTTGGTGATGCGACCCTCAATGTCGCCGACGACGGGCATCTCACGGTTGCGGTGGGTCAACTCCGCCTCGGGGAAGGCAGAGGCGGCCACGGCCAGGGCAAGGATGATCAGGAACTTCATCTTCTTGGGGGGATTGTTGCGTGTTCAGTCAAAGGAACTCAACTGATTTGAAACTGGCCCCCGGACAGTCTTTTATACTAGCGGGAAATCGCACTAGAAATCACCGATTAGGTTGCATTTCACAAAAAAAAAAAGAGCCACCGGCCCAACTGCCAGAGATTAGATATTGGCCAAAAGTCGTCGGTTCGAAGTGTCGTTATCTTTGAAGATTCAAAGCGGAAGATATGGATGAACTTCAGCCACCCGGCCGCCAAAATTACTTTCCCAAAAAGCCCAAGGGTATTGGCGTACGAATCCCGATATGGATCTAATCTAGCCACCGGGCTTGCAATATGAGTTTGCTAATTAATTTGATTTGTTCTTTATAAATACTATATTTTTGTTATATTTGCGAAGGGTTTATTACGGCGAGTGACGTGTGCCATACTCAAGTGCTATCTTATCGGGAAAAAACGCTGTCCCATAAGCATAAAGTTCCGCTGGATTGTTTACCTGTTAAGGTCAAGACATGAAGCCCCTTTTGGCTGCTGAATTAGTCTAACATTTTACAATGAAATGCACTATCTCATTCAACTGTTAAATATAATATAATATATAATATATAAGCAATGACAGGCTCTCTTTGAAATCAAAAATTTACGATTATAAACAAACAAACAAGGTACAGGTACGCTTTGGCTGCGGCATCTTTATCGCCGCGCTTGCCGCGTGATTTGATGACGCGTTGGACTGGACTGGCTTACTAACCGCATCGCTGCGGTTAATGGCCAATTCAGATGGCCAATTAAAGACGATTAGGCCAGGAGTGGCAGGAAGGGGGTTGAGAGCAAAATCAACACCACATCGACGGACAATCAACTCGAAGAACATTTCAATTTCATCAGCAATTTTTGCTTGGAAATTCTCTGGCTTCTCTCTCTCTCTCTCTCTTTTATTGAGCTTTTCCCGAAATTGGCTTGACGTAAATGTTTATTGTTATTTATCGACAACAATTTCCATTCAGCAGGAAAACAACCCCCATAAAATGGACCATTTTCACCTTATCTACGGTAGGGATTCTCCCTCTCATCTCGTCTCGGTTTCCTTGCTGAAATTGGTTTTATTGTCAGCCTGCGACTATATTGTTTAGCAATTAATGGGCTGCAATTAGGCGTTAATTGCATTTAGTTGGTCGTTGGTCTGCTGCCGGATCCATGGCAAATATGCGGTTATCCTGGCGTAGACAGTGGGCGCCCCCAGCTCACAGCCACCGGCACTGCCGAACGAGGTGACCCCAATTAGGTAGCTCACATTGCGCCACTGGAAGACCAGTGGTCCGCCAGAGTCACCATTGCAGGCACCACGATTGTACTTTCCATCTGTGCAGAGGTGTCGCCTTTGACTGACCAATCCTGGCAAGAAATAGCACAGGCAGCGCTCCTGATCGAGCACCTCCACGTCCAGGAAGTGGAGAAGAGGGGTGTCCTCTCGCGGAGCATCTGCATCTGGAGAATCTCCCAGACTACCCCAACCCGTAAGAGTCACCGGCTGGCTGTCCAGAAACTTTTGCGACATAAATTCCCCGGCCAGCTCTATGGGTCGAACCCGATCAGAGGTTAAGGCCTTCCTAGGCAGTCTTATTAAGGCCAAATCATTGTAGCCCCCAAAGCCCAGGTATCCTGGGTAGATTTCAAAATCCCTGTGGCTGACCACAAACTCTTCGGCTGCATCTTCGGTATCAGCAAACCTAGTGGCACCCGAATAAATCCTGGCCCCAATGGCATCCCCCAAACAGTGGGCTGCCGTCAGGATATACTGAGTCGTGATGAGGGAGCCACCACATTGGATGAGTGCTCCGCCACTCTGCTGAATCACCAGAGCCACTTGATGTGGAAACATGCCGCGCGTGGCCAGTTCCCCGCCAGCGATTCGAGTGCTGATTGGTGAGGTCTGGTTCTCTTCCAGCTCCTTGAATTTCTCGCAGCGAAGTCGCCAGTGTTCGTATCCCAGTTGCCAGCGTCGCTCCATGATCGAATCATCATCGTGAACAGGATCATCTTCGAGGACATATTGTCAGTTTTCGGTGGATATAACTTTTAGGTAGAGTATTACAAGTAGAAAGAGGGGAGTCAGGCAATGCAACATCTTATCTCTAAAAGAAATGGAAAATATTATTTATAGAGCTTTGGGGTAGGATTTTAATTAATAGAATGACTTTTGTCTTTCGAGACGGAGATATCAGCTGGTTTTAAATATATATTTAATATTAGTAAACTATTATTAGATATATACCAATGTTTAGTTCAAGAGCACTAATATTCATCAACATTTAAGGAATGAATGTTGAGAGGAAAAGTTCAATATGAAACAAATATTATACTACTATTAATATATTTATAATATAAATAGATTTATATTATAGATTTAGGCAAAGATATTTCGGTTATCAGGCTTTCAATGTTTATTTAAGATTTAATAGTCTTTAATTAGTAATTCATTGAAGTAATCAATACATTGAAATAAAGGAAAACTTTCCAATTGATCAACTAACTGCTCATTAAAAACTCTTCATTTATTTTTCCTAGAAAAACCTCCTTTTTAATATATTTTATAACTAACTTTTTAATCGCAGAATAAAACAGAACTTTAATGAAATACTTGTAACTCGCTCTCTGACGTTCTCTGTGTTTGGCTGCTATGATCAATATTGAGTTCCGTCTGAGTGGGCCCTTCATGTGAAGGGGGACTGGATGTTGTTTTTATAGCCAGCGACTGTGTGTGGCATCCACATTGCGTCAGCGTCTTTTTCACGGCACGTGTCCAACTCAGTCTTCATCTCCGTCTCCGTCTCCGTCTGTTAATTGAATTTGCTCCAATGGCTTGGCCCAGTGGAAATTATCGTCTCTGGGACGAGCAGATGTTTGGCATTCAATTCCTGAAGCTGCCGTGTAATTGCCGCACGTTTCGGCGATTATATCGCTTAGGCCTGGCCTTCGACTGCAGTTGGCTTAATTGCTCTCGGCGTGTATTTCAATTGCATGATTCCTCCGCAAAACCCAACTCGGCTATCAACAATGTCTTGGTCGGGGTCTTAATATTTATTGACTGGCGTTTTATCAACGCTTAGTTTATTATTTGTTTAATTTACTGCAGGCGTTCGCTTGGATTTCACCATATATGATAGGCCAGGCCTTCTGGCGCTGCAATCAATGGCCCAATATATGTTATGGCCTTTGGTTTTTGTTTTTATTTTAATGACCTTAAATGAGTTGTAAATTGAAATTCCAAGCAGGAAGTATTTACTGCAGTAATAGGAGAGTAAATATTAAATTAACTTAATAGGAAATATTAAGTTATGAGGCTTAATTAGATATAGATTGAATATAAATATTAAATAGATTAATGTATAAAGTTAACCGGGGTTTAAGAGAGGTCTTACTAGGTATTATTTAAACCTTTTATTTAAGAGCATAATAATAGGAATATGGAAAAAGTATACCACACAGAAAATATGAGTAAATGCCAAGTTACTTGGGAACTTTAGGTGATTTATTAGCATTTGCCTTCAATAATATCTAAACATTTAATTGAAATTTATTTATTACTTAAAATTTTCCATTTAGCATTATTTTTATAATGTTAAAAGCAAAAGACAGACTTAGATCTTTTTCTACATGAAGAATGCCTTTCTGTCTGAGGGTAAAAAGTAAAAATATTCATAATATCTCTATAAAAATGAATTAATAAATAAAACAAAATAGAAATGAAATTCATAGAATCATTTTTTTTATTGCATTAACTCGATGTTCGGTAATCCGATTAAGCGCTAACTCCAGAGTTAGTCTTGATCCAATCCAAGTAGCTGGTCACACGGGTGAAGGCAGCCGGGTAGCCGGCCTCGCAGCCCTGGGCGGATCCAAAGGAGGTGATGCCAATGAGAACGTCCTTCAGAGCCAACGGGCCACCAGAGTCACCCTGGCAGGTGGACTTGGCATTAGTAGTTTCCACGCACAACACATTGTTGGTGACGATCAGACTGCCGAAGGTCTGCTGGCAAACGGAGTTTGCGATGATTTTAAGACTGACGAAGTTCAGGTCCGGGGCCACCGCGTTTTCCTTATCGCCGGTCAGTCCCCAGCCAGAGGCGACGGCGGTGTCTCCAACATAGGTAGAGTAGCTGCCGGCGATGGCGGGCAGGGCGATTTTGCCAACGGCGCTGGAAAAGGCAATCTTCGGGGTCTTGATCAGGGAGATGTCGTTGCGGACCGTCAGGGAAAGGTAGTTGGCGTGCTGGATGAAGTCCTTGCTAGCCACGGTCTCGGTGAACTTGGGGCTGGTGCGGACGGTGGCTCCGTAGTAGATGGTCACAGAGGAGGCACTGTAAAATGGAAGTACCCCCATTAATCGAGAATCGTGTTAAGTCAGGGAGTTGGACAACTCACCCGCTGGTGCAGTGAGCAGCAGTCAAAACCCAGCTATTGTCGATGATGGAGCCACCGCACCACCAGCTGCCACCGGAGCTGGTGAAGCTTAGTCCCACCTGGTAGGGGAACTGGTTCTCTGCGGCCTTCTCACCATTGGTGATGCGACCCTCGATGGAGAAGGCGGCACTCCTGTCCTTGGGATGCACGGGAGCGATCTGGGGCAGCAACCCAGCGGAGGCGGAGGCGAGGGCCAGAACGAGGACGACGAATACCTTCATGTTGATGGTGAATCGGACTACGAATGATTCTTCAGCGGCCAGAAGGTTCCCTTTTATAGGGACCTTATCTGGTCAGAATGCTATTTTTTTGGTCAGAGCTTTTTGATAATGCTCCAGACTAGGTTTTTATCAGTTAATACATACATATATTTAACTAATCAAATAAGATTTTAAAGCCAACTTACTTAACCTTTGTTTATCAGTTATTTCAATTATTGGTTTGTTATAACATGGGTGTGCCTATCTCTAACATTTATTTTTCCATATCTGAGTGGGCTTTATCTTTGTAAAGAATTAAGTTCTAAAGGGAATTTACACCATTCCTTCACAAAAAAGAAACTTTTGAACTATTTAAACAAAATGTATTTATTTTTCACCAGAATGTACAATATGATCTAAGCGGAAACTCCGGAATTGGCCTTAATCCAGTCCAGATAGCTGGTCACGCGGGTGAAGGCAGCCGGGGCACCGACCTCGCAGCCATCGGGGGATCCAAAGGAAGTGATGCCAATAAGAGTTCCATCCAGAGCCAGGGGGCCACCGGAATCACCCTGGCAGGTGGAAACCGAGTTGGGAGTGGCCACGCAGATGACGCGGCTGGTCACGATCAGGCTGCTGAATGACTTAAGGCACTCGGCATTGGAGATGACGGTGAGGTCGGTGTACTGCAGATCCTTGGCCACGGCAGTGGCACTGTCAGAGGTCAGTCCCCAGCCAGAGGCGACGGCGGTCCTGCCCACATAGGTGGAGTAGCTGCTGGCGATGGCGGGCAGGGCGATCTTGTTGACGGCCGACGAGAAGGACACGGTCGGGGTCTTGATCAGGGAGATGTCGTTGCGGACCGTCAGGGAAATGTAGTTGGCATGCTGGACAAAGTCCTTGCTGGCCACAGTGTGGGTGAACTTGGGGCTGGTGCGGACAGTGGCTCCGTAGTAGATGGTTGCCGAAGAGGCACTGCAAACGAGGATAGTTTCCCATTAACCAAGATCATTTTTAATCGAAAAAGGACAACTTACCCGCTGGTACAGTGGGCAGCGGTCACCACCCAGTTGTTGGCAATGATGGAACCGCCACACCACCAGCCGCCGTCAGAGCTGGAGAAGCTTAGTCCCACCTGGTAGGGGAACTGGTTCTCCTTAGCGTTCTTTCCGTTGGTGATGCGTCCCTCGATCGAAGGAGCCACAACCCTGTCCTTGGGGTGCACAGGTTGCACCTGGGTCAGGAGGCCAGCGGAGGCAGAGGCAAGGGCCAGAACAAGGACAAGGAATACCTTCATGTTGATGGTCGATCGAAGAGTGAATAATTGTCGGCACTAACTGGGCTTATTATATAGCAAAAGGCCAAGAAGGGCCTTATCTATAAGATCGCTGATGGGCAGGTCCCACTCCAAGTCCAGCGATTGATTATATTTCTTAGAACAAATTTCTGGGGGAAAATCTACAATCATGAATGACTGTCTGATAACTCAGTTACTTATGCAATACCACTCTTAGACTTTGTTTTAATTTCATATATTTAAACTTGAAGTAATAGCAATTTGTAAAATAATATTTAATTACATTTGATTACATTAGAATGAGAAGTATAATGAGATAATAGTTGATTTTATATTAAAGTAAAATTAATGATTATATAAAGTTTCAAGGTAATTATAAATATATATTTGTTTGAATTAAGTGCATAATATTTATTAGAAATATTTATAGGACAACTGATTAAAAGACTTGAAATGTTGGTAGTACATAAATCTAAATAAAAATTTATTTAATAAATTCATAAAAAACTAAAGACAAAGTCATTATTTAAGTGGGATTTTCCCTCCAAAATTTGTGGAAACCTTTTCAAAGATAATCTCACCTTTAGCCATGATTTATACTTGATAAAATCCATTGGGGATTTGCCCATTACGTTTAACTGATAAGATTTGGGATAATGGTATATAATAACCCCCATCAACTGACGATTATCATTCGTTGAACTGTAAATCGATCAACATGAAGGTTTTCGTGGTCTTGGCTCTGGCTCTTGCCTCCGTTTCCGCTGGCGTCCTGCCTCAGGATACGCCTGTGCATCCCAAGGATATCCAAGGTGTACCTGTTATCCAGGGACGCATTACCAACGGCAAGAACGCGGCAGAGAACCAGTTTCCCTACCAGGTGGGACTTAGTTTCACTGGCTCCAGTGGCAGCTGGTGGTGCGGTGGCTCCATCATCTCCAACACCTATGTCCTGACCGCTGCCCACTGCACCAGCGGGTAAGTTTCCTTAATTCTTGCCAGGATATATTCTTCTAGATAACCCTGCTCTCCTTCAGAGCCTCCTCCGTGAAGATGTACTACGGCTCCACTACTCGCACTAGCCCCCAGCTCAGCCACACTGTGACCAGCTCCAGCTTCCAGCAGCATGCCAAATATAACTCTAAGACCCTCAACAACGACATCTCCCTGATCAAGACCCCTTCGGTCAGCTTCTCGGCCTCCATCAACAAGATCCCCTTGCCTGCCATCGCCAGCAGCTACTCCACCTATGCAGGACAGACCGCTGTGGCCTCTGGCTGGGGCTTGACCTCCGATAGCGCCTCCGCCGTGACCTCGAAGCTGCAGTACGCCGACATGAAGGTCATCGCCAACTCCGTGTGCCAGCAGTCCTATGGCAGTGCCGTCGTCACCAGCGACGTCATTTGCGTGGCTTCAGTGGACAAGGTGTCCACCTGCTCGGGCGACTCCGGTGGTCCACTGGCTCTGGACGGCAAGCTCATCGGTGTCACCTCCTTTGTGTCCTCCAAGGGTTGTGAGAAGAACTATCCGGCTGGCTTCACCCGCGTGACCAGCTACTTGGACTGGATCAAGACCCAGTCTGGAGTCACCGCTTAAAAGAATTTTTAGGAAGGCTTCTTGGACTTGTTAAAAAAAATAATTAAATAAATGTATATTGCAAAATGATAAAAATGGGATTTTCTTCAAAATTAAAATTATTTTTTATTTATAACAAGTTGCTGAAAGTTATATACCTTTAAATTATGATATTGAATTATAGGATGGAATCTAAAATCGATCATAACTGAGCTTCATATATATTATTATATATTATTATTTAACAATTCACAGTTTAAAATACTCATAACTCAGCCAAAAAAGCATTAATTTATGTTTCGGAACCTGTTCTGTGCTAGACTTTAATAGCTTAATAAATCTGCATACCTGAAATAAATTTTAAAAACTTTAACATTTTTGTCAATTTTTCAAAATGTCAACAAGGTCAAAAAGTCACTTAAAAAGTGAGAAAAAATTTCAAAATTTTTTTTTCCTTCCCTACATGCCCAGAAAGATTCCCCTGTTGATGCTGATCAAGAATATATATGATTTATAGGGTCGGAAATGACTCCTTCACTGGGTTTGAAGCTTCTGAATGAAAGAATAATACAATATTTTTAGCAGATATTTATTTATATTTTTATATGGAAATTTTTCGACAAATCCAAATTTAAAAAAACTCATCACTAACAATAATAAGCTAATAAAATAATCCAAACAGAAAATGCAAAATAAATAATTTCCAAATGCTCTTTATTTATGAAACCTTGGAACCTTCCGCTTAAGCGGATATTCCGGAGTTGGTCTTGATCCAATCCAAGTAGCTGGTGACACGGGTGAAGCCAGCTGGGAAACCGATCTCGCAACCATCCTCAGCTCCAAAGGAGGTGACTCCGATCAGGGTGCCGTCCAGAGCCAGGGGGCCGCCGGAATCGCCGCTGCAGATCGAGGTGCGGTTGGATCCGTCCACACAGATGACCTTGCTGGTGACCACCAGGCTGCCGTAGGTCGCCTGGCACACAGAGTTGGTGATGACAGTCAGATGAGCGAACTGCAAGTCCCTGGCCACCGAGGTGGAGGTGTCTGAGGTCAATCCCCATCCAGAGGCCACAGCGGTCTGTCCAGCATAAGTGGAGTAGCTGCTGGCGATGGCAGGAAGGGAGATCTTGTTCACAGCGACTGAGAAGGTCACCGACGGGGTCTTGATCAGGGAGATGTCATTGCGAAGGGTCAGGGAGAGGTAGTTGGCGTGCTGAATCCAGTTGGAGCTGGACACAGTGTGGGTAAACTTGGGGCTGGTGCGGACAGTGGCTCCGTAGTAGATGGTCACGGTGGAGGCACTGCAAAAAGGATACTTTCACATTAACAAGGTGTAATGGTAAACAAAATCCAATAAAAACTCACCCGCTGGTGCAGTGGGCGGCGGTCAGCACCCACGAGTTGTCAATGATGGAGCCACCGCACCACCAGCTGCCCTCAGAGCCACTGAAGCTGAGTCCCACCTGGTAGGGGAACTGGTTCTCCACCGCATTCTGGCCGTTGGTAACGCGACCTTCAATCGAGGGCCTCGAGATCCTGTTCTTGGGCGGCACAGGCACAACCTGTGGCAGGATGCCAGCGGAGACGGAGGCGAGAGCCGAAACCAAGACCACAAATACCTTCATGTTGATCGATGAACGTTCAGTGAATGATGTTCCGTTTGGATTAGGGAAGCATTTTATACCCTTTTTTCGGAGTCTTATCTCCTTCCTTAGGCTGCCCCGGGGAAAAACCTAAACTTGTTAAGTTATAAATTTTGGCTTATTTTGGAATATTTGTGGGTGGGGAAAATCCCTATCACTGAAATCGATAAGTCCATAAAGCCACATTTCACATTATGACTTTCTTTCTGGACTAGGTTATCGGTTAATAAATGTTACAAAGTGCAGATCGATTATTCATTTCCTTTTTATACCCTTGCAGGGTATTATAAGTTCAGTCAGAAGTTTGCAACGCACTGAAGGAGGCACCTCCGACCATATAAATTATATATATTCTTGATCAGGATCAACAGCCGAGTCGATCTAGCCATGTCCGTCTGTCCTTCTGTCCGTTTCTACGCAAACTAGTCTCTCAGTTTTGAAGCTATCTGAATGAAACTTTGCAGTTAGCCTTCTATATACTCTCACTCGTATATATGTCGGAACGGGCCGGATCGGACGGCTATATCATATAGCTGCCATAGGAATGATCGGAAAATTTTTACAAAAAAAATTTTAACTTTTTCAGTTTTCAATAGAATTGGATCAAATTTGAGATATAGCCATTATACTATACACTACAATTTTGTATAAAATTGTATGAAAATCGAACAACTATATCATATAGCTTCCATAGGAACGATCGAGAAATTAAGACAATTAAAAATTATAATATTTTCAGTTTTTAACGGATTTTCATCAAGGTATTGCCATTTTATATCAGTCTTAAATTTTGTGTAAAATTTTATGAAAATCGGACGACTATATCATATAGGTGCCATAAAAACGATCGTTAGATGTGGAGAAAATGCACATCTGTGACTGTAAAACTGCAAATATAATATGTAAAGGAGAATGAAATGAAAGCAGGTATTACTTCATTGTTTTTTAACATAAAAAAATATAATTTATATTATTGGGATTCCAAGTCATAGAAGTTCTATCCGCAAGGGTATATAAACTTCGGCGTGCCGAAGTTACCTTCCTTTCTTATTAATATATTAATATTATATAAAATAATATAATAATTATAATATTGTAATGGCAGTGAATAGCTTACTCTCGCCCTCTCTTTCTGTATGCCTCTGTAAGCCTCTCTCTTTCTTACTCACAATAACATTTGGTATGTCTGCCTCCCTCTGTTGGAGCTCTGTTGCCTCCCTCTGTTGCAGCTCTGTTGCCTCCCTCTGTTGCAGCTCTAGAGAAGGCGCTTACGCTCTCTCTCTCTCTCTCTCTCTGTTGCAGCTACAGAGGTAGCTCTTTCCCTCTCGCTCTCTTTCTCTGTTATTATTGATCGGGAAGTATAAATAGAGGTTCTTTGATCGCCGCGACCTCAGTCTGTCCTAGGGGTACCTAGTGTTAACATCTTTAGTGATAGTGATAGTGATTACCCTTCGACCTGAAATATATGACGTGGCCAATGGAACACATCCAGATAAACAGGAAGAGATCTTCGATGCCATGATAATTCTAATTGAAGTCACCACGATTATAGGTCGATACTGGAAGGAATTACATCTAAAGTGATAGTGAAAGAAGAACACTTCGATGAATCCATATCGTAAGATGAACCAGGAATATAACTCTACATCGGAAGGAATTAAGCAATGACGAAAGATGACGTGTCCTCTACTGGGGTAAGTCTTTATTTTGACAAATATATCATTATGATATTTTAAACATTAAGAGAAGCTATATTAGTGATCAGGCCTAGGTCTAGAATAAGTTGTGCTAGCTATGAATTTATTTTTTCATTAATTTCCTTTTTGCCATTACTTAATGCTGATCAAGAATTTATATGATTTATAGGGTCGGAAATGGCTCCTTCACTGATACAAATTATATTTTCCTCTGCAATCGATTTTGTGTAAAATTTTATGAAAATCGGACTACTATATCATATAGCTCCCATAGGAACGATCGAGAAATTAATACAATTAAAAATTATAACTATTCCAGTTTTCAACAGATTTTTATCAAATTTGAGATATAGCCGATTCATATTATATATATTATTTATCTGCCATAGGAACGGTCAAGAAATGAACGTTTCAGAAATAACGTTTTCAGTTTTCAGCTGATTTTCACTAAATTTGAGATATAGCCATTTTATATCAGTCTTAAATTTTGTGTCATATACTGCAAATATATATATATTTTAAATTAACCAAAGTTGGGAATTTACATTTTTGATCATTTATATTTAATAGATATTTTTATATGAAATTTTTTTCGACAAATCAAAGGTTTCAAAACTCATAACTTGGGCAATTAAGCATCAATTTTAATTAGGAGAATATTCCTATATTAGTTTTTTTTATGTTAATAAATCGGAATACTCAATTAAAAATTTCCAAAAATTCAAATTCTTATCAAATTTTGATAATTAAAGAAAAAATGTAAAAAAAAATTAGGTTAATTTTCTTTTTTACTGAGATGGCTAGATCGATTCGGCTGTTGATTCTGATCAATAATATATATGATTTATATGGTTAGAAATGATTCCTTCACAGCGTTACAAGCTTCTGACTAAAATTGTAATACCCTTCCAAGGCTATAAATATTATCTTAGATATATTCGAATCGTAAATATAAAAGTTTAAAAAAACATGACGAAAATAGATATAATTCCAGATAAAAGGGTGCGAAAAAAATGAGTCAATTGGTTTAATTTTAAAGCATGATTTATAATCCATCTAATCGATCGGGGACTCGCCCATTAGGTCATTAGGTGATAAGCTACAACTATATATTAACCCTGGTTTACCAGGGAAAGTCATTCACTCATTCAGTCAACGTTCAGCGTTCAACATGAAGGTCTTTGTGGTTTTGCTTTTGGCAATGACTTCCGCCTCCGCTTTAATCCTGCCCAAGATGGCGCCTGTGCATCCTCGCAACAGGATCGTAGCTCCTTCGATCGAGGGTCGGATCACCAATGGAAAGGATGCGGTGGCTAACCAGTTTCCCTACCAGGTGGGACTCAGCTTCCTGGGCTCGAAGGGCAGCTGGTGGTGCGGTGGATCCATCATCGATAACCAGTGGGTTTTGACCGCTGCGCACTGCACCAGCGGGTGAGATCTTTTATTTTCCGTCTTATAATGATCTCGGAGCGTTATTAAAATACCCACTTTTCAGTGCCTCCTATGTGACCATTTATTATGGAGCCACTGTCCGCACCAGTCCGCAGTTCACCCACACTGTGTCCAGCTCCAACTGGATCCAGCATGCCAACTACATCTCCCTGACTGTCCGCAATGACATCTCCCTGATCAAGACCCCGAACGTGTCCTTCTCCGCCGCTGTGAACAAGATTGCTCTTCCTGCCATCGCCAGTAGCTATTCCACCTACGTGGGACAGACTGCCGTTGCTTCTGGTTGGGGAATGACCTCCGATGTGGAGACTTCTGTGACCAAGAATCTGCAATATGCCGATCTGACCATCATACCCAACTCTGTGTGCCAGCAGACCTTTGGTAGCCTGGTAGTCACCAGCAAGGTCATTTGCGTGGACACTACCAATGCCATCTCCACCTGTCAGGGTGATTCTGGTGGCCCCTTGGCTCTGGATGGAACTCTTGTTGGTATCACTTCCTTTGGAGCTGAGGATGGCTGTGAGATTGGGGCTCCTGCTGCCTTTACCCGAGTCACCAGTTACTTGGACTGGATACAGAGCAATTCTGGTATTTCTGCTTAAACAAAAAAATGTTTTGTAAAGTTTTTACTAGATTTGTTTAAATAAAATGATTTTGAAGCATTAATTTTTATTAATTAATTAATTTTACTAAAGCCTAGCGTATAATATTCTATTATATTCAAAAGTTTATTTTGGGTTTATGTTTATAAGAATTTTAAACAGAAATCTTTATTAGACTTTTGTAGATTTGTAAGCAATATAAATAGTTAGCTAAAAAGTTAATAAATTAGTATTATAAAACCATACAAAAAATTAATTTATAAATCCACTTGAGACTTCCTTCAATTGTTTTGGTTTCTAAGAAGTTCATAAATTAACTAATGAAACCTCAACCCATTTTTATTTGACATTATCACATTGTAATTGATTTTATGATTTCTGTTATCAGTAGATTTTGTGTTATTGGGCCGCATTAAAAATTGATTGGGAAATTTCCGGAACTGGCTACCCTAATCTAGTAGAGAGGCTATAACTACTATATCTATAAAAATCTGGTTTGTTTTTATTATTATCAGCTTATAAACCTGGGAATTTTGTTACCTCAAGCGATAATTTTTTTAAGTGGGTAATGCCCCGTGTTAGGGTTATCTTAACCAAAGCAAACAGAACTGTTTGGTAGAGTTTAAACTTTGGGTTTAAGATTATTTCAATTTAATAAAAATAATGCAATAATGCATTGTAATGAAATTTCCTTCATATGGAAAGCAATTTAAAGCAATATATGTTTTAAAAAAGTTTCTATCGAGCTCTATATATAGTGTGTCAAGTTTTTAATCTTCTGTATCGCCTAATCGGCAATTTTTTTGTTCTGTTTGTTCTCCATGGATTCCCGATTTGCCGCCGGAAATGGCCCAGTGCTTGAGCATTGTTTGACTTTCATCCTCCAGTGGCGGCCGCAGCCTCATCGAACCGAACTTTTGTTGGCTTTTTGTTCAATTTTTATTAGATGCCATTTGTTTGTGTGTGCCTTGTGCTACTTGAGCGAAGAAACCTTCCGAGGTTCGGGCTCTGTTTTTATGTTTATGCGGAAATCTGCAGAAATTGTGTCAATATCAATAAAATTAGATTAGTATCGACGGCGGCGACAACAGGCGAAGGCAGGCAGCAAATAAAGTCCTTGTCCCGCTTCCTTCCCTTAACCAATTTCATGTGTTTGTGGCCTGCTTCCGTTTTGGGGCTCACTTCCGGCCCAAGTTTGTGTGCGTGCGTGCTTCTCTCTCTCTCTGTGTTTGTGACAAATGTTTAAATGCCCTGAAATTGCAGCAATTTTGATTCATCCCAAATTGGGTAAAGTTCTCCGGTTCGCCCCCTTACTTAATCTCAGTTAATTTTCTTAATGGAAAAGTTTTTCTCGACTTCTTTTCATTTCATTCTGCTATGCCTTTCAGGCTAGGCTCAAAAATTGCTTTTCACTTAATTCTGCTTTCCTCCGGAGGGTGAGAGTTCTGTGTGAATTTTTATGTTGCGACCCATTTTTCATAATGCGAAAATTAGAAAAGTTTTCCCTGTCCTCCTTTTGTCCTTCAAAGTCGAAAGTTTCAAGTTTTTCCCCCGTATTGAATTACCATTCGGTTTAAAGCTGGTTTTTCCCCTATTGATTTCGCATTCACAACATTTACGTGGCATTATCGCAGAGCTTTTCCACGCAAAAATAACAACATGGCACAATTGTGTCTCCATTTCTCATCTGGTGGCGTAATCTTTTATATAAACACAGCACCTTCCACTCGGCAATGTCCAAACTAAGGAAAAACATTTGCACAAGCACCGAGCACAGGCAGTTGGGGCGGGGAAAATGCCCGGAAAAGGCACAGGAGCTGAGGGCTTTTCCCACTGAATCACGTGACGAATGATTGAGTGCACTTCTGTGTGCGCTTTTTCACTTAAAATGCGCGATTTCAATCACTAAAAGCAAAGGTACACATCGGAAAATCGAATCAGCCATGGCTGATGGAGTTGCTGGAGTGTCTCTACGTTTTTTCCCCCTTATTCGAATTCCCATTCCTTTTACCTTTCTTTTTTTGTGCCAGCCGTAGCACCATTAACCGCAAGGTGGAGCAAAAACAAAAGACATTCGCAGTGCATTCAAAAGCGGAAGCGGAAGTTGGCAATAAAAACGCTGAAACAAGTTATGTGCAAAATGTCCGGGACACGTGATGGACTTTTGGAAAAAAAACTTGAGTTAGAAGAGGTGAAGGAGTTAAGGGTAAAGACTTTATAGTACTCTTGGACCGGAGGAACTTTATGTATATTTTTGGAGTAATATTTGTTTCCTGTTTAAAAAAAAGAATCAAATTTGTGATATATATCTATTGAGGTTGTTATAGAAGTTATGTAGAAATTATATTTAAAAACTAAGTTAAATATAATATAATAGCTACAAGCTGTTTTCAATAGTGCGACCTAATTAATTATTATTTTTCTTACAGGTCTTATTTTTCACGATGATAAATACTTCCGGCAAGGGTAAGTCATATTTTGCTTGTAAAATATTTTTCAAACATGTTTTTAAAAACTGCCAGAACTATGGTAGCCTTAAAGGGTATCAAATGTACGAAAAGAAATCGCGTCAAGACTCGTGTTAAACATTCCGCACATCAAAAACGACGCGCCACTTAACAAATCCCAAGTTGTCGTTGCGTGCCACGTGACTGGCATACAAAAAAAGGGAGGCGAAAAAGGACTCCAGATCCTGCCGAAAACAATTGCTTTGCTTTGGCCCAATGGAATGTTGTCCGCTCGTTACTTTATGGCCAGCCGGCAAAACGCTTTCACGCACGCTCGCCACCGTAGTTTTTCCCGCTTCTCGTCCCGCACGGCGACCTGCCGCGCTTAATTTCCGCTTGTAATGGACGCACGATAAATCCTGGCAAGCGTTTCCGAATCTCCAGGACTTTGCCACACGCGGCACGCAATCGCAATATATATATACATTTTTTTTTTGCAACATTTTTCCATGTTTCCTGCTCAGCTTGTTGCACTTACTGAGAGTTTTATTAATTTTTGCAACTTTAAATTAAAGGAGAAACTTTATAGTTTTGAATTTTATTTATTAAAGCTATACATACAAATATTTCAAGAGCTCCTTAATCCTTGGCAAAAGATTTAACTCTATACAACACTTTCCTGGCAAGCCCAAATTTAAACAAGAATGTACTTTGACTTTCAGCTAAGCAATTTCCCTTTTTTGCGGAAAACTGTAGCCAGACTCCAGACTCGTTTTGGCCATCATTTAAACTGGAAAATCCTTTTAACTTGCAACCGCAATGTGCCAATTGCCAGGGCCATTTTTATTGTCGCCCGTCGTTAGTCAAAGGCTAAAGTCGGTAACAACTATTGCCCTTGCCACATCCCTGTCTCCTCTCGTTGGCAGGACCTCTGCTGCTCTCTCTCCCCCTGCTCCTTCTCCTGCTGCCTGGCCACCTGAGTTTGCCAGCCCACCTGTGCGTGTCGCTTAAGCCGGCGATAAGGCGAGCACATTTGGCGGAACCGAAACCCCTTCGAAAGCCCCTTCGATCCGGCCGGGAATATCCCGCTTTCGGTACGTGCCTTTCTTTGTGGCTGCGATAAATTGCTATTGGTTTGCAGTTGGGCCAAAAGGTAAAGCTGCTAATTTATTAGCCAAAGCGACAAACAAAGCATAAATAAGCAGCGGGTTTGCTGGTGGAGTATCTGTCCTAACCAAGAGACGGAACACAGGGGAAAACTAGGAATGTTTCATAGATTTATTATAAAAAAATAATAATCGCAGTTAATTAATTAGATTAAGAAGTATTTAAAGTACAAATACGGTATTGAAAATGTTGATGTTTACTTGTACTTTTATCTTTCAACTGAAATATCCTTTAAATATTTACTACTTAACATGTTCCTCCTTAAATCTCTTTTTATTTATTACCCAAAAATCCAATTTTATTCATAGATTTGTTCACTTTTTTTCCTCTGTGTAGTTATAGCCACAACCACTCGTCGTCTGACCTTAAACACTCGATTTGGTTTTGGCAATTTCTGGCTTTAATGTGTGTGAAAGTGGCATATAAATTTCAATGGGCGTAAGAATTCGCTAAGCTTTGGCTTTGCCCTCATGTGCCACGCCTACCCTTGAGGGGGGGCGGAATATATAGAATGTGTAAATCTGTGCGTTTATATATTTTCGTATACGTGTTGGCCAAACAATGGGACAGTGACAACGACAACGCATATTCAATAATGTCGCTTTCAACTTTTATGCTTGGAAAATGCAAAAATCTGCAGTCTGGGAGGGGGAAAAAGAGGAAAAAGCTCGAGGACAGGGCAGATAGTGGAGTTGGCTAAACACATTCATGCATTTTACAATGTTGCCAAAGTCCCCCTTTGGACCAAAGTTCTTGGCTGTGAACAATAGAAAAACGAATTAAACAAAAAGCCAGGCCAGCGGCAACGACAGCGGCAGTGGCAGTATTCAGCATAAGTATGTGTTTTCATAGGCACTTGGGGAAAAACAATGCCTAGAATATATTTTCTGTAAAATAAAGCAACAATTTATCAAAGGTTTTTACTTAGAGAATATATAGTTATGATAAGATAAAAGTAAAGCTGAAATCATAGGTTAAAACAAAGGTAATACTGTAGAAGGCTTTATTGTAGCCGCCTTATTTTTATATTTTGTACAGTTAATGGGAATTTAAAATATATTCCTGCATATCCATAAAGTTTATTGAACATTTTTAGAATAAAATACATTTTCTGTAAAATTAAGCAACAAGAATATATAGTTATAATATGATTAATGTAAAAAGGAAATCACAGCTCAATACAAGGGTTTATTGTAGTAGTCCAATTTCTAGATTTTGTATACTAAATTGGAATTTAAAATAGATTCCAAAATATCCATAACGTATATTGAAAATTTTTAATGTAATTTTATACTAAAGTAATAATTAATTATTAGACTTTTAAATTGAATGCTTAAATCGATTCCAGAAGTATTTCTCAAACACAATACATGTCTTAAAATTTTCAAATCATTGAATTTAAATGAAGATATTTTAATTATCCCTTTCCAAATACCCAATTATTCTCAGTGTATGAACATGGGTGCTACAACAATAAGCGGCAAAGCAAAGGCAGCAGCTGCAACAATGGCGAACAGCAAAAATGAATGCGATTGCGAATATCCTGGGCGAAGGCGTAGCGATGGGGGGATTCCAGCTTTATACTGAAATGTTCTACTGTTGCTTTTACTGGCTTTTGTGTGCCACGCCCCCTTGGCATCACCGCCTCCCGCCCCCTACCCCTTTCCTTTGTTGCCTCTGCTGCATTAGCAGCCATAGTGCATTAATGTTGCACGCCAAGCATGTGTGTATGACTCCAGATGGGCTCTTGGGGATTTACAAAGAATAAATGTCGGCGGGGCATGCTGAACAGAGGATGTGATCAGAGGAGAGACCCCAATAACTGATGTGCATAAATGCCAGAGCCAAATGTAGAAATGATGGTAATCATCAGGGCAGGAACTTGGCATGGTTTATAGATTACCTATTTAATTTTATCAACTAAAATATATATGATACTCTTCAAAGCACAGGGTAGCTTGTATTTCGATTTCCTATCAACATTTTCTCCTCTCCAGCCTGCTTTGTTTTATTTTCCTCCTTTTTTTTCACATTTTTGAGTCCTTTTCCGCAGCGGCACTTATAGTTGATCGAACTGTGCTGGCAAAGAGTGTGATTTGGAAAAGTTTCAAGTGCCAGAGCAGCCGTCACAGCTCTGGATTGCATTCCTTCTCCTCGTCCTGCAGCACTTGAAATATGTTGAATCCTGGTCAATAGCATGCAATTTGGGTTAGGCAAACAAGTAAACGGGGCCAGGAGACGGCTATGGAGCGAGGCGAGCCATGTTGGGTGTGGCCAAACATTATGGCTTAATCAGCCGGGGCCACGTTCGCGTCTGGTGCATTCAATTGGCCGACGGCACTGGACGAGGCCTGTCTGCCAATTGGCCAAAAATGCCACAAAAACATATTTGGCAACGCAGCAACGTCAGTTGCAGTAGCATCAGGACCAGGACAAACTGCTCCTGGGTCAATGTTGATGTTGGTTTTCGGACATGAGACGCAGCCAGAGCCGGAGTGTGCCTCCTACCAGGCCATAAAATCAGGCAGTCAATGAGCCAAATAGCCGAAATGGGTGTTATTGTTATTGCCGCAGTCCGGCAAATTAATGAGGTGTCCTGTTCGGCCATCAACTCCATGCATAATCGAACTAGCAGAGCCACATCCCTCTGCTGCAGTTTTGTAATTGAGCGTACTCTATATAGTCGATGGTGGGATGTGACGGCAAAGGGGATTTCCCCCATCACGCAAAGCAATTTAAACAGATTTCCCATCATTCACAGGCCCAACATGGAAAAGGATTTAAGGAAGTTCTTTAAATTAACGCATTGGGGGAAAATGTACATCTCAGGGAAATGGAAATAAATTAGAATTATAAGGAACTTTAATTCTATGGAATATCTGCAGCTTCATGAACAATAATCTGAATTTGAAATTATGTTCAGGAATAGTTTTCAAATTGATTAAATAGGTTAATATCAAACCTTTATTGAACAGATAAATCCGACCCAAAAATATTAGTTGTTACTCTGTTGATCTCTTCAAAAGATCATTTAAGAAATTTTCTACTATCCTTAATTTGTATCCCCTTGCAAGGTATTATAATTTCAGTCAGAAGCTTGAAAGTAAGTGAAAGAATCATTTCCGACCTCATAAATCATATATATTCTTGATCAGCATCAACAGGCGAATCTTTCTAGGCATGTTAAAAGAAAATAAAATTTTTAACTTTTTTCATAATATTTATAAGGGACATTTTAGCATTGTTGACATTTTGAAAAATTCGCAAAATTTTATATACAATAAAAACTTTATTAAGGTATGCGGATTTATTAAGCTATTAAAAACTAGTATAGAACAGCTTCCCGAATAGAAATTAATGCTTTTTTGGCTTAGTTATGAGTATTTTAAGTTGTGGGTTGTAGGAATATAATATCGACCCAAAGAATGCGAATATGTATACCCTGCAGGGTATTATACTTTCATTCAGAGGCTCAAACCCAGTGAAGGAGTCATTTCCGACCTCATAAATCATATATATTCTTGATCAGCATCAACAGGCGAATCTTTCTAGGCATGTAAAAAAGAAAATAAAATTTTGAAATTTTTTTATTATATTTTAGGGGCATTTTAGCATTGTTGACATTTTGAAAAATTGACAAAATTTTATATACAATAAAAACTTAATTTGGGTATGCAGATTTAATAAGATATTAAAAACTAGTATAGAAAAGCTTCCCGAATAGAAATGAATCCTTTTTTGGCTTAGTTATGGATATGTCAAACTTTGATTTGGGGAAAAAAATGTCATATAAAAATATCGACAAATTTCAGCTCAAAGAATGACATTATAATAAAAAATACTTAAAACACTGTGAAGGAGTCATTTCCGACCCTATAAATCATATTTATTCCTAGTCAGCATCAACAGGCGAATCGATCTAGCCATCCCCGCCGGAAAAAAAATTTTTAATTTTATTTTACTATTTTTTACAAGTGTGGCAAGTGTGTGGGAACGCTTTCCGATTGAAATTTAATGCATTGTTGACTGAGTTATGCAAATTGCAAGGGTATATAAACTTCGGCTTACCGAAAATTAGTTTCCTTTCTTGTTATGTGCACTTTAATCCCCTTACAGAGCTATTCATTCCCTGGTGTTTCTTTTTTTCTTAGTCCCGACAATTCCCAGACAATATTTGCATGAAAACTGTTACTGACACTTAAACATATTCCTGCCCAAAAAAAAGGAGACTACAGGGAAGGAGAGAAACTTTTCTGTTGCTGCTACTTCATTCCTTTCCTTCTTTTTTTATTGTTTTCCGTAATTTTTCCTTGGCTGGCATTGTTGGAGTTTTAATGACGAGCAGGACTTGGCAATTGTCGCCTTAATGTCAGGCCAGGCGACAACGTAGACACAAAATGTGCAAAACTCTGAGATGCCGCCGTTTTCAAGTTTACATTTTTATGCGAATCTCTGCCAAAGTTACTTAAAATGCAAGCCTAACCAAGTTCTTTTTTTGGGCAGGATTTGTAAAATGGTTTTTATTTCCCAGCTAGATCTCAGCTGAGAGCCGGAAAAGTTCGTTTACCTTGGAGTCATAAAGCACTTATTGCTCATACGCCATGTGTTACACTTTCCAGGGACTCGAAAGACCCCGAAGACATTCGGCAAACACTCTCACTCTCTCTCTCTCTCGCGGGTATTTTTAATTAGCCAAATGAAAAAGTTCAGGAGGAATATAAAACCCAGACAGACTGAGGAGAATCCTCTTTCATATTTTTATACATTTTCTGTGGGTTCGGAAACGGGGAGAATTCACAACAAAAGGCATTCGACGCTGACAAATGAAGAAAACGCAGCGCAAATAAGCAAAGCAATAATTTTTCGCCATTGTATGCAGCGGCCAAAGAGGGAGGAAAATTCAGCTGGAGAACAAAGAAATGCGACTAATGAAAAGCGCCATAAAAAATAAGAGAGGGGAATACAAATTCTGGGTAAACATAAGGACTGCAATTGGCTCAAGGACCCAGCACAATCTGCGAATAGCATTGAGAATGTTCAATTAAAAAAGTTTCTCTTACAGGCGAATGCTAAAGCCACTTAAGAATTATGGGGTCCCCTTTTCTCCGGAGACATCATTCCGCCATATATATAATTGATTTTCGACGTCTCCTGTTTGTTGTTCCACTCGACCACCACTTTGGCTTATTAAATATTTAAGAGGCGAATTGTCAAAAGCATCCAACTGACTGACAGGACATCCCCCTCCTTCGGCCGTTATCCTGGTGCCAGTTTGTTTGTGCCGCAATAATTGACAAATAAAGTGAAAAGGCACGAGGAAAAGTTGGCCAAGTTTTCTCCTCATGAATACTTTAGGCGGCGACAACTTCTTTGGCAATTTTCGAATTATTTAAATGGAAGCCATTTCTTTCTTTTTCCCTTTTTTTTTGTTTATTTTTTCTTGTCCTATTTGGTCCTTACTTTTATTTCATTTACGCACGCCTTCGTGTGTAGCGATGCCGATAATTGCAACAAAGAAAAAAGTTGCCAGCGGAAAAGTAGACAACACTTTGACAATGACCTAGAGCGGGGGGAGGAAAAATCGCCGCTGGCCAGAAAGTTTTCCATTGAAAAGATTTGCCACAAACAGAGAGGAGAGGAAAAATGTGTTCAGGATAGCTGCAATTAAAAAAGGGATTACGATCCTGGCCAGACTTTCGATTTGGTCTTTGCTCCCTTTGATTTTGTAACCTCTTCCGTTCTCTCTTCCTGCTTTGCTTTTCGATTAAAAGTTTTAGCAAATTTAAAATTGTATAATGACGGTGATTAGGCCAACAAGCTGCAGGAGGATATACATATACCCTCTGAAAAGGGTGACTTTAAAGAACCTTGAAACACTGGCAGCCATAAATATGTGTCGCGGACATATAATTAACGTGTGAAAATTCATTTCGAATCGCAGCTGCCGTTGCTGAAATTTGCATAATGAGCCGTAAAAGCAAAATTGATTGTTATTACTCGTGTTCTGTGCTTTACCTTTTTTACTTTTTATTGTTCTCTCTCTGTTTTTTATTATAAATTAAACAACTTTATTTACTCAATTATGTGTTATGGTAGTGAGTTATTTACATGTTTCGGGGTCTGTGTTTCGCTTACATTTAAAATATGCATTTCAATTAGTTATATATATTTATTTTATGCTTAACAGTGGAAAGCGGCAACAACATTTAACATAGATTTTTCCATATTTGATATATATTTATTTATATTTTATATTACTTGGGAAATATGTTTTTCATAAGGATTGCAGTTGAAAATGCAGAAAGGAAATTGTAAAAATAAACACTCTTGGCAAACCAATCGAAGAATTCAAATATTTGGTGGCAAATTATTTCTAGAATTTCATCGTTCGGCTTGTTATTTTCTTCCTTTTTTTTCTGTAACCCTCAATGGTTGCAAATCCAATTAATAATTCAAGATATCAACCAAGAACAGAACTAAACTAAACTATAGATACTTTCACCATTTATCAGCTAGGCGTTTCATTTGCAGTGTCTGTGTGTTTTTCATTTTCATAGATTATCACATTTTCGCGGTATATTTTCGGTTCTAGATGCAAGCAAAACATTTTTGCTTCCTCCTCTGGAACTAAATGTAATTTTGTGCCACCAGTTGATCGATTCCCACCATTAGCTACTGCTGCTGCTGCTCCGTCTCCAGGTTCTTGGCGCGCAGATACTTCAGCAGCATCTGCAGGGAGTCATATGTGTCGAAGTCATCCAGGTTCCTTCTCGAGGACGACATATTGGTGGGACGGGGCATGGCCAGGGGGACGGGCAGCAGTTCGGGCATCACGGAATGGTGCGTGATCAAAGCCTTCAGGCTGGAGAACTCCTTGCGAAAACCCTTGAAGAGAATAGGAGGAGATTACAATTAAATCACTATATTTAAATAATTTCTTTACATTGCATATAATAATAAGATAATCTACTAATTAGTTTAGCGTAGTACTGTATGTTGGATTGGATTCATTAAAGTTATCTTCATAGGATTTCGTTTTCTCACAATTTTAATAAGGAGAAGTCGTTTCCGACCCCATATATCATATATATTCTTAATCAGAATCAACAGGCAAGTCTAACTAGATATCTAGGAAGGAAACAAATTTTATTAGGGTTTACATCGTCATAATTGTTAAAAATTTGGAAAAATAGTATTTATTTTTAAATTTAAAATTGTGTAGGCAGATTTATAAATATAAAAAAAAGTAACATACGAAACCATTCCGAATTAAAATTAATGCTTAAGTTTTGAGTGTTTTAAACTTGGATTTGTCGAAAAAATAGCAAATAAATACATTGATTCAAAGAATTTAAATATAATCATGATCGATTTTCGATTCAAACCTTTAATTCAATTGAAATTTGCAAGGGTGTATAAAATTCGGCTTTCCAAAATTAGTTTCTTTCTTGTTTTGGCTTCACAAACTTAATGGTTTACTTTGGCGTCAATAATATAAACAGATTAAATATAGTTTTTGACCTACTTTGTCGTTAACTTAAATAGCCGCATAAATTATTAGCACACAAAGCGCTAAGTTTGCTTTTTTTCCTTATACTTATACTTTAACAAAAAAAAATAATAATAATAATAATAAAAATTAAACTTTTAATAGTATTTCAATCCAGAGCAAAAGTAAAAATTATGTTTGTAGAGTATCTTTTTGTAGGTTTGTTTGATCGATTAGTTTTTTAATTGAATGACTTTTAAAATGTAGTAAACATAAATGAAATTTCCTTTTGAAATCAAGTCATCTTACAATTTAGCTTTCCATATGCAAAACAAGAATTTATTACAATTCCATAATTGGGTTTAGTTGTTGGTATGTAGTTGCTATTTCGATTAAAAAGTACGAAGATGCTTTATTGTGCTCACAGCCGCAGTGGTATCAAGTTTTATCTCATTCAGAGTTGGGCTTATCCACAATGAAGTCCGTCAATCATGGAAAGAGCCATAAGGACCCCTTAAGGAGATCGACTTAAGCTCGACTCAGGTTCAGGTTCTGATCCTTCTGGTGGGCAGCATCCTGATTGGAGCCAAGCTGAGCCCAGCCTCCTTTCCACCTGGTACAGTGATCGAGCTGCCACTGGAGCAGTTTAGTTATGTGCCACGAAGGATACCAATTCAAGTATTAATTGAAAAATATATACAGTATGTCAAGAAACTGTTTACACACTGACAATTTAAAATATTTTTTGACTTTGCATGGAAAAATTACGCCTTTTTTTAAATGTTTTTGATTTTTTTTGAATGCACAACTAATAAATAGGATATTTTTAATGAGTATGTACAAAAACAAAAACAAAACAACCAAAGGAACAGCTTCAAAGCAACAACAAATGAGTTTACACATTTTTGGCACTGTCAAGAAACTCTTTACACACTTTAGTTTTCCATTCTGTTTTGATCCTTCTTGAGAAAAAAACGGTACTTTATTGTTACCTATGCTTTTGCTCGCATCGACATGGATGCATTCTTTTCATTTTTTATTGTGAAATTTGCAAAGCACACATCAAAAAGCGACAATATCAATTTTTAAAAATGCCTGGAGCTAGATTGACCTTTGACGTGGTCCAGTTGGCTTATCTTAACCACCAACTTGGAAAATCTGCAGCTGAGTTGGCCGACATGTTTCGGGTATCCCGGAAAACTATTTACAATGTTTTAAATCGGGCTAAAATTGAAGGAAAGCTGGAAGAAAAGTCTGGAGGAGGTAGGAAGTTGAAGATAGACAAACGGACAGAACTCCTTATCACGCGTAAGGTGCGTCATAACCCCCAAATCTGGATCAGAACCCTTGCCAAGGAGTTGGAGGAAGAATGTGGCGTAGTCGTTTCGCACGAAACCGTGCGCCAATTGATTCTACGGAACAAATACTCATCAAGAGTTGCGCAAAAGAAACCGCTGATATCCGTAGTAAACATTCAGAAGCGGTATTTTTTCGCTATGGAGATGATCAGCAAGCCGGAAAATTACTGGGATAACGTCATCTTTTGCGACGAAACTTAAATTATGCTGTATTACAACGATTGTCCTTCCAGAGTTTGGCGTAAGCCGTTAATCACATTAAACCAGCGCAACATTGTGCCTACCGTAAAATTTGGCAAATTATCGGTTATGGTTTGGGGGTGTATAAGCAGCAAGGGAGTCAGGGAGCTCGCATTCATAGAAAGCACTATGAATGCTGAGCAGTATCTCTCCATACTCCAATCAAATTTGAGACAGAGTGCTAAAAATTTGGCTTAATGGACGAAGAAAAGCCGAAATTCAAATTTTACCAAGATAATGACCCCAAACATAAGGAGCAAACTTTGCGGCCATGGCTCCTGTATAACTGCCAAAAGGTTATAGATACACCTCCTCAGAGCCCTGACATGAACCCCATTGAAAATTTGTGGGTTCATTTAAAGAAAAAAGTGGCTAAAAGGCAACCGAGGAATCGAGCAGACCTCAAAACTGCAGTGCTGGAAGAGTGGCAGAGAATTCCATTGGAATTCTCTTGGAAAAGCTAATCAATTCCATGAAAAAACGCATCCAGCATGTAGTAAATGCTAAGGGGGAGCACACAAAGTACTAAAATTAATAAATTATTGTTTAAGTTGTTAAATATATCCTTTTAGCTGTACGTTTTGTATATTGTGTAAAGAGTTTCTTGACAGTGTCAAAAATGTGAAAAGTTATTTTTTATTAATTTTTTGTTAAATCTTAAATTGTTTTGTTTATGTTTTTGAATATTATCATTAAGAATTATCCAATAAATAGATATCCATTGAAAAAAATATTAAAAATCTTACTAAAAGCGTTATATTTGCATGCAACGTCAAAAAATATTTTAAATCTTCAGTGTGTAAACAGTTTCTTGACATACTGTATATTCAATACAATAAGTATCGATAAAAAATTCCTCCAGCTATACCCTGCCCGATGGCACTTTCCGGGATGAGACCGCTAAGGTGCTCAAAGGCACTTCGACAGCTCGGGACTTGGAATATGCCAAAGTGATGGCTATGAACCAACGGCCGGCACGTGAGCAGGGCCTGAAGGTGCGAAAGCTATCCGGGAAATCCCGCTCCTCTCTGGCCGGTTAAGGGGGAAGCCGTCAAGAAGGTTTTTGTTTGACTTTCAATAGAGGTTACATTTTATGACATTCAACTTTACTATGCATTTCAGATTCGTTTTGTCAAATTTGATTTGTTTTGGATTAATAGTAACTAGTGTTATATAATTTTGAATATTGTATTTATACACGGAGCCTCAGAAAGGGTTTTCATTGTGCTTCCAGCCATCGCCAAGCCAACACTAAAGCCATCATGAAGTTCTTCCCGGTAGTGGTCCTCCTATCAGCCTGTCTCCTGATTGGAGTCAATGGTCACCAGGATTCGACTCGCTCGGGTCCTCCGCAACCCAAGGGTGATTACCAAACCGATAGGCCACTAAAGAGTGATTACCAAACCGATAGGCCACCAAAGAGTGATTACCAATCCGATAGGCCACCTAAGAGTGATTACCAATCCGATAGGCCACCAAAGGGTGATTACCAATCCGATAGGCCACCAAAGGGTGATTACCAATCCGAAAAGTCATCTAGCATTGGCTAAATTTTAACAATCAAAAGATTTTTGCGCCAAATTGCCAAAAATATAAATAAAAGTTAATACAAAAAATTCCAAATTGTTCATTAACTAGATTATTGTTCCAGGAAAATAGCATTAAATCATTGTGATTTATGAACAAAAGATGTTGGCTGATTATAAAATGAGTTTCATATTTCAATATATGGTTATTAAGAGATCTAGAGTGCGAAAGCTATCCTGGAAATCCTTCTTTTCTCTGACTTGGGAAAGGAAAAGCTGTCAAGAACGATTCTCTCTGAGATTTGTAATGATATTTTCCACTCTCTTTGGTAATACATTTCACATTTGTTTTTCCCGAAGATGGATTTGTTTTAGATTAAATGTATTAAACGTATTATACCCTTGCAGCTAGAACTTCGTTTACTAGGAATCAATACAATATAAATTATTATATTTATGTTTAAAAAAAAACAATGAAGTAATGCCTGTTTTCATTTCATTCATTTATTTATATTATATTTGCAGTTTTACATTCACAGATTTGCATTTTTATCTACATCTAACGATCCTTTGTATGGCACCTATATGATATAGACATCCGATTTTCATAAAATTTTACACAACATTGTGGAATAATATAAAATGGCTATATTTCAAATTTGTTGAAAATCTGTTGAAAACTGAAAAGTTATAATTATAACTTTGCAGGGTATTATAATTTCAGTCAGAAGATTGCAACGCACTGAAGGAGGCACCTCCGACTATATAAAGTATATATATATTCTTGATCAGGATCAACAGCCGAGTCGATCCAGCCATATCCGTCTGTCCGTTTTTACGCAAACTAGTCTCTCACTTTTGAAGCTATCTGTATGAAACTTTGCAGTTAGCCTTCTATATACTCTCACTCGTATATATGTCGGAACGGGCCAGATCGGACGACTATATCATATAGCTGCCATAGGAATGATGGGAAAATTTTTACAAACTGGTCGAAAACAAGATTCTTGTCCATTACTATGCATTTCAGATTAGTTCTGCCAAATTCGATTTGTTTTGGAGTAATAGTAACTAGTGTTATATAATTTTGAATATTGTATTTATATACGGAGCCTCAGAAAGGGTTTTCATTGAGCTTCCAGCCGTCGCCAAGCCAACACTAAAGCCATCATGAAGTTCTTCCCGGTAGTGGTCCTCCTATCAGCCTGTCTCCTGATTGGAGTCAATGGTCACCAGGATTCGACTCGCTCGGGACCTCCGCAACCCAAGGGTGATTACCAATCCGATAGGCCACCAAAGGGTGATTACCAATCCGATAGGCCACCAAAGGGTGATTACCAATCCGGAGGGCCACCAAAGAGTGACTACTCCATAGGGTAACTACTTTTCCGATAAGTCATCTAGCTCTGGCTAAAATGTAACTATCAGAAGATTTTTGCGCCAAAATGCCAAAAATATAAATAAAAGTTAATACAAAAAAATCCAAATTGTTCATTAACTAGATTATTGTTCCAGGAAAATACCATTAAATCATTGTGATTTATGAAGAAAAGATGCTGGCTGATTATAAAATGAGTTTCATATTTTCATATATGGTTATTAAGGGGTTACATACAGTTAGAATTAAAAAAAAATCGATTTTTTATTTTATTTTCTTAATGTAAATATATTTAAGAATATACACAGAAAGTTTCGTTTAGTTCGGGTGAATATTTCCTGAGTTATAAGTAAATTTTAAAAGTCGTTTTAGAGTGCTTTATGCAAAGTGCTCCTATGTATATGTGCATTTCAAACTTTAAACGTTTTTTTTTTCAAAATGGTGTGGTGAATGCGTAAGCTACCCTGGAAATCTTTTTCTTCTCTCTTACTTGGTAAAGGGAAATCTATTAAAAAGGATTCTTTTTAAGACTTGTAATATTTTTTACATTTTTTGGCAATGCATTTCACTGTTGTTTTTCCCGAAGATCGATTGATTTTGGATTTTAAGTTTTCTACTGCTTAATAATTTCGCTAATTGTAAATTACGTTGATTGGATTTAATTAATTGGAAATTAGATTAGATTAATAATTTCGCTGATTGTAAAGAATGTTAAATAAGCATCGGAAAATGTTATTCGTTGTGCACTAAGCCCCCGCCAAACCAATAAAAGATCCATCATGAATTTCTTTCCAAAAGGATTGTTGTCCATTACAATGCATTTTAAGATTAGTTCTGCCATTTTTGATTTGTTTTGGATTAATAGTAATTAGTGTTATATAATTTTGAATATTGTATTTATATACAGAGCTTCAGAAAGGGTTTTTCATTGTGCTACCAGCCATCGCCAAGCCAACACCAAAACCATCATGAATTTCTTCCCGGCAGTGGTCCTCCTAGCAGCCTGTCTCCTGATTGGAGTCAATGGTCGCCAGGATTCGCATAGGATGCGTCGCTCGGGACCTCCGCAACCCAAGGGTGATTACCAATCCGATAGGCCACCAAAGGGTGACTACTACTCCGTAGGGTCACCAAAGGGTGACTACTACTCCGGAGGGTCACCAAAGGGTGACTACTACTCCGTAGGGTCACCAAAGGGCGACTACTACTCCATAGGGTCACCAAAGGGTGACTACTACTCCGGAGGGTCACCAAAGGGTGACTACTACTCCGTAGGGTCACCAAAGGGCGACTACTACTCCATAGGGTCACCAAAGGGTGACTACTACTCCGTAGGGTCACCAAAGGGTGACTACTTCTCCGATAAGTCACCAAAGGGTGACTACTACTCCATAGGGTCACCAAAGGGTGACTACTACTCCGGAGGGTCACCAAAGGGTGACTACTACTCCGGAGGGTCACCAAAGGGTGACTTCTACCCCGTAGGGCCAATAAAGAGTGACTACTATTCCGATAAGTCACCAAAGGGTGACTACTACTCCGATAAGCCACCCAAAAGTGACTTCTTCGACTTGCCCGAAGATCTCCTCAAATCTCTTGCTGGCTAAAACTTAACCATTGAAAGATTTTTACAACAATTTGGCAATATTATAAGTAAGAATCAATAAAAGAAAATTCAAATTGATCATTAACTAGACGTACTATTGTTCAAAGAATATACCATTCAATCATTGTGATTTATGAACAACAGATGTTGACTGATTATAAAACAAGTCTTCTAGTGATTATTAAGAGATCTTATTCTCCCTGACTCGGTTAAGGGAAATCTGTCAAAAAGGACTTGTAATGATATTTTCCACTCTCTTTGGTAATGTATTTCACACTTGTTTTTCCTAAAGATCGATTTGTTTTAGATTAAAAGTATTTACTGATTAATAATTTCACTAATTGTAAATTAGATTAGATTAATAATTTCGCTAATTGGAAAGAATGTTAAATGAGCATCGGAAAATGCTATTCATTGTGCTGTTAGCCCCCGCCAAACCAATAAAATTTCCATCATGAATTTCTTTCCAAAAGGATTGTTGTTCATTACAATGCATTTCTAGATTAGTTCTGCCATTTTTGATTAGTTTTGGATTAATAGTCAATAGTGTTGTATAATTTTAAAATATTGCATTTATATATCGAGTTTCATAAAGGGTTTTTCATTGTGCTACCAGTCTCTGCCAAGCCAACACCAAAACCATTATGAATTTCTTCCCGGTAGTGGTCCTCCTATCAGCCTGTCTCCTGATTGGTGTCAATGGTTACCGGGAGCCGACTAAGTATACTCGCTTGGGAACTCCGGCAACCAGGGCTGACTACTTTTCCGATAAGTCACCAAAGGGTGACTACTTCTCCGATAAGTCACCAAAGGGTGACTACTACTACTTGCCCGCAAAAATCCTTAAGTCTAGTGTTGGCTAAAACTCTACCTTTAGAAGCTTTTTAAATACAATTTGGCAGAATTATAAATAAAAGTCAGTTCAAGAAAATTCAATTTGATCATTAACTAAATGTACTTTTGTTGTGATTTATGAACAAAGAGATCTAGAGTACGAAGCTATCCGGGAAATCCTTATTCTCTCTGACTCGCGAAAGGGAAATCTGTCAAAAAGGACTTTAAATGATATTTTCCACTCTCTTTGGTAATGTATTTCAAACTTGTTTTTCCTAAAGATCGATTTGCTTTAGATTAAAAATATTTACTGATTAATAATTTCACTAATTGTAAATTAGATTAGATTAATAATTTCGCTAATTGTAAAGAATGTTAAACGAGCATCGGAAAATGTTATTCATTGTGCTTTTAGCCCCCTCCAAACCAATAAAATTTCCATCATGAATTTCTTTCCAAAGGGATTGTTGTCCATTACAATTCATTTTTAGATTAGTTCTGCCATTTTTGATTAGTTTTGGATTAGTGTTGTATAATTTTGAATATTGTATTTATATACCGAGTTTCAGAACGGGTTTTTCATTCTGCTCCCAACCATCGCCAAGCCAACACCAAAACCATCATGAATTTCTTCCCGATGCTGGTCCTCCTTGCAGCCTGTCTCCTGATTCGTGTCAATGGTTCCCAGAATTCGGCTTCTTTGCCTACCTCAGGGCTCGCGCCAACCAGACGTGACTACTTCTCCGATAAGTCACCTAAGAGTGACTACTACTCCAGAGGGTCACCAAAGAGTGACTACTCCTCCGATAAGCCACCCAAAAGTGACTTCTTCTTCTTGCCCGAAGAGGTCCTCAAATTATTGGCTGGTCGCTAAAACTAAGCCATTAGAAGATTTTTACAACAATTTGGCAAAATAAAAGTGAATACAAGAAAATTCAAATTGATCATTTACTAGATGTACTATTGTTCAACCAAATAAAAAAAAAAACAGAATCATTGTGATTTACGTCAAAAGATGATGGCTGATTATAAAACGAGTTTCATATTTTCTAGTGGTCATTAAGAAATCTAGAGAACGAAGCTATCCGGGAAATCCTTATTCTCTGTGACTCGCTAAAGGGAAATCTGTCAAAAAGACTTGTAATGATATTTTCCACTCTCTTTGGTAATGTATTTCACACTTGTTTTTCCCAAAGCTCGATTTGCTTAGGTTAAAAGTATTTTCTGAATAATAATTTCACTAATTGTTAATTAGATTACATTAATACTTTCGCTTATTGTATAGAATGTCAAATGAGCATTGAAAAATGTTATGTTATGTTATGTTATGTTGTGCTTTTAGCCCCCGCCAAACCAATAAAATTTCCATCATAAATTTCTTTCCAAAAGGATTGTTGTCCATTACAATGCATTCTTAGATTAGTTCTGCCATTTTTGATTTGTTTTGGATTAATAGAAACTAGTGTTATATAATTTTGAATATTGTATTTATATACCGATTTTCAGAAAGGGTTTTTCATTGTGCTCCCAACCATCGCCAAGCCAACACCAAAACCATCATGAATTTCTTCCCGATGCTGGTCCTCTTTGCAGCCTGTCTCCTGATTGGTGTCAATGGTCGCCAGGATTCGACTCGCTCGGGACCTCCGCAACCCAAGGGTGATTACCAATCCGATAGGCCACCAAAGGGTGCTTACTACTCCGGACGGTCACCAAAGGGTGACTGCTACTTGCCCGGACCAGTCCTTAAGTCTTGTGCTGGCTAAAACCTACCTTTAGTAGATTTTTACAATAATGTGGCAAAATTATAAATAAAAGTCTGTATATGAAAATTCGATTTGATCATTAACTAAATGTACTTTTGTTCAAAGACATTCGCATTAAACCATTGTGATTTATGAACAAAGATGACTGATTGTTAAGTGATTTAGAGTACGAAGCTAGCCGGGAAATCTTACCTCTGACTTTGTAAAGGGAAAGCTGTCAAAAGGATTCTCTTTGAGATTTATAATGACATTTTTCACACTCTTTGGCTATACATTTCACATTTGTTTTTCCCCAAGATAAATTGGTTTTGGATTTAAAGTTTTTACTGATTAATAATTTCGCAAATTGTAGGGTATAATAAATAGGCTTTGGAAATTGTTTTACATTGTTCTTTCAGACTTCGCAAAGGCAAGACCAAATCTATCATGAATTTCCTTCAAAGCATCGTTTTGTCCAGGTTCTGATCCTTCTAACAACCTGTCTCCTAACAACCTGTCTCCAAGAGGTGACTAAAAAGGAGAAGCCATATCACAGCGACTACTATCCGACATTGTCAGCTAAAGTCCTTAAAGATACAGTTCCTTAAAATAAAACCATCAGGAAGATTTCCAATTAACACATTTAAAGCCAACTGTGGCAAAAATGAATAAAAAATAAATGCAAGCAAATAAAAACTCGTCGAAAACAAAATTCTTGTCTATTACTATGCATTTCAGATTAGTTCTGCCAAATTCGATTTGCTTTGGATTAATAGCAACTAGTGTTATATAAGTTTGAATATTGTATTTATATACGGAGCCTCAGAAAGGGTTTTTCAATGTGCTTCCAGCCATCGCCAAGCCAACACTATAGCTATCATGAATTTCTTCCCGGTAGTGGTCCTCCTATCAGCCTGTCTCCTGATTGGAGTCAATGGTCACCAGGATTCGACTCGCTCGGGTCCTCCGCAACCCAAGGGTGATTACCAAATCGTTAGGCCAACAAAGGGTGACTACTCCATAGGGTAACTACTCTTCCGATAAGTCATCTAGCTCTGGCTAAAATGTAACTATCAGAAGATTTTTGCGCCAAAATGCCAAACATATAAATAAAAAAAAAAAATAAAAACAAATCAAATTGTTCAATAACTTGATTATTGCTCAAGGGATATCTGTTAAATGGGTCTCTGAAAATGTGTTTTCATTGTGCTTCGATCCTCCGCCAAGCCAAGAAAAATTCCATCATGATTTTCTTTCATAAAGTGCTTTGAAGGTCATAAAAAGTAGCCTCGTTTTTACTTTTTTAGTGATGTAATTTTTAAATGTTACATTTTTAGCTTTAATGCTTATTCCTACACTCGTAGGCATAGCTAATGCCACGACTAATTTGTCGACAAGGTCGGCATTTGGTCTAATATGTATAACATATTGTATATATTTTTCTTACCTTAATTTTGTAACCCCTGGGGGATCTCAGGATAATATAGTTGGCTATCTTGGGCCCAGGTGGCGATGGTACACGCAGTGTCAGTGCATAGCAGCCGGGCTTGGAGCTGCTCTTCCGCACCAGAAATGCACCTGGACTCTTGCTTTGCAGGACCTCGACGGCAATGTCCCGTGAGATGCCCGCCTGATACCAGCAGGCATCCTTGAGGTCGGCCTCCTCCTCCTCGGCTCCCAAATGGCCAAAAGCATTGGCTAGGCTGCTGCTCCGCTGCTGCTGGGCACCGGCACCAGCTACCTGGTTCATCCGCAGGCGATTGGCAAAGATCTTGGGACTGGAGTTGGCTTTAAAAAATAAATAAAAATAATAGCAATTATTTGGGAATTACGTTGAAATATAATTTTATGATATCTTACCACTGCTCGTCTCCCTTAAGTATCGCTTCTTCAGGTTGAACTCGTTGTTGTCATTGTTCAGGTTGACATTATCCAGCATTGGGATGGCTGTCAAGGACTGTCGGCACGAGTCGCCGAACTTGCTGTCGATGTAAGAGTCCTCGTTGATGTAACCATTGGAGTACACCGGCTGAACGTCCAGGGGCGCGCTCAGGGGGGTTATGTTACCCACCAGCGGGCGGGACTCCTCGTTCTGACGCAGCAAACCCATTGTCAGGCGTTTGACCTTTAAATGGGTAAATATAAGAACATATATTAAGAGGGAATAACATTTACTCGATATCACGTTAAATACTCGGAAAACTATTTAAATTCCTGGCCAAAACGTCTTGAAGTTTAAAGAATTCATCCGAAAGAGAAAAAAACACATCAAAGGCAATGGTGAAGCGTTCAAGTGGCAACAAAATTAACTACAATTTAAACACCTTGTAAGCCGACAAGGATCAGCAAAGGATGCTGCAGTCAAGGGCAAGGCGTGGGTGTGGCCTGTATCCACAGACGAAGGCGGTGCAGCAGCCAAAAAAGGAAAGAATTTATTACCAAAAACCGCAGCGAGACAAAATGCTGGCAAACTGCGCCGCGCCGCCACAAAAGGCAAAAGAAAGTAGAAGGCTGGCTCGAAACTTTTTTTCGGTTGTGCACTTAAACAGGAAACGGATGCTTGGACTAGGCATTACCGGTGGGAGCAAGAAGGACCAAGGCAAAGTGCACAAGGAATAGAAATAGAGAGAGAGGCGCATAAATTCGTGGCAGAAAGCCCTCCCCCCAACCACCCTTTTAATGCTACATTGCCACCATCCAAAATGTTGCATAGCAAAAATGGCGGTGGCTGTGGCATTCAAGGCGGAAATGTGCCGCAGGACTCGGGCAGGACTTCGAGCCAGAAGCTGGCATAAGTAGCGGAAAAAAGAGAGAATAGTATAGCTATGTGGAGCAAGTGTTAAATTTTGGTGCGAAAGAATAAGTTATGGAACGAGTGATGCCCTTTAAAAATGCTTAACAAATTAAGGAAATTGACAGAGAAAGGATATTTAAAAATAATATAAAAATATACTTTCTTTGCTTGCAGTTAATTTATAAATATATAAAGAAGACTAACTGCAATACAGTATTCATATAAAAGTGATTATTCATACTATTTTATCAAGAACCTTTTTTCATATTAAAAGACCTCAAATATTATATAATATTTCAAGTACTTCTGAACTACTTTGATACTTAAATACCCCTTTTAAAGGGTATTGCAGCAAAAAGCGAAAAAACCAGCGGCCTGCGATAATTCAGATGCACTTGTGCGCCCATGTCGGGATCGTGTTTCCACTACCCCTATTTCTCCCGACCCTTACCCCTCCATTCTGCCCTGTTTTCGGGGTCAGTGGCTTTGAAAAAATCTGCCGGCGCTTTGTACAATAGTTGTCTGCCCCGAAACTAGACTAGAGTCTGCTCATGGTTTTCTTTTCTCGCCTTCTTTTTCCGGCATAATTTAAGGCGACATTGACAATGAGACAAGGATGGTGGGGTGGTAGCTGGAAGCTGGCGGTGCCTACCTGCTCTTCTGACAGCAATTGTTTGCCCATTGCTGCATAATTTAGAATGAGAAGAATGAAAGGACGAAAAAAAGCGAGCTCCTTATGTAAGGACTAGGCGACATTGTTTGCATATTTCACGGCGCATTGCACACTGATTTGCGGCCAGGTTTCGGGTGTGTTTTTATTTGTATTTGCCAGAGTTCATTTCTCGAGGGGTGGTGTTTCTTTCTTATTTACATTTCAGCTTCCTCCCTGCTATTTATTAGCCATTTCTGAATAAATATCTGAATATTTTTTGGTGTATTTCCAAACACTAATTGCCCTGTTGGCTCAATGAACTGCCAGCTAGCTGGACATTAGTGCCAGCTGTTGGTCTAAAGAGACGGGCGGCACGTGCTAGTACAAAAAAAAAGGCCACAAAGAACACTTGCCGCAAAATGCTCAACATTTATGCAAATTTAATAAACTGCCTTTGGCCAGGGATAAGCACAAGGAGCCAAAATGGGGCTAAATAAAAGGGCAAAGCGAAAGTCGAGCGGGTTTAAATCAAATACGCCAACTTCCTCTGGGTGTGTGTGTCTGTGAGTGTGTTTGAGTGTGGGCGTGGCCCACAAAATATTATTTATGACATTCGAGCTGAAAATATATTCCGTGCACACATGATACATGGATAGGCGTGACGAAGTCGGAGCACAGGCCAAGTCAAGCCAAGCCAAGTCAGGCCAGGCCAGGCCATGCCACATGTGGTAGCTGATAGCTGTCGCTCAAACTGGGATAGTGTTGCACTGGAAAAAATACTTATAAATAGAGAAATTTATCAGGGTACGCCCTTAGGGTCTTATAGTTTTACTGAGGCTTTTTGGTACCCTGTACATTATTAGCAGAATGTTTAATCTTTCTAAGATAGCATTAGGAAAGACAATATAAGAATAAGATTTGCAACGCCATACCTTTTTTTTATGCTCATAGATTATTAAGCATTCTAGATCTGCCTCTCTTATAGATTTTTTACTACTTCAAGTGAGAAAGTGTGAATTGTAATGCAACCGGAAACACTACCTCCTGTGAGAAACTGTAAATTCTGATGGAACCGGAAACACTTGTCTAAAAACTGTTAAATTGTCCTTGGAACTTTCGTTATATTTATCTTAATAATACCCGTTTTTCTCGCCGTGTAAAGCTAACTGGGGGTAAAGGGGCTACCCCAATCTAGTTTGCAGTTGCAGTTGCAGTTGCTAAACAAACATTTAGCGGCGCCGAGTCAACAGCATCGATGCATCAACGCCAGCAGAGAGCAGAGAGCAGAGCAGAAGCCGTGACAGACAGTGCGTCATTTCCGTCTAACTTCAGATGACTGGCAGCAGGGGGATGGGGGGTTCGGAGACTAACAGGATGTGGAAGGACGAACGTATGGAGTGCTGCTGCCATGGACAAGGATATGCGGGTGATGTGGCACTCAGACTCCAACTTAGACAGCAAACTGCATAATGTGGCAACGCATTTGTCTTTGACTCCTGCCAGGACACCACCACCCAGCTCCAGCTCCAGCTCCGGCTCCTTGAAAACCGCTCCTCTTTCGGTTGCATGTGCTGCTTTATTTTGCTTATCTGAAATTGAATCAGCCAGCCAAGCAGCAGCAGACGATGGCAAGTTGCCTGTTGGGCACAATTAGGGAAGCATCACGCCCTCACTCTTCCCTCCCTATATAAAAGCCCCTGCTTTCGTCCTTTGGGGGAAAGCAAAAATTAATTTGCTTATCGGGCCGCTCCCTTGCAACGGAATGATGTTATTGACAGGCAGCAGCATGTCGAACCGCAAAAAAAAGTAAAGAAAAATAAAGGACTACAAAAAGAATGAAAAAAAAAACTATGCAAAACAAAAGGATATGCCTGCCGTACCATGCGGCGTATGCGTGTTATTTGCTGTTGCTGGCGCAAAAATGTTTATAGCCGAAATTGATTTATTGACAAAACAAGGCAAGCGAGCTGCACAGGAATATGAAAAATACCAAAAGCGAAAGCATGAACCCTTTTTTTCAGGGTTTTTCTTTTGTTTTTGGTTTTCCGTTCTCCGTTTTCCGCCCTTCGACATATGCACGGGGTGTTGTATAGTCCTTGTATTGACAATATTTATGGTTTGCCATTAGGGCCAACTGATTGCTTTTCGCTTTCGATACGATTTCAATTTCTCAGAGTGTTCGTTCGGCTTGTTTTGTGTGTGTCAGATTAGGGATGTGCATATGGGAAAAGCGAAGAAAAGCGAAAGCGATAGGTCAATATAGTTTTCCCGGTGAAAAATGGTGGATAAATATAAGAAATTACTAGAAATGGCGGGAAATACCAAATAAATATTTATTATTTATCGAAAATAATCGATAAAATATGGCAAATGTTAACTAACAATATTCTATGATACATAATAATAACTTCAAGTTAACAAAATATCACAAATTCAATTAATAAATACCTAACAAATGTTAAAATACAAATTAATTCAATAAACTTGAGATAGATGTATAAATTGATAGCTTTCAAAATGAAAACGATATCGTTATATCGTTACTTTTCCCATCTCTATGCCCTGCGTCATTGATGTTTCTGTTTTGGTGTGTGACTCTTGGCCTTGATTCGATTTGATTTCAGTTGCAGTTTAGCCAGGCCTTTCAGGGCCTTCCCCCTCGTCTAAGCCCCACTCCGCTTAGGTGGAGGCCATTAGTTTACAGGCGTAATCACCATAATGCGCAATCGAGTCGCATTGCTGCCATAAATAAGACAAACACATAACGTATACGCAGCGTGGTCGAGTGCCAGGCAGTCAGTCTCTTTCGTATGAATAAACTCGCACGTACTTATCGCATAGACTATGCTCGACTGAGCACAGCTGCCTCAACTCTATATATATATATATATCTATGTATATGCTGCTGGAGCATACGCCCGTGTATGAATATTTAAGGCATTGAATTTATGAAAACAACGTGCCACAAGTCGAAGGGGAAAGGCTAAAGTTTTTTGCATTGCAAAACTTCTCTCCCGATCGCTCACGTGACAAAGAACACGGTCGAAACATTTGATAAACATTTCGCATGTGGCCAGCAGCCCTTCGATGTCTACGTGTTATGACAAAGCCGAAGTAAAAAAAAAAAAAAGAAAGAAGGAAAAACCAAGGAAATCCTGAAAGCAATCCAGCAAATGGTCTGTAAGGACCCAAGGGTTTGCGGAGGGCTTAGTTGTCTAAAGTTTTTCTTCGCCTTAGATGGAAGCTCAGATCTCCTCCCTTGAGGGAATTCGCAACGCCAATAATTCATAACAAAGCGTTGAAAATTTGGGCAACATTGGGAATTTTTTTTGGCCAGTCCTTGAGTAGTCAGCGAAAAAAAAGGAGGAATGGAAAACCAATAAACAAAGTCAAAGTGTTGGGGCACCCTTGTCAAAGTCAAAGCCATCAAATATGTTTGATCTTCTAATGCAGGACGAAATATTTAACATTCTTTATGTGGATGCAATAGTCTTGGTATTAGATTTGAAGTTTAAAGGGTTCTATATATTAAAATCTCTTGATTTTATTGAATAATTTCTTTAGTTTAACTTACCAAAGGTGGCTTGTCTGCCAATCGCTTGCAATTGTTAAGCTCCGTGGGTGAATTATCCTCATCAGAGCTCGGTGTTTGGGCCACCTTCTCGTTGTCATTGCAGCTAATTTTGAAATATAAATATATATATATTGTAGAAAAATATATTTTATTTGGGAAAGAGCTCTGACCTAGTAATAAATATTTAAACAACAAACAAACAAGAAAATCAAAACATACCAATCTAATTTAATATTTATTACTCTAACAGAGCTAGTAATTAACTATTCAAATTAGTGTCTTAGTGTAATCAAGTGTATTTTTTAATGAATGTGATTTAAGCATTGATTGGGGGAGATTTCTAGCGCCTTTTGAGTTATTTTTTACTCACTTGAGATTCGCCTGAGTGAAGAGTTGCAATGGTCGTCGTCTTCCCAGACTGGCAGGCGATGAGGGCGTGGCCAGACCTGGCTTACCTCGGCTAATTGTGGCCAAAGGTGATCTCAACATGGCCGAGTTACCAACTCCATTCGATGACTGACGATTGCTGCAGGACGATGATCGAAAACGTGCCCCGGCGCCAGTTAAAACAGCTGCTAAATTGGCAGCAATGCGATTGTCAAAGCGATTGAAATATGAATTGGAGTTGGAGTTTGAATTCGAGTTTGTATTTGAATTTGAATTCGAGTTTGTATTTGAATTTGAGTTAGAGTTGGAATTGGAATTATCTGCCGTGGGCGAGGAGTTGCTGCTGCTGCTGGTGCTGCCGTTTCTGTTGCTCATTGCCACCGATGTTGCCGCCATGCTTATGGTGGATGTTGCTCCTGCCACTGTGATGTTGCTGTGGCTATGACTGTGGCTACTGGCACTGGCCTGGTCATAATCCAAATTATTGTTGGTTATCATTGCGGCTTCGGCGGCGGTGGTGGAGGCTTCGCTTCTGGGCATTAACTTTTGGCAGCGGGTGTTACTAGCTCGGGCGCTTGGTGAATTATATGCGCATATAAAAACGCTGCGGGCGGCTTTTGTCGCACTGCGTGCTGTGTCCTGTGCTCTGCTGCCTGCCAGGACAATTCAGGACATTCGGTGGAAAAGCCCTTGCGCTCTCTCACGGCCTTTATTAAATTTGACTAGAGTGTGTGTGTTTGTGTGTGTGGGTGGCCTTTTTCCGGGGCGAGTGTTTGCAGCCGCAGGGGTTCACTTACTCCACTCGACTGCAGGAAGAAGGACCGAAGGACCAACGACGATTCGCAGATTTAAACACAGAATTAATTCATGCGGAAATTGGCAAGGAAGGTAGTGGTAGGAAAAGCGGGGGAAAAGCATGGGGTCCATTGTACCAAAAACACAAAAACAAAAATCGAAAGCGTGAAGCATAAACAAAATGGCAAGTGAAAACGCATAGAGAGCGGGGTGGAAATTACGACGGGGGAAAAGCCACAAAAATGCACATAAATAGGAATAGGAAAAATCCAAGAGCAGGGCGGAGGTTGGGTGGTTAAACAAGGGGTCGCAGCCATGATGACGTCACAAATGTAAAGCGCATAAATAGCAGGATTTCGCAGGATGTTCATGAACATGATGATGACCATGATAATGGTGTTGTTGAAATGTTTTTTGTTGGTGGTTGTTTGTGGTGATTGTATGATTCCCATATTGTTGTGGTTTTTGTTGTTTTGTGTTTTACATTTCACATTTTATGCGATTATCGATTGCACAACGATTTTCCACAAATGTTTTTTGTGTTTTTTTTTTTTTTCGTTTCGCCAATTAGTTGCCAATTTTTTGCGCGTAAGTTTCCAAGCCAATTTCATTTCGATTCGTTTCGGTTCACATTTTAAGGCCAAATTTCATGTAAATAAAAAAAAGTTGGGAGAAAAAATATGCCAATTTTGTAGAGAGAGTTTTTCGTTTTTCATCTTTTCGCTTGTACCATAAATTTTTGCGGAATTTGCATTGAAAGTTGGCTAGCGGAAAGCGAGAGCGATATTGCAAATTCGACAATATTTTTTTTTTTTGTAGGGTTTCCAAAAAGCCGAAAGCGAAATTTCAATGCAAATTCGTGGCTAGTTTTTCATGGTTTTTGTTAGTTTTTCTTTCAGTTTTCTGTTTTTCCCCCGATTGATTTACTCACATAGGTTCGGGGGCAACCAAACTTTTCATTGGGCTTTCCTCCAGTGGGCCACGTTTACAGATGAGAGTTGGTTCGGCTCATGAGCTGCAAGAGAGAAGAACAGAAGGGAGTTTGATTTAATTAAAAGCAACTTAAAGCTGCGCTCAAGTGTAAATATTCATGTGTGTAAGTCGGTTGTGTGGCAATCATTAGACGTTCATAGTCAACACCTCATTAGGCGACTAATCAAGCGTGCGCTGGGCACGAAATAACAACCAGTTCGGTTCAGTCCACTGGCAATAGATTAAAGGAGAAGACCATCCAAAAGGAGGCGAATCCAGAAGGATACGCAGGACATGGAGGAGCAGGAACCAGGCGCCAAGCCACAGACACTAAACAAAACCAAAGCAAAGCCATCAAGATTGCCAGGCATTCCTGCTAGAGATGAGAGCGTGCCTGGGACCAAACACAAAGCTAAATTAGTGCACAGCGAAAAATAAATGTGCAGCACAAATATATTTCAATAATTCTGACAAATAATCAAGTAAACATTTCTGATTTATTATTAACACAGATAAGCTAGTTGAGTTGAGCAAGCAAACAATATAAAACTAAAGTTAACAAAGACCTGCTACACTTTTAATTAGCTTTTCTTATCTGCACACTATAGTTCACTGAAGGAAACCAATTACAGTTCTTAATTGGTTAAATTCTTTTTAAGAAAATGATGTATAAAAAGAAATTTCAGCTGTCTGCAACTTTAAGTAAAGTTTTCAGTTCAAAACGATCTTCATACTGTTCGTATTGTTACTCCCAATAGTTCACATTGGTAGTACGGAAGTGCATCCTCGAGTCGTAGATGGGCATTTAGCCAAGCCAGGTGACTTTCCCTACCTGGTCGGTCTCATCATGATAGACCCAAACATAGCATATTGGTGTGGTGGCAATATAATATCGAATCAATGGATTCTAGCGGCTGCCCATTGCGTCATTAACTTTTCCCTTCAGTCTAAGGGCTTTATATATTTTGGCTCCACAGTGCGAGAAGAAGGATTAATGGAATCCTTTGAGTACAAAAACGTTGTCAAGCATCCCACCTTTAATAAAAATTATAAAATAAACGATTTGGCTCTAATAAAAGCCAAACGGATAGAATTTTCCGATAATATTAAATCTATTCCCCTGCCATCCTCCAAGGATACAAGTGGGCCATTGCCGCCGGATGGAATAGAAGGGATCTTTCCAAACCCGAACATTTGATGTGGACTGAAGTAGAGATCGCCAGCGATTTGGAGTGCCAAAGAACGTACAACTCCAATGGGGAGGTAATCTGTGGCCGTGTCAATCCAGGATCATCCATTTGCAGAGGCGATTCAGGGGGACCTTTGGTGCATCTGGAGAAACGGACTCTCATTGGAGTTAGCTCATTTGTGTTTGAAGGCCCTTGTGACAAAGGTCAGCTTGTTGGCTTTGTCAATGTGGTCAACTATCTGCCCTGGATATATGAGGTTTCCGGGGTGAAGCCTATTAATTAGCAGAGTTAATGCTTATTTTGTATACATTTTCATTTCCACAATAAAAACCTCTATCTGAAAGCATTACAAAAGTAAAGTTTGCATACATTTCTCCCTCTGTAATCTTTCGCTGGACGAGCAATGAAGTAAACACGATGCCGCAAATAAAACGCACAGATTAAAGGATGCCCGGGTGAAATGTCTTCTTAATTACTTCGCCGAGTCCAGAGGCTGAGACTGCGAAGGATAAACAAGCCGTGAGCTGGAGCAGGAAAAGGACCTGGGCTGCGCCAAGAAGGGACCGAGGACCGAGGACCGAGACGTAATTGAGAAGTCGCCGGGCTGGGACTTGGAATTGGAATCGTTCTCAGACTCGGGTTCCGGCGTCTGCAGAGCAGTTTAAGCGGAAGTAATTTAATTAATTACAAATGAAACGGAAACACGAGCGAAACGAAGGCGAAGGCGAAGGTCGGCCCGGCACAGCCTGGTCGTCTTTCCTCTGAATGCATCATGTGTCGATTGTTTACCCAATGGGATCGAGTAAACCCCCAACAACAAGTGCCAACCAACCCAATTCGAATATTTTTCCCGCTTTTCCCTTTTTGCATATGGGTTTGGGCCTTACAACTGGGAGCGGCCTAAGCGTTTTCCAAAACAACGGCGAAAAAATTAAGGGACCAGCCTTTCCCAGCAGAGCAATTAAATTTTTCTATGCTCCAGCACCGCAAACTATTCAGAGGGAAAGTGCACAGCAAGAAACTACGTGGCATTATTGAAGATTTTTTATATATTCTGGTAATTTTAGGTATTCAAATATTGTATTTAATATTTCCAGAGTGGTTAATAGATTCTTATAAAATAATATATTATATGATGGAATAATATAAATAAACTATCAGTCAGGAGCTTAAAACGAAGTGAATGAGTCATTTCCGACCCTATAAATCATATATATTCTTGATCAGCATCAACAGGCGAATCTTTCTAGGCATTTCGGAAAGAAAAAAAAATTTTAATTTTTTTCAAAATATTATACCAGATTTTTACATTGTTGACATTGTGAAATTTGGACAAAATTTTAAATATTTTAAAAATTTAGGTATGCAGGTTTGTAAACCGGCTAATAACTAGCACAGAACAGCTTTCCGATTGGAAATTAATGCATTTTTAGCTTAGTTATAAGTTTTTTATTGTAGAATAAACGTCATATAAATATATAGACAAATATCGCCCTTGCAGGGTATTATAATATCAGTCAGAAGCTTATAATTAAGGGAAGGATTCAATTCCCACCCTATATTCCATATATATTTTTGATCAGCATGATCAGGCCTATCTTTCTAGACATCTAGGAAGAAAAAAAATTTTGGAAATTTTTTATCATTTTTTTAGGGGACTTTTTGACCTAGTTGACATTTTGAAAAATTGAAAAAATGTAAAACATTTTAAAAAGTAATTTTGGTATGCAGAATTATTAACCTATAAAAAACTAGAACAGAACAGCTTTCCGAATGGAAATTAATGCATTTTTAGCTAAGTTATGAGTTTTATAAGGTTTGTTTTGTTGTAAAAATTGTCATATAAAAGTATTCATAAACATCGATTCAAATATGTAATTCGGCTTTTTCAATTCAAACAATTTTCCCCCAGTGTAAAGACACACACGCACACATTGGTGGCATACGCATTAAGCACAGCTCATTTGCATTGCGGTTTTAATTGCCACAGAGGAGGAGTGGAAATGGGGGAGGAGAGGAAAAGCGATGGCGATAGATGAAGGGAGAGCGGCCATTACCTCTGACCCCGGAATATACGGTTCGCTGGCAGGGCTTACAAGGATAATGAAAACAATTTAACGACTCTCCCGACAATTCGCTGGAGCCGAGGACAAAACGGCAAACGAATCCTGGTTAAACAAATCTTGAATCCTTTTTGCCGCCTCTTGCATTTGCGTTGGCCATTTATTTTTATGACCACCTCCCCTCTCACTTATTTTTTTGCTGCGTGTCTGCGCAAAATATTTTCAGATATTTTTTGACATTTTAATGAAAATATTTTGCGTAGCAAAAATGAAAATGAAAATGAAAATGAAAAGGCAGTTAGCAAAAGGGACAGGCCGTCGGAGTGATGATGAATCCTTAATCCCTTCACTGGCTTAATATTATTTTAACGAAGCGGATTCCCGGATTCAGGATGGGGTCACTTTTAAGCCCTGCTGATGGCCAGTAATTAAATGCTTGACATGCCGACGGGTGTGAGGTTTTTGCGGGCCGGGGATTAGGGCCACTAAGAGCCTGTCTCGGCGGCAGTGGAAACCCTCGGCGGATCGCAGAACAAAAGTGAACAATTAATGAGGTGAAACTTAATAAGTGCTCAAGCAGCTACCATTATTTTTTCGCAGTGCAGTGCAGTCGCGGAAAAGTGAATTAACGCTGTAGTTGGCATTATAATTATGGCGCGCAGTTAAGGCGATTGTTGAGCCTGATGCTGTCAGGTAGAAAAGGACACAGGGACAAAGGAAACTTAACTTAACTTAAGATAATAACATATTCCAGTATTTAAATATTGAAGGAACTTCAACTTAACTTTAACTTGATTTTATATATATTAACAGACAATAATTACAATTTTATTATACCGTAAACTGCATCCTGTTGCTTCTTCTCCTTATCCTTGGCTCATTAAATATTTACAAATTCTCAATTTGCTTAAGTGAGCAGCGTGGAACAACAAAGCCATAATAAAATCAACAAGCCTAAACAAAAATATTTGCCAACATGCAAAAAAAAATCCAAAGGAGAAGAGTATCCTTCGGGGGCCAAGAGAGAAAAACAGGCAAACAACAGACAGGCTGAATGGAATGAGAGTTGTTCGCAAATTAAAAGAAATCAAAATCATATGAGAATTTTCAAGTGATTGCCGCATGCGGCAAGAGTCCTTGTTCGCAGGAAGCGCGGGCCAACATAAACAAGCAATTTAACAGGCACTTATACACACACTCACAGCCAGACACACACAGTGCCACACACACACACACACACTGTGCGGCATACAGACACACATCCTTAAGGATCCGTCGCCAGTTGGCAAACAAACGAAGCGTTCAAGCGAAAAAAGCCAGCAGAGAATGGAGAAAAAAAGCCAAAAGTATGTCTAAAGGCAGCTGTTTCGACTATTTAATACCTAGTGATTAATTCAGAAAGAAAAAGTAGTCATTTTTGGGGTAAATGATATAAGAAATTATTTGAAAAATTGTTTAAAGTTATGGCTGTAACCTTTTGAAAATTTAAAATTTATAATTTTATTTATTTCTGCATAGTTTAGGTGATCATTTCAATTATTTCAAACCCTTTTTATACCTAAAAAGCTATTTATTTTTAGTTAATTTTGAAACTAAAAGTTTTAACTGAATTTTATAGGTTTCTTTCATGTACTTTGTATACCCTTTATAATATATAGAGCAAAGGGTATTTAAAAAATCCTTCGGTAGCCTCGGAACAAGCAAAGCGTTTTATGTGCCGACATCGGTGATGGTGTGTGTGTGTTTGTGTGTCAGGGTGTGTGTGCGGCACCGCAGATTTCTCGCACCCACACACGCCAGCCGCAGCCGCAGCCTTAAAGTATGCCGCAAGTTTTTGCCGCTCTTTGTTAATGAAATTTTAATCAAGCTGCAAGCAAAGCAAAAAAAGAGAAAAAGAGTTTGCCAACCAAGTTTGGCGAGTACACATGCCGCAGCTCGACTCCTTTAAAAAAGGATTCTTTGCTCTTCGTTGCTCTGCTCCTTCAAATAGCCGGCGGCTTCATTAGAGACGCCCGCGAGGTCCACGCGGCGTATGCGTAATAATTTATTTAAAATGCAATTCGTTTATGCCGTACATTAATCATTCCGGCGAATGCGATAAGACATCGGGCGAGTCACGTTCCGATGTCGGCTGCATTTATTAACAATTTACGTCATAAATAAAATTGAAAAACATTCATAATGTCAATGGTTGTGAAGGCGAGAGGGCAAGTCAGAGTGAGGAAAGTGAGTCAGTGAAAGACGTGAGAGCATGAGAGCTGATGGCAATTTCATAAATTACAAGGGAAGGGTAAGGGAAGGAGGCGCAGAACGTCCTGGCAAGGATGAGGCCTGGATGAGCGGCTGGTTTACATAAATTAGACAGCAAATTTCGCAGCAAAATGGGAACAAGGCACTGGCAAAAGGTAAATCACTAAAGCGGCCCCAAAATGACAACATTAAAAGCAGTCAGTCAGGTGGGGTAAAATACACTTAAATGGGTACTGAGAGAAAAATGGGGGTTTGTAATTAAATTACAGAAGGAATTTATTAATAACAAAAGAAGGAGCAAGCAGTTAAAAGCCCTTATTAAGCTGATACATGGTGTTAGATAACATTTCTCAAGACTTTAAATTAATCACCAAAGAAACCTTCTAATGAAAATGCTCAAAAACATTTTTCATACAATATTTCATTATTTCTGAAACTCATAATATTTGCCTTGATTCATTCATTTTGTCTCATTTATTTTACAATCTTTTAAATCACAAAATATAATTTTCTTTCTCTGATAAATTTGTGAAAACACTTTTACTTGGAGCCTTAATTCCCCGCCTTTACAATTTTTGTTTTTTTTTTTTTTTGTGGCTGTATCAGGACGAGTTGTTTAACATATTTCTGTTTTGCCGTTGCTGCTACGCCTTTTCCTGGCCGAATTCGAGTGAATAATGTTCGCTTAGCACGGCAAATAATTATTTCTCGCTTACTGCCAACTGGCATGCTATTTGGCAGGGCTTTAAGGATTGCTTTTCGTCCTTTTCGCCCATCGTCGATCCCGGGGTTTCTCCCCAGTTCATTATGTGAATTTTGAAATTGTTTTTTTCCTGTTCCTGCCGCTCTTCTTTGTGTTTTTTGCTGCGGGGCACAAAAAACGAGGAGAGTAAAAAACAAATGCCAACACGTTGGTCTCGCCTGAGCAGAGCAACCCCTCAAAAAGGTGTTGAGTTGAGCCAAATTACAAAAAATTGCCAACACCGTCGTGCATTTCTCTTTAATGATTTGAATATGCAAAGCGGGTGAAAAAAACCCAACAAAAC